TAATTACCTAGGCTAATAATTATCTAAATAAAGAAAAACTTATTATAAATAAATTTATCTTTATATATATTTATTATATTATTTTAATCTATAGGTTAAAAGTCTTAATAGAAAGGTATTATAATATAATTAAGTAATTTACTTTTATTATAAATAATAATTATAATTATTAAATCTCTATTAATAATATTAATAATTCTAATTCTAATTTTTATTTAATTAAAAATTATAAGATTAATTAAAAGATTAATATTAAAAGGGAAAGCTATTATATAAAGGGATTTAAAGCTTTTTAGCTAATTAAAAAATAATTTATTTATTATAAATAAGCCTATTTTTAGTATATTATTAAAGCTATTAATAATAAGGTATAAAACTTTATTAATTTAAGCGTATTAAGCCTCTTAGCTTTAAGTATAAGGTATTTATTATTATAATTATTAAGACTTTAATAGTAATATTTAATCTTCGCTTTAAGTAATATAAATTTAATATATAATATTTAATAAAAAAAAAGTAATAAAAGTAATTAGAAAGTCTTAAAAAGAAAGGAAAATTAAAAAAAAAAATAAGATTAGTAATAAAAAAAAAGGTTATAAAAAAGGTATACTTTGCCTTTACCTAGGGAGGCAACGAAATCAATAGTATTATATTCTTATATAAGTAAAAACTATCCTTCTTTAGCATACTTAGACACTGCGAGCGTAAAGAAGATCCTCCCCATGCCTGCTAATAGATACACATCAGAGAGTATAAGCCATATAAGCCGTATAGATACTCTGACAGTAACATGTTTTCGAATATGCCCAAGGTTATTCAATTGTACAGGGGCCATACTGGGCCGACTTTACGGGTGAATCTGCGATTGTTAACGTCCGGTTAGCACGGCAGTAAATATTGGCTCTAATGGGACCTAGTACCAGTGTCTACGCACTAGAAAGGAATATGACTTGCTGAGTGCCGCGGCTGACAGAAGACTAATAATAACGAGGGTCTAGAACACACAGAAACGCCACGATATTCCAGCCTGACCCAGAACACTCAAAGGAGCTCCATTCAGCGGTCCTCAGCTTCCCGGCTCATCTCGACAATATGCAAGGGTTGTCAGGCCATACGTCTCAGGGCTTGTCCATAGCTTCAACAGAGATATAAAGCAGCCGGCGTGGTCCAGAAACGTCTCTTCATCACTTCTCTCCTTTTCCCGCCAGAGCCAACTGAACTCGTTCGCCTCTCAACCATCTCAACCAGAAACCCTTCTCATGCCTTGGTACAGTACAAAGCTTTCACGATGCAAATTAAGAGTCTCCTCCTTGCACCTCTCGTCGCCACCGGACTAGTCACTGCCAACCCCTCTCCCAGCAAGCCATATCGCTTCGAAGCGCTTGCTTTGCGATCTGCCACCGACATACATTTTGCTGTCATTCAGGCTGCTCACAGCAGTATCTTTTTGAAGCTTCCCCAGCAGAAAGCGACATGTGAGAAAAAGACGGATAACTCTGCCACTTTCTCGATTGTCAATGGCGAGCTGTTCCTTTACGGTAAAATACGACAGCAGGTCTACGTTGACCGATCAGGAATGGGTACGTCGTTCCCAAATATTTGTACAGAGCTTCGCATTAATTTCTATTAGGTCAGGGAAAGATTGGCTATACCACTAGTACCCAGTCAGCTCCACGCAATGCGGAACGCAAGGGTTGGGCCATCGACAAGGCTGGCGATTTATCTTTCAAGGGCAAGAACTTGGTGGCCTGCCCCCACAGTGTCGATGGGGGATGGAGTGTTTGGGTTTCAACTGGGGTCAAAACACCTGGAGGCAACAAGGGCTGCTTGGAATTTCTGCCCAGAACAACAGAGATCAAGAGCCCCAATAGTTGCAAGTACACTCAGTAACTTCTTGATGAGGAGCGACATGGCATTTAGTCCCTTATAAGACTGCGTGCAATTGGGGTAGATGGGGCCGGGAGTCTGTGTTTGCCGTTATTATAGAGAAAAGCCGATGCCGTCAATGTTACAAAGCGTGCATAATACCGCCTCTTATTGTCCCCGATACCTTTCTTGCTTGAACTTCACCTAAGGATCCTTCCCAGTCTCCCTCCAGTCGTCATCTTACGTCTCACTATCCCCTCCCTTCTCTGCGTAACACGATACTTGGCGCAAAGTTTTACTTGAGTACCATTTGGCATGGTACCAAACACTGCCCTTGGAAATACACCATTATGAGTAAAGTCCAGCAATGCCACTTACGGAAGTCGTCAACCAATTGAACAGACCAAGGCGTTTGTCTCAGGTGGGCATCTCGTGGAGAGCGAGTGTGGAAGTTCAATGATAGTTGTATTTAAAAGGTCACGATCTTCGGGCTCAGTTAACCCATCAAGGGTCGGGCTGCAACTATAATAAAGAACAGATCTTCAACACATTATAACATCATGACTTGATGTTAACACAGTGGTCTTTTTCTTTTTCTTTTTTTTTTTAAAAAAAAAACCTTTTACTGCAATAGCAGAAGAGTCACACCTAGCCACATCGTCATAAAAGGTCTAGCCTCTCATAGGTATTTTAACTGCTCTAACCTCCGTACGAGAAACAAGAGAATTGTCCGCCTTTTCATCTTCTCAAGCTGCAATCTCTCAATACCATGTCTTTGAACACGATGCCAAGAACAACCATCAATCGGCCACACGACCCCGCGAGCGCACCATCCGCAACTCATGTTTCGAAGCATAAGAACCAGCTTGGTATATACCTCCGACTTCGATTCCATGATTTCTCGGGTAATCATAGTGTCTCGGAGCATGTACATTCAAATCCGTGACAGGCTGAACCGCTTCAACCCCTGGGCCCTAACGGGGACGTAAACAGTAGAACCACGTTGAGCCAGTTCTCCCTGCGCCACGGTTAGCCCATGCAGGTAATTGGGCAACTTCAGTCGCTACGAATTCTCCAGGGTCTCCCGGTGGTCTTCAACAGCCAAAGGGCGATGTAAAGCAATCCACAAGGTAAAGTTTCGTGCGGAAACTACAACTTAAACCCAAAGGTCCATGTAAGCACTGCCAAGCCGGCCGAGGCGTTTCCCGCTCGAGCCCAGCCCTATAGGCATCAGCAGGTATTCAGCCTATGAACATTCAGTTTCCATAGCCAACTCTATACATAAACCCGAAACATTTCGTCCTTTCAGGGTCCGACACAGTCGACCATTGACTATGCATAAGAACTTTTATTCTGTCTCGTTGCCAAACAACAGTTACGACGCCGCCATTGCCTAGCTTGATGTAATCCATGCCAATGATGTGATTTGGCATTGGAATGCATACAGCTGGTTTTGAAGGGTAAGGAAGTCAACGTTGACGAGCTGGTGAAAGGTCAACTGCCATCGAGCCAACGCAACAACGAGCCTGCATGTCTCAACTATCTTCGACCAAGCACGAGACAGTACCGACAACGAGTACGTTTTTGGGGTTTATGCAGACAACAAAAGATACCTGCCATCATCTCGAAATAAATCGAGCTTGGTAAAAAGGTGGCGACATTCCATCCTTGGAATGCTGACGTGACGGAAAATGCTTAGGAAAATGCCACGGCGTCAATAACAACCAAAACGTAACGTTATCGCAAAAGATGAGAGGGGACAGTCTGACAAAGCGAAAAGCGAAGAATTGCCGAAGGACGTGCCGAGGATGATCGCCCTGGCGGGGACATATGGAGACAGGTGCCAAGCGGAATATTATGCGCGATTGACAGTTGCACAGCATAGTCAGAGATCAAGTCGATAGGAATCTTGCTGCGAGAAAGAAAGCTGGAGGAATTATCCGGTGCATAGAGACCAACCATCATTGTGCGCCCTCCATTCCCAAGCCTTGGCTGACTGGCTGGTGCTGGACGCCCGCCCTCTCGGTCAGAGGCCAATGATAAGGGTGACGACGCGTCGTGCGAAAACGATAGCGCCTTGCTAGCCCAACCTTGCTCTTGTTGGTGTGAGAGGGGTCCCTTGCTGCAAGGAGTCGACCAAGGAGCCAACGCAAGTTACTGTAATCTCTGGCGTGAGTCAGCCATTGCACTCCCAGATGAGTTAAGGGGGGCAGCCGAATCATTTCGCCTGCGGGGTAGGCATATGCCGTCTCTATTGGCTGCGAGTCCGACATTGCCTCGCTCTCCTTTCCACATTCTCTCCTTTTCCACCATCGCGCCAGCTTTGACCATCTTATCGCCTATCGAACCCCCAGGACAAGCTATGACTCGAATAGGCTCCTCCTAGACAAGCTCGAGGCGTTTGGTTTGAGGACGGAGCTTGACGGGGTTGACACGCTGACGCCGCCAATGCACCACCGATGCACCATTCCGTAGAGGGCAATGACCTACCAGCATTACCTGCTTAGCCCCGGCTTCTGTCCATGTTCCCCGGATCCCTGCGAACAGGTCTGGCTGTCAAGATGCTGCCGACTCTTGCGAGGGTGAGGAGGCGACCAGGGGAGTCCGTGAGGGTTGAGCGATAGCTAGCTCAGGAGGTTTAATCTAGTAGAGTTTACGCAGATATAGCACAGATAAGAGTTGGGAGAAACTCTGATGCTTGACCCCTCCATCTCCTCATACTCACCAAAACCTTAAGGCTTGGGCGATGCGACATGCTCCCGTCGACACTTGTCATTTCACGCCGCTAGCAAGAGACGGCTTGCCTCGTCTCCAACAATTAGGTTCAAGACTCTAGGATAGCGGGCCTTAAAGGGCAAAGCCTGCTTAACTATTGCAGGCGACGATGACCTTTCCCCGAATCCCGAGAGCTCCAGCTCCACAACCCCCCGTGGGGAAAGGCCCAAGCTCCAGGGTCAGCTTGTTTGCCCCCATCTCCGCTTCTCGGACCCAAACTTCTCCTCGACAACCAACTGCCAACCCAGCGAGCGGGTTTGGGTCTTGATAATCGACGTCTGCGACCCTGTCAATAGGTACGCACGGCTCGCATATCGTTTTCCACCCAAGCCAGTTGCCTGGAACACGCACGCTTGGCCATGGCCCCTTCTGGCGACGCAAAGAAGGCTGTCGGCAAAGATGTGGGGGACATCATGGGCCAAGAGAATGTCGCCCCCAAGAGCCAGCCAGCCCGCCAACCCAGCAAACAGCAAGTGCGCCATCGCGCTTCTGTCGCCTGTGCCTCATGTCGTGACCGAAGGATCCGATGCGTAGTCCCCAAGGACCAAACCACGTGCACAGCATGTCAGAAGACGGGCGCTGAATGCATCATCAAGAACGATGACGAGAGGAGACGGTAGGGACCAAGGTTCGCTGCGGGAGGCACTTTGCTGACAACATGACCTCCTAGGCCTATCTCCAAGGCATACATGTCCTCTCTATCAGACCGAATCTCCATGCTAGAGGGCATGCTGCTGGAAAAGGGGGTTGTGCCGCCCCCTGCGTCTCATCCCCCCAAATCAAGGCATGAGCCTTCAGATGGGCAACTAGAAGACAATGTCCCGGCGGCGAGCAACCAAAGGTCGGTACCAAAGGCAGAGAGGGCGTCACCAGGGCACAGCATTCCTTCACCATCAGACTCCCGCTATGAAGACTACATGGCTGCTGGAAGTGACCACGATGACGGAAATCTATCAACTATCATCAAAGAGGAGTCACCGATACGGATTCTAGACCCGCAGCAGGAAGACATCATTCACCGTCTACTCTCCACCAAGGGTAACCTCTCTTTCGACCAAATTTCCGGAGGACTACGCTTCTTTGGTCCCACCGCCAACAGCCATGTGTATGCCGGGTCCTCAGATCATCACGATACTCGTGAGCCTCCAGAGCAGGTCCGGCAAGCAGAAGGCATCATTCGATCTCTGGATCCTGAAACACACGATTATCTTGTCGACAATTACTTTCAGTACTACAATTCTGCGATCCAGGTCATCGACCGAGAAGCCTTCGAGGCTGACCGCCAGTCTCCGTGTCCCAAGTTCTACTCTCACTTCCTTCATGTTACGATTCTAGCGATGGGTTACCGGTCAGCCGATATGGACCGGGAAGACATGCGCAGGATTACTTTGAGGCGAAGGGAGAGCACCCTCCACCGGGAGGCAAAGGCAATGCTTGACAGTGAGCTGGAGCGCCCTGGAGGCATCCCTAGTGTTCAAGCACTTTTGCTTCTTGGCGACCTAGAGTGTGGTGTTGGCAGGGACAACACCGGCTGGATGTATTCAGGTAAGAAATCAACAGGGAAGAGAACTTCGACGAGTATATGCTCATTTCGCTTTCAGGAATGGCCAACCGCCTTGCATTTGATATTGGCCTACATCTCGACTGCACAAGCAAGATGTCCGAACAGGATACCAAGATTCGGAACATGGCTATGCAAGCATGTGTTATCTACGACAGATACTGGGGTCTCTTTCTCGGAAGGCCCTTGGCCATCAAGAGCCAAGACGTTGATCTCTTGTCCAACCGCTTTTCTCAGCTTATATCCATCGGCCTCGATCCGCCTAAGCAAGACATGATCGCAGAGATCTACGAGCAACTGATCGAGTTGATGGAGCTAGCGGGACGGATTGTGGAGATAAGAGACCTGACAGGCTCGAACCGAGGCTCAAGTGCAGGCGAAGCGGAGGAGAATCGATACCTGCAAGTCGTCAACCTTGATAGACAACTCCAAAACTGGTACCGACGACTTCCGGAACGCCTCTCTTGGAAACCAAGCAACCTCAAAACAGCGCCTTACAGCTTCTTCCTCCTTCACCAGCAGTACCATGTTACTATGATTCTTCTTCACCAACCATGGGCCAAGTACGGCTCCATTACCGGGGATGGTGCTAGCACGGGATCCCATGCAAGTCCAAAGAGTGATCACACAGCCAGCACCGACGATTTTGGGCATCAGCTGGGGTCTATAGTTGCTGATGCTTCTTTGGGTATCGGTTGTACTCAGAAGCTTGGCAACGAGAGCCGTACTTCGTTGTCTCGCAGCATTTGTACCCAGCAGGCGATCCGTGTGGCCCGCATCTTCTGGCAGCACCGCCAGAGGTTTGATGGGCGCAAGATCTTCGTGACAGGTATGCAACATGCTGGAGCCGCAGCTATTGCGTTGATTGCAGCCCTCACCTATCAGCGGAATGAGCCAGATCGCCGGACATACGTAGGCTATCTAGAGATTCTATCTGATGCAGTTGGCGACATGAGTTACGCATACCATCCAGCCAGCAGGATGGACAATCTCCTCAAAGCTGTTCTGGATCAGATCAGAAACAGCATGGCCGAGTCGGCTCAATCTCCCAAGGACAGCACGAGCTATAAAAGCGTGAGCAGTGTTGCTGATAGTGGCACAAGTGGCTTCTCTATTCCAAGTGACTTGCCCTCCTCTACAATCCCGTTAAGGCGGGAAGCTGCAGACCCCGAGCTTGGCAAACCAGTCAAAAAGAGGCGACCGACGAATAGTAGGGAATCTTCAGAGTATGCTCCCCCGCGGCCACCATACTCCGCCGTTTCAACTCAGCCACCGCCCAACGCCGACAAGGTGCAGAGTTTCTCCTATGGTCCCACTCAGCAACACCAACCGCAGTTCGACTCACTACTATTCTCCATGGGCATGAACCATCCATCTGGGCAGTTGGATCTGGGTTATGTCGGCGGTGCTGCAATCGACATGGATCCCAACAGTGATGCTTCGGGGACCTTGCTAGGAAGACCGGAGGCCATGGATCTCGGCATCCCTTCCTCAAACAGTTGGAACCTGAGCACCATGCAGCACTCTCAAGGCTTGATTTCGTACGATACTCCTATCGACTGGACTTCAGGAACAGCAGGGCTCAGTGCCAGTTCGGTGCTGAATCAAAGCGCAGCCCTCTCGAGTGGCATCATGTCAGGGGCACCCGCATTTGGCTCAATTAAAGATGAAGGTAGGTCAGTCAGTGACAGGAAAGGCGTGGGTGCAATGGGAATGAAGATGCCCACCATAGATACCAGTTGGATGGGTGGTGGTGATATGAGTTCGGCAAGCCCTGCAGGTTTGGGCAATATGGTGCAGAATGCAAACAAGGCATCACAAGTTGATGATGGAAGCCAAAGGAACCATTCTTTGGACTTTTTTAGTTTTTCATAGATTTTTGTCAGTGGGAGGCTTGGTGTGGCAATACCCTCATGTCGATTGGAGTTAAGGGGTGGCTTGTTCAGGTCTAACAAAGTGAGCGGGTTTGAACTTGGAATTATGTTTGCTACGAGATCACACATGAAATATCAGTAAGAATGAGATGGCTTGCAAACAATGGAGTAAGCCAATTTCACAAAGCAGACGCTTGTAGCACCTTTTATGTCATGATGTTCACCAAAGTGACAGTGTCCAATGCTTGATTCAACTCGCCGTTCAGGTACACATCTGAAGCTCAAGTGATGAGAAGAAGCCTGCTTCTTCTATGGGGTTTTTGTAGATAATCTCAAACGAGTGCTAAGTGCTTTCTGCGTGCTACATTTGCTTCAACTTGCAAACTTCATGTGTGGATATCAGACGAAACAGAGACCAGCTGCTCGGAATCCACCGGATATCAACAAGAACCCTCCATCAACCATATATCAGTTGGTACTGAAGCCGCCATCACACACGATACTGGCACTCTGCATGAAGCTATTCATGGGAGAGGCCATAAGAACGATACTATCACCCACCTCCTCCATCGTCGCCAGTCGCTTCAACGGGGTTCTGGCAAGATCAGCCGCGAGAGGGGAATTTGGGTCCTGAGCCATCGCATTTTTGAGCAACGGCGTTTCGACGTATCCGGGGCAGATAGCGTTGATCCGGATGCCCATACCGCCGTATGAATTGGCGTCTGCTTTCATTAACCCGATAACTCCTACGAGAGTCAGTCTGGAGGAACACTGGATTCCCAATTGGAGTCTCTCCGAGTCCGTACCATGCTTGGAAGTTGTGTAAGCCGTGTGAGCCATGCGGTAACAGGGCGCAACAAGGGCGAGCATGCTTGCAACGTTGACGATCCTTCCACGGCCGTCTCTTGGCCCAAGGTCCCTACTAATTTTTAGCATCATCACAATCTCTGGCTGCATCATCGTCATACTCATAACTGCAAGCTCCTCCTTTTGACAGCGATAGACACCCTGCAGATTTACTTCAAGAACCCCAACCACTCGTCATTCCCTATCTCGTGAGTCTGTCGACCGCTGCCACTAATGCCTGCATTGTTGACGGCGATATCCAGACGCCCAAACTGAGCCACGACTTTTGCGATCCCCTCCTTGACCTGGGATGGGCTGCGAACATCAAGGTGAAGAGTCAAAATGTCGACGTGGCCAAACTGCTCCTTGAGTGCAGCATTGGACACCTGCAGAGCCTCGAGGTTTATGTCCGCCAAGGCCAGCTTGGTGATGCCGTGTTTCGCAAAGGCCAGAGCAGTGTGTTGCCCGATACCTAGGGCGGCGCGATCAGCAGGTGTGTGACGCTAAGAGCGACGGCTCCAGACCGGCGCGGGATCAGGGACGCATTCCCCGAGACACAAGCGACAACAGATTGGTCCCGGTGATCCGAAAGCGGCGGAACTTTCCGGAGGCGGCGCCGGTGATGAAGGCGGATCCACGGAGGAGGTTCGTCATTCTCAAAAGATAGCTCCTGCTATAGCTGCACCTGAGTGCAATAGAATAATCGGCCCATTCCCAAACGCGCCAGGACAGCAACAGGAGCCGCCGAGGCCATCTGTTGGACGAAGGTGGCTCCACCAAGGATCCAGCGGGGTGCTTTGTTAGAGTGAAGCTATCAGGCCAGGATCAGTTGCGACAAGGATCCACTCGTCACGACATCAGTTGAGCCTCATAGGTCTTGCATGTTGGTTCCAAGAAGGCATGTATAGATCAAGCCAGGGGAAACATAAGACTCGAGTACTACGGCTCGGGTTTATTCTTGATAGCTCATGAATAGGTGGAGGAACAGGATGGTGGCAACATGTGCGAAGGTCATCGCCAGCCGTTCGTCCGAATTGGATGGACGAGAAGTCGAGAGAAGGTGAATCGGGCTACAAGGTCTGACAAAGAGAGTGTGCGGGTGTCTGATGCCGTAACTTGTTGAGTTCTAGAGGCTCAATAAACCTAGCTCGTGTTTTTATGGCGAATCGAGAATATCGGCGAGGGAGAATCAATACGGACTATAGACGAATTCGTATCCAAGCTGGCAATAGAGAGGTTTCTATTCAAGTTAGAATGCTTTCATGCTCCACAAAGGCGACATGTGGGTGGAGTTATGGGAATGATCAACAACCACTGAAGTGTGAACGAGCCGGTATTCAAACGTCACAGACATGTTGACGATGATGAGAGGGGAATGCTAGACAACAAAAGGTGGGGGTGGATATAAATGATACTACATCATGCGTCGACCCGGATGGAAATTGAACAAACCCAGCATGAAAAGAACAAGGGACAGGCAGTGGGGGTTTATGATCTGGACCATCTCACACACCACCAAACCATAGACCAACCCCACGAGGCATCACTTGAGCACCAAGTTCACAAACATCCAGACAAGCAGATGTGAAAATCATTTCATTCGTATGGGTCTTGTGGACAATGTGTCATCTACCCGGGTATGCTATTGTAATGTACAAAAGGAAAAGCCTTTCTGCGGCTCGACTAAAGGACATAATGTACTTAGGGCTTGGGCTCGCCATTGAACCGGGCAATACCACTTCGGATGCCCTTGTCAACAGACTTGGCCATCTTCTCCAGAGGCAGACGATCCTCCACTCGCTGAACCATCTTGGCCACAGGAGGCTCGATGCGCTGGACACCCCGCTCGACGGGAGGGATGAAGTAGCTGACGTTGCGCTCCCATCGAGGAGCCCACTTGTTGGTCTGGTTGGATAGACGCTCTTCGGCGCCGGGCATGACGAGGTAGAGAGGGGTCAGGACTCCAACACCGGCAGCGCCCATGCAGAAGATCTCTGAGGGGCGGGCTGCGGGAAGTCGTGGGACGCGGTGAGGCATGTTGTGTGTTGGTGGTAGGGTGGCTCTTGGTATTCTAAGATGAATGGTCAGCGACATGTAGGCTTATTGGTGATGGGTGATGGCATCGAGAATGGACTGTGTGGCTGACTGAGGGAGAAGAGGTATTGGGGGTGTGGCAAGACGAAGGCAGTTGAAATAGGTACTCACTGTTGTTAATGGAAATCCAACCGAAGAGCGTCGACTGGATCTGATGAAGGAATTGTTTGGGGAAAAGGCAGCAACAAGGAATAAGAGGTAGGTCAGCGTTGGCTGTCGTTGAAGGTGATGATTATTTGGTGGCTTTGATGGCTGTGATGATGGAGAGAAGAGTTACAAAGCCCAAAGTCAAACAGAAAAGGGCAGTTGCCTCCGTTATATATGTGCAACCTGGTCTGTTGTAGGCTTCTTACAAACATGGAGCGGGGTAAGGCGCGTGAGCCCTCGAGGTGCGTACCTGCGAAGGAGAGACACCACGGCGACGAGGCGAAGAGACAACAAGACGGGTATACTTGCCAGGTCGTGGCTTTGTGGGGGATGATACCTCGAGTTATGAGCATCCAGCGCAGGGAGCGATGGTACATAGTAAAGTACGTACTGTGCTGGTGGACAAGGTTGCAATCCAGCGCGGATGGCTTGCAATCTCGCCCAATCTCAAACTCTCCGGCAGGTCGAGACAGACGGTGATTCGTCACGGACCTGTTCGTGCCCTCCATTACGTTGTGTCCCTCCTCGTGACTTACTTGGCTGTCGCTCAAATCCTCATTGCGGTTGGTCAGCATGGTTCTGAAAACAGTATGAGGCGGCGCAAGCAGAGAGGAGGGCTGCAGCGAGCAGGAGGCGGCCGTCGAGGGCGGCGCTACGTCCTGCAAAGTGGCCACGCCAGCGACGCCTCAGAGTCATTGTTGTTGACGCGAGGTCCGGGGTGATGCAGGAGGATCTGCTCCCCGAGAGGTCTGCTCTTCCAGTCAAGATTGAGGTGCTGAGGGCGGGTGGCTTGGGTAAAAGAGTCCCAAAGGATTGGCGTTGGGCCGCGATCAAGCTGTCGAGTGTTGCATTACGATCCCGTTGTTCCTGAAGCCAAGCAGCTTTTCGTCAGGGCAAACGATCGAGGAAGGCCTCCCAGCCTGCCTCAGTCTCAGACCCCCAGACGCCAGGGCACACATGTTCGAGGTACGTGGCAGGGGAGGGCAGGGACTTGCAGGGAGCAAATGAATTGGTCTGGAGCCGACAACGACCCCGCCGGCAGATGTCCACAGTGGCGTGTTTTCTACGTCGACAGTCGCAGTCGCAGGCCGCTTCTTCCTGGGGTCGTTCGACGATTCACTCGGCTTGTGTTGGAAATGCAAGACTCAGCTCAGAATCGGGATCAATTGATGGAGATAAAACGGTGTCCCACGCTCGTCGCACGGCAATGTTGACGGCAATGAGTGAGCATGTTTGTTTTTTATTCTGGTAGCATTCAATGGCATCGACAAAGCAGGAAGGTGCAACGCAGGAGGGGAGAATGCCCCTGCCCGCACCTTCCTCTGTGCCACTCGGTCGTATTTGCTCAGTGTCTTGGGCCAGAAGCCACCGTCCCCCAAATTACTGCTCATTTCAACGCCTGCTCCCCTATATTTCAGCGTCTCATCGCTATTCAGAGGTCTATCGCAGTCCATCAATCACAGCCTCCAGCAACCAGAAGGTCCCCAAGCCCCCTGAAGCGTCTCCACTAAGCCCGCTAAAGACCCGCTTACCCCAGATTCACGGCACTTAAAACGGCGCGATCCTGTTTCCCCGCTTCAGCGAGACCCACCGCTATGCTTATCACTCCAGAGCCACTGAAGTCAGCCAACATGGCCTGCTCACACCACCTCTTGCCCCAATCGACGCCCGGATAAAGGGCATTACGGGGCTCTGGGGAACTGAAAAGGCGGGAGGAAGCCCCTCCCCGAACGCCCGCTGCGACGACCACCTTGCTTCGTCGCAAGACGTAAAGTCGATAGGAGCTGGAGAACCTCGACTCGGTGGTTAGAAATCACTTTGAAGCAGGATTGAGGTCTAGATTGGCTTGATGGTCCTCTTCCAAGACAAATATCAACTCACTCATTGTACGAAGGCCCTTGGGCGTCTGACGGATTCCAGCTGGTCGCGCTGCGCTTCAGATGGTGCGCTGCCCCAGAATACTTTGGCCACATGTATCTTTCTTGACACTCTCTCCCTTCCGTCCCAGCCGCACCGTGTCACACAAGACACCTAAACTGTCAGCACCATCTCGGCCCATTCTGTTGCATCAGGTCTAGTGTCACTCTCCAGAGGCGCAGCACTCGACTGAGTGTGCTCATTTCGTTGGAAATCAGTAGCCGAGCTCAGCTTCTGAACTCGAGAGCTATTCTGACGAAGGCGCGCGTTTATTCTACCAATCTTGCACCTCCAGGCTCGCGAAGTCTTGCTGGGAGACGGAGACAGCTGGAGGCATTGATGCCTGGGAGTTGGCGGTCTGGCAGCTGACTCTGGGCACTGATCCGGGGAGCGACAAATTGTGGGCACCACCCTCGAACCAACCTGCCTACTGTACCATTCTCCACAGCATGTCCCTCTGCAAGCGAGGGCGGGCCATACCTAGGCACATATCCGATGGGCGGCCTGCAGCTTGCGAAGTGGGTGAGTAATGGCGATTCTGGGCACGCTATTCGACAGCACCGGTCAAGCCACTTGACCTGGATCCGGTCCTCTTGGAGCGAGCTGGGGCATGGACCAACTCGTCGAGAGTCCAGACTGTCATCCGTTTGTCACTTCAAAGCCGAATGCCCAGATCCGGGCCAAGAACCGGCTATATGATGGTATGAGCTGCAACGAACTGTCCCTCGCATTCAAAGCTCCTCTAATTATTTTTCCAAACCCATCCGGCCACCACCCGTTGAGAGTTTTCCGAGCCTTAAGCTCTCGGGCCTTGACTAGGGCCGAGTCCAGGGAGTCGAAACTCTTCATGTGCCCCCACGCTGTCCTTGGTGGTTCATCTACGGCCAAATAATCTCGCGTTTGTCTGTCTGTCATATGGGATTATATGTCCTCAAAACTCATGATGACGACAGATACCTCGAAGTCAATATTCTCTCACAACAACACTCCAGGTATCTCTTTGTTTCGAAATCTGGTGACATTACCATCCCGTCGACCTTGAACAACATTACATGCGGGCCACTTTATCAGATCTAAGCCACAAAAGCAGTCCAGCATTCTGTTTCAGCTACTGAGCCTTTCAAACTGCATCAAATGCAAGTATGTGAGCGAGCATTGCCTCCTGGATCTATGACATATTTAATCTGCTCAAAAGTTTTCATCAAACGACTTTCAAGTAGCCCAGTTCGTGGTCAAGTGTAAGCTCGAGCGTGTCGTAAAACCACATGAACTACAAGACTCCCAACAATGCTGGTAAATTTCTGGCATCCGTCTGTCTTGTTGCAGTTCAGTCTTCCTATCTTTCGCCTACGGTGCACTTGACGCCCAAGACATCGTTTCCAAGCTGACACAACATGACTCTCTTCATCTCATGAGATTCAAACTATCGGGTATGTGAGGTTCTAGAAGCGCCAATCTTTTTGCAAGGCTACTTTCGTTGACATTACCTCTTTGGACGTCCAGTGCGTTGGTATGGGGCCAACCTTACATAAACACGGCTCCTCTGGCCAACCTGGAATGTTATTTCGATCAGTTATGAGAAACCAGCAATGTTAAGTTAGGACGTCACAAACGGAGCTTTCATAACGTGTATCCTTGCCCACTGGTTCATTTCAGGCTATCGATGATCATACAGGCCTACTTGAAAGCATTTAGAAAAGCCTGTAAACAGGCATATCACTTCGCGGAACTCGGGCCTACGAACCTCATAGTCGTCAGTACAGCAGCAAATTCAAAACCAATACCAATATCGTTCAACTGCAGAGAAATTCATCTTGCGGGGACTTCATGGCAAAAAGAAGGCATGAATCACTAGGGAAAGAGGCACTAGGGGAAGATGGTGACACGATCGAGTCATCAGAATTGCAAAATAGTTTGGCGAGATTCCAAGCATCGTCCGAAGGAGGCATGCGCAATTTCAGTGCAAACCAAAGCCTCTTGATACACAAGATACACAAATAGGAGGGCTTAGTGCCTCTTCAGCTGGCCCAGTCACATGTCTCATGGCAGAGAGTCATGACTGTCCATGCAACCACGTGAAAAAAGAATCGCCCAGGTTGAACGTCGAGGAGCCATGAAAGAGTAAGAATAGTGGGTGGTGATCTTGAGGGTTGAAGAGTAAACATTAGAGCCCCCGGCACATTGTCATGCCTGACAAGGCTTTCTCTGTCGCTTCGCTCATTTCTGTTTTAGGTTGAAACGAGTTCAAGGCCGCTGCCTCATTGCGAGATGCTGGAGACGGATACATGAAGTTGGCCTTGAGCAGGCGGTTGGTGGTCAAGAGGTGTGTGGTGTGACCCCAGACGTAGGTTTCGTGTCAGAGCAAGACTCTGAAAGGTTGAGAGCGCCGTGTCCTCCTTTTCATTCCCCATAAAGTCCCATCACCTTTGCCATGGTTGATTAGCCCGTCATCGCAGCATCCGCGTCCTTGCCTTCGTCGGCGCCGCGCACCCACAGGACGTTATTGCACCTACAGTGGTCCTCCATTAGCATGCCATGGTCGCGTCTAAAAAGAAGGGGTAAGATCATACCGAATCAACACTTGTCCCAGAGAGCCAGTGGGCTTGTCGGCGATGTACTCCTCGGTGCCAGAGAGCTGGAGGTTCATGTAGCTGTCAACAGAGACGAGGGTGCCCTTGTATTCCACCTCACCCCATTTTAGGCGGACGAGAACGGTCCTACTGACGAGGTCCTGCAGCATAGGGCGGGGGTTGAGGGGTGCGAAGCTCATCTTGGCGGTGTTGATGAGCGTGAGCGACGATGTTGAGGTTGGTGAATGAGCTTTCAGGTGGCTGCGAAAGGACAGGCGCGTCCATGCTCATTAGGTTTAGTGTGACAGCGCTGCCTGAGGAGAAAATTTGCCAGACCGACTCGGCTTTACTACGGCTATTCCAACAGTGAGTTGGCGGCGGGGCGGAGCGGAGCGGAATCTTGGCGGAGAGCCAACACGACTTGACGCGACGCGACGCGGTCGGTCACTGATAGCAAGCCTTCCTTTGACATGGATGAACGCCCATGGCCCAGAGCTGTTAACGACCCCCTGACAGGTACCCAGAGGACGGTGACCAGACAGCTTGCTGGTCCAAGCTCCAAGGATTGGGAACACACAAAGCACCTTCACTGTATCCAGCAATTGGCACCATTCTCAGGCATCGCGCAAACAACTGTGACCCCGGAGAGTCCAACGCAGCAACGCCAAATAATCACCACAGCCAACCACATCAAATGCGCAGATGGGAAATCAAGATGGGCAAGCAATCACTTCACAGTGAAGATGAGTCGCCCGCCACCAGTCGTCTTTAGAAGGAATGGGCGCGCTTTTCACTTCATCTGAGGCATGCCATCTCTTTCACGATTGTGTATGACGTGAACAATCTCATTTCCCGCCGCAGACCCTATAGAAACACTAACAGACAACACTACTGTGAAGTTAGCGGGTCAAAGTTTACCTATCTTGCCAATTCCCTTTTCCCCGTTACAATTAAGCATGACTTTATGATGGTAGATTTATCACACGCCATAGGAGAAACAGGATTATTCCAGCATAGATAGGTAGGTATTTATACAATGAGAGTTACAATCGGTTAACTCAGAGTTAAAGAATATACAGGAGAAAAGTGTGCTCTATCCTACAAGACTCGCCTGATGAGAACAAGTCCAGCCAAACTCGACAATCATTGGCCTACACCATGCTTGACAGAGTCTTGCTCCAGCTAGGAACGATGACAGATCCGGATAAAAACCATCAGGCACAAGCCAATGCAGCCAGGGAAAACACTCCACCAGCCAGACCATTAATAGCACCGGCAATGGCGCCGCCGACCGACGTGATGGTGTCGCAGACACCCTCACCACTATCGTCAATGTCAACCTTGATACTAACAGACATGTCTGCAAGGAGGCTACCATCGTCGTTCTCAACTCGGACAACAATGAGATCAGTCGCCGTGTACTGGTCAGCGTACTCTTTCTTTCCAGCTAGAAACATGTGAGCACAGTTCTACCAGGTTTGCAAGAGTCAAGACGTACGAGAACAGGGAATAAATCCTGCTACAGCACAGCCATTTCCGACGTAATAGCTAACTCCTTGCTCAAAGTCGTACTGGGAAGCACCAGAAACAGCTTTCACGATTTCAACGAGATCATCTCTGCTTCCCTGTTCTCCAACACTGTTGAAACTACCCTCAACAGCGAGAGTAATTGTGGCGGACCTCATCTCTCCGTTCTGGATGACACCAGTCGTGTACTCGATCTTGTTCTCACTATTGCACCCATTCGAGGGGCATTCTTCCTTGATCTTGTCAAAGGCATACCAGGGCGGGGTATAACCATAGGCAACCTTCTTGTTGCCAATGTCCACATGGGTGTTGCCACCATCGGGGTTTGTCCATGCATCTTCGGCGGCAACGCCAATAGCGAGAAGGGAAGTAGAAAAGCAGCTAGTAAATTTCATCTCTTTGAATGATTTACTGGCAAAAGTTAAGGTAGGCGACTAATAAGCAGGACTTATGTGATGAGATAGCGGTGAATTGCTGAGGATGGCAATGAAATGTTGGGAGGAGGTTGATAGAATTTATACAGAGGAGGAGTTCCCGACATCAAGGTGACATTGTTGGATCACACAAATACTAGGGGAGGGCCCAAACCTACTCCAGCCCGCCCTCACAGCCCTCCAGGGCTGAAACAGACACAATCAGTTGACGATCACTACACAATGTATGAGATGCATGGGGAACACAGCCGCTTGATCCGCCGTGTGCTACATCGAATAAATCCTCAAGGGTTAAGGACAGGGCAGAAACCTTCAGCCCTGGCATTCACCAACGAACAATACGCCCATTCAGAGTAAAGGAGTACGATGATTACGGGACCCGGGTACCCTTCCCTCCTGTGGGCCATCACGGGTGTACCCGAACCAGCCGGGGATGAAGAAAGAAGCAAAGTCGGTTCGTCCGCAGGGCTCTGACGGCAGGTTCGGTCTCTTCCTCCGCCACAAGCGGAACAATGTCCAAACGAGCCATCTAATGCGGAGCTCTGAAAGGGGGCGATGCAGGGGCATCTGGTAGGGCTTTCCCAACTTCCAGTAACATTCAGGGCATTCTCAGTTCTATCGAAATGCGATCGTCTCAACAACGCACCATGGTGTCCAAGCTCGTTTCGAGTCTTAAAGCGGGTATCGAGACAATGTCTGCCTTATCGTTTCTCCCATTGGGAGATTTGAGGATCAACAATAAATTCCATGGCATGAGGTCACCATTCCCTAGAGAAGTTTCACTCGTTACTTGGTTGAACGATTCATATGCCTAATCCTGGTAATGGTTGTGGCAATCATATGATTGGGCCCCTGTTCGCTGTTGTCTCAGGATGATAGAACTCACGCGTTCTCTGCCTTAACCGTCAACATATTGTTCAAGCGACTCACTTGGCATCACTATCGGATAGACTCTTCCAGGCTCCTTGCTACTCGGTCGATTCTCTATAATTACGTCAAGATGCATGGGTTGCAGGTCGGCACGCTGACGATCGGCGGCCCAAAATCCTTCGTGTGAAAAACACGACGATCATCAATTGGCAAGATAGAGAAAGAATGAGAAGCAAGTACCCAAGCGCTTTGCGCCGGCAGAATACCAGCGGCGTATCATTCAAGGCCACATCATCGATTCATGAAGCCAAGAGTGTGAAGACTTCAACGCGACTAGCTTCGTGAATGTGCAAGTTGATGATCCTATCGACATTGACAGCAGATGTCATATTGTAACAAATGTGGTATAGTTCAGCTTGGTGATTGACAGTTTTCACGCAAACTGTTTCGAGTTGATTGTGTGGGGGGAGTGAAATCGTCAAGAAGAACAAGGACACATACGATTCAAGTTTCAGCGCATCCTTCTCAATGCACCGTGGTGGACACGACTAAGAGCAGGGGATTTTGTTATTATCCCACCTTCATCATCAAAGATGGCATTCGCGCTCGGCGCATGGCTTGCATTCAAGGCCTTGGAATACGAGACGAATATTGACCAATGTGGCAAGATTAATGCATTTCGTCTCTAACTTTTTTTGTGCTCACGCACGACTATCTATAAGGACCATTGATGCTATCCGCTGAACAGGAAGACGGGTATGGAATCGAACTTAGTGCCAGGGGTGAACAGTTTATTTCTCGTTGAATCTACTTCTGCACGAAACCTAGGTTGTGCTGCATGAACTAAGATAAGACCTCTTCTATATCAACTTGGCCTCACAACATCAGCTCCAAAATCTTGGTCTTACGAAGCTTTGGTTTTGAGATATCAATGTCTTATTCTTAAAATCCATAAATGAACCATATGGAGCTCCCTGCCGAAACAGCCGCTGGGATGTCGTGAATTGATGATCGAGAATCGGGGTGTCGATCAACGGAAATTTACTTCTAGACATTGTCTCTGTCCTACAGACTGCCGAGGGTTGCTACTTTGGTCGACATTCTAAATCCGGTTGGGAACAGAGATGGCTTCTCACTGCATTTGGCAGAGTGAGACATGCCGAGAAAACTCTCAAGCTGTCAGGGGAATGATGTATAGGGTGCTTGGCCAGTGTGTTTCTCGGTCAATTAATCTTTGAATACGAAGAAACGAAACTACATGGCAGACTAGTTGTCATTTCGTGGCCGTAAGTGATGTTGTGAAGAAATGCAGCAGACTATAAAAGCAGGGTGAAGCTAATTGGATATAAATGCAATAGAGAGACACTGTAGCCAATCTTGGATCAAACTTTCCGAAGCCCAAGACATTCAAAGCATGGCCAGCAAGAGCTGAGACTTCTCAGCCATTCACTTACCCGGAAGCTCAGCTTTTGTCGAATGAGGAAGGCCAACTGCCGAGCTGGGTGTTCATGCCGGTTGCACCGCGCCACAAGATCTCGGAACAGCAAGAGGTTGTGTAGTCGGTACCTCGCGGCGCTTTTCCCAGGTGCAAGATTGTGTGGAATGGAAGGGTGTCTCGGGTACTTGTACTTGCTCGAATCTCGGATGCACGTGGTGCCTTCCGCCCCACCATTCCAAGCCTCAAACAGCTAGCCGCTTCACAGGAGAGACATTCCACCGACCCGAATGTCGTCCAAGAACTGACCGAACCTGGTGATCCTGCCGTTCGCAGTTCCTCTTCTCCATATACTTTCGACAAATTCTCGCCTCCGCTCACGGATGGTAGCTGAAGCTTTCAAAGGCAGCTGAAGCAGCTGAGGGTATTAAATGATATTGTTTTCTTGGACTCTTTCCTATCAACATACTCTTCATTGAGCTTTACAGCACAGCTGCAGCTCTAGCTCTTTTAGTCTACCTACGTCACCTTGACCACCACGTCCAACTCGAGAATTCGTAAACATGGCCGACTTCAATGGAACCCCGAGCAGCCTGGGGAGCACGACTAGCAAGCGGCAGGCTGCCATCCTTGATCGACATCTCCCAGATGGCTACTCTGCCGAACCTGACGTTGTTTTGGGCCCATCCGAAGGCCCTGTTCCCTCGACCTCCGCCGTCAGCCTCGACCGAACCTCCCAAGCAGACCCCGTCGAATCATCCCTTCTTCTGCAGGGAGGCGACATGCATCGCGACATGTTCAAGATCAAGGCTCGTGCAAACTCGATTCGCCGTGCCAACACCTTCTCCCACCACGCCTCTCCACGCTTGGGCCCTTCCGACGAACTATCATACCCCGAACAGCGTGAGCCTGGTGGCTTCAGACGACACCACTTACAACTTCGAGCACGACAGAGGCGAATGAGTAGTTACACTGTCGTTGCAAAGAATTTTGTCGATTTCCTCGACCTCTACGGCAGCTTTGCTGGCGAAGATCTCGAGGATGCTGATAGTGAAGACGAATCTGCCATCGACGATCAAGATGAGGAGGCCGACGTGGAACAACCACCTGAGCTTCGGCCACTTCTTGGTCGCAGAAAGAGCTCTAAGAGATTGCACAAGAAGGGTGATGCAACAACGACCAAGACTTTTTTCACGCTCATCAAGGCCTTCATTGGCACTGGAATCATGTTCCTTCCCAAGGCCTTCCGCAACGGAGGTATCCTGTTCTCGTCAATTACCCTCATTGTTCTGTCCCTCGTCAATTGTGGATGCTTTCGGCTTCTTCTCGACTGCCGCGACAAGTATGGAGGAGGTTACGGAGAGCTCGGCGCTGCCATTGTTGGTCCACGGTTTCGAAGTCTGATCCTTGCGTCGATTGCCATTTCCCAGCTTGGCTTCGTCTGCGCTGGACTCATCTTTACGGCAGAGAACCTCTGGGCTTTCCTTGATGCAGTTACTGCAGGCGATCACAACCTGATGCTGAGTGTTCCAACTCTCATTGCCCTGCAGTTGCTCATACTCATCCCACTTGCCCTGATCCGAAACATCTCCAAGCTGGGACCTGTCGCTCTGCTTGCTGATGCATTCATTTTGATCGGCATTGTCTACATCTGGTACTACGACGTTGCAGCTCTTTCTCGGAATGGCATGGACCCAACAGTCAGACTGTTCAACCCTACTGACTTTCCACTGACAGTGGGCTCGGCCATCTTTACGTTTGAAGGAATTGGTCTCATCCTTCCGATCCAGTCAAGCATGAAGAAGCCTGAGCAGTTCAGCAACCTCCTCTACCTTGTCATGTTCATCATCACCATCATTTTCACGTCAGTGGGAGCCATGTGCTACGCCACCTTTGGCGAGCGCACCAAGATCCAGGTCATCTCCAACTTTCCTCAGGACTCGCCCCTCGTCAACGCAGTCCAGTTTCTCTACTCCTTGGCAGTCCTGGCAGGCGACCCTGTTCAGCTGTTCCCGGCGGCTCGTATCATCGAGACGTCTGTGTTTGGCGAGCGGGCAACAGGAAAGAAGAGCTTTGCGATCAAGTGGAAGAAGAACGCTCTCCGAACGCTCATTGTGGGAGTGTGCGCTGGCGTCAGTATCGTTGGCGCCAGTGATCTGGACAAGTTTGTTGCATTGATTGGGAGTTTTGCTTGTGTTCCTCTGGTTTACATCTATCCGGCGTATCTGCATTACAAGGGGGCTGCGGAAAAGGCTTGGGTCAAGGCACTTGATGTGGTGCTCATGGTGGTTGGGTTCATTGCCATGGTCTACACTACCCTGGTCACCGTCTCCCAATGGATCAACGACGCTACTTGACTGGGGAGGTGATTGGATACGGCACGGACGGTAAAGCGAAGAGAACAGAAGGCAACTTTAAAAAAGGAGGGCGTCAGCGGTTTATTGTTCTGCTTTATAGCGTCTATTTCATGATTTCATTGCAACGGCTTATTTGGCGCTAACTGAGGCCTTATCGAAGGTCAATACAGAGGATATTAGCTCTCGACTCGACAGCGAACTGGGGGAGGAGGAAGAGGAGGCTGTGTGCATTTGTTCCTGCATCTTTTTACGTTGAGGCTGTACACAGATTGCTTCTCATGATAACTCAGCTTCTGCTACAGTGTCCCATTCCGGCTGAACCGAATGCTGGCCTTGGGGGTGTGCCATCCATGCTGACTGTTGCTGATTGATACCAAGGCGGCTAACTTGCCCGAGGCGATTGGACTGCAGCATCGGCATTCACTTACAGATGAGGGCATCCGTCAAGGGTCCATCCATCCAGTGTGCCTAACTCATGAGCTGACGCTCGGCTCCGACGTGCATGACCAACTGCTGCCAGAGGCGGCATCTCATCCAGGAACGTGTATCCGGCCATGTCTGTTCAAGAACTGAGGACCCATGAATGGCTTTCCTGACCGCTGGACCTTACAGATTGTGGATCAAAACAGATTCTGCTGCTCACATGAAGATGAACAGCCCCAGGGGCAGGGTGAGAAGGAGAAACATGACAAGGGAGCGCCAAAGGCGTCCCGCAAGCGGATGGCGCTCAGGAGCGCGGGATGCTTCCAGACTCTTGGTATTTTCACCTTGTGGGCGGTGGCCACTGAGACATGTCATCCGAAAGCCAACGTCCCCGGGATTGCCTAAAATGGAACAAGGGCATGTTGTGCCGGCCCGCCAGCCGGACAAAAGCCTGAGGGATGGCTGTCGGGCCTCTTCAGCTGCAAGAGAAGCTTCTTTTGGCTTTGGAGATGCACCTTTGCCATCTAGAACCTCGTCCCTTGTCGCCCTTTCATCCTGACTCTCCTCGCCCGTTCGTCGGCCCCGAGATCTGCGGGGCAGGGATGTATTCCGCACGTGAAGGCTTTTGATGCAGCTGGGTAGCCAATGGAACAATGGATGGCTATATTCGGCACTGCAAAGGGATATGCACCTGTCCTCGTGAGATGTGTCCGTCTCTTGCAGTGGAAGCATGATCTCAACGCTGATGGTGATGCTTGGGCGGCCTTGACACTGCCGATCTTTGCCCGGGATGCCCCCAGCTTCCAGCGTGTCGGGAGCGCCCCATGGATCTCAAGCTTGATTTTAATACATCACATCTACGTTTACCTTTCCCATCTGCGGATATGTATATGCGATAGGAAGACGATCCCGATCTACTCTAACAGAGGTGTGACGTTTTGGCGTAGGGATTGCTGGCTTGGATGACCGTCTACTGACCTCCAGATTACATGTAGAGTTGGTCATAGATGATGGAACAGCCTGGGTGTGCCCATATTGGGTTCCTTTGGGCTTCATGAGCCAGATTGCGCAAGCAAGCACACTGCACTGCATCCCACCCTCGAGATTATCTCCGTTTCAGGAACACGTCTCGGCAGACTCCACCCCGAGGGCGCCGAGCGAGGGACGGGATTCCTCTTTCTACCAGATCTCATGATGTGAGTCTCCATCCTTTCCAATGCAACTATCATGGAAGGTCCTAGGGCAGGGTGGGCGGCGGGACCGGTATCAATGCTAATGTCTCTGGCGGGGAAGTCCGCGAGCTTGGCCTGGACTGGGTGTGCGGGGGAGGGAAGACAAGTCTGTCTCAACAAAACTGAGGCTGACGAGCAGCGTCGTGTCACCCAAGCCGGCCTGCTATCTTTCTAGAGTCCATGTGTGTGCTAAGATTGCGTTCGCGATAATGTGACCCGAAGTGCTTTTCCAAGCGTAGGTAGACTGATATAGCGAAATGACTTGACTGCAATGGCTCAAACGCTAACCGACGCGCCACTACCCCAAACTCGACATCCCGGCCCATGCTAATGTTAGATCTAGAGCCACGGGGAGAGGAAAGAGAAGAATTGGGAGAGGCCGAGTCTCGTTATTGGAGAAAGCTCTCTGCGGCTTGATGGGGAAGCTGGGGATAAAGGTACCTACCATTGCCGGAGTAGATTCCGCTTGACCTTCCCCACACAACACACCCAGAAGACAATCAATCAATAGCGCCCTCGCCCATGGGACTGATCGGCTCGTTGCGACAAGGACTGCTCCTTTGTAAGCATTCGGATTCTAGCATCTGGTCATGGGGTTTTCCAACGAAGCAGCAGACGATGTTCAACCAGGCTCGTCGAACTCCGGCAAAAGGCAACACCCCCCCGGGGATACACAAGGTTAGGGCCAAGACGCGGGGGCGTCAAGGGTGGCTGACGTCGATCGTAGCTCGGCTAGGACCTGAGTTAACTGTTGAAGGAAATCCGAGCCTCGTTCGGCATCGTCAATATCGTCCTAGTGCTTGACCCTTTCCCGCGCGCACGCCTCTCACACAGCAGCAGCTGCTCGTGCTTCCCTCTCTCCCTGCCATGCTAGGCAGAGGCGCAAACTCTCACACACCCTCGCTCGCAGAGTCGCTCCTCTCTGTGTCCACGGCTCTTTGCTTTGCCCCTCCATCACAGAGCAGAGATACTCCCTCGTGACACCTTTCGTGGTGTGGTCAAGGTGACGAAACGCCACTGGGAAATCTCAATCCGGTCTAAGAAACCATGAGGACTCGAGGGTGTGTCCCGACGAGGGGAAGCTCATGGCCATGACGGGTATGGCTCATGGGCTCTTGAGCTTCTGTACAAAAGGGCCCGACCTCCCGCTCATGTCGAGGTAGAGTCGAAAAGAAACCGTCAGCTCAATTGAACGACAATCCAAGCTCCCACCATCCTCACAACCTCATCCCGACACACAATGTCCAAGTTCGCTCCCGTCCTGAGGTCGCTGGCCCGCCAGCCTCTGCCCAGACAAGTTCTGCCACTCCGGACAGCTCGGTACGCTCCTGTCGCCGTCCGCGCCTTTCACAACACCACTCCCCAACGCAACGCTGCTCTTGGCCAGGCTCACCTCCTGCCCGAGTTCAGCCTCCGCGATAAGGTCATTGTCGTCTCGGGCGGTGCGCGAGGTCTAGGTCTGGTTCAAACCGAGGCCCTACTCGAGGCGGGTGCAACAGGTAAGATTCTATAGCATGGCGCATTGTACCACACGTCACTAACTGTCTGTCAGTCCATGCCATTGATAGGTTGCCCTCGCCCGCCAACGACCCCTCCACTGGCTTCTCCAGAGTCGCCAAACGGGCACAGGAGGAGCTTGGCACCTCCCTGACATACCACCAGTCCGACGTGAGAAACGTTCCCGAGCTCAACCGCATCTTTGAGGGCATCGCCGACACCACTGGCCGCTTGGATGGTCTCATTGCTGCCGCAGGTATCAACCAAGAGACGCCAGCACTCGAGTACACGGCCGAGGATGCCGACAACATGATGAGCATCAACTTCACCGGCGCATTCATGACAGCGCAAGCAGCTGCCCGCCAGATGGTCCGCCTTAAGCAACCAGGCAGCATCTGCTTGATCGCCAGTATGAGCGGCACCATTGCCAACAAGGGCATGATAGCGCCGTAAGTAAAACGCATCAACTGCCAAGTACTCACCCGCTCACGCATTTACTAGGGTGTACAACCCATCCAAGGCTGCTGTGGTACAGCTCGGCCGCAATCTCGCTGCTGAATGGGGCCAATACGGCATCCGCGTCAACACCCTCTCCCCCGGCTACATCCTGACCCAGATGCTCCAGAACCTCTTTGACGTCTACCCCGAGCGCAAGACCAAGTGGGCTGAGGAGAACATGCTTGGCCGCATCAGCATGCCGAACGAGTACCGCGGCGCCGCGGTCTTCCTCCTCAGTGATGCAAGCACCTTCATGACTGGCGCCGATCTCCGCATCGACGGCGGTCACGCTGCTTGGTAAGAGCTGGACAGCATCTGTGGGAGAATAGGGGGGGACAAAAGCACGCTCGCGCATAGCCAGGTTGGATGTCAACATTTTTGGGTATCTGAAATATTTTTTTGGGAGCGAGGAGAAAAGGTTTTTGTACAGTCGTGATACTCGTTGCGTCACTCCTTTGGCCATAATAGCAGGTAGAAGAACAACGACTTTATAACTCGTATTGAGTCTTGCCCTTTAGTTGGGACTCGTGACGTGTGATATTATGCCCTGCGGACCGAGCCTCCCCAGAAGCCCCGGTTGTATCCTGAGCCTCGACTCAATGTCCTTGTCAGGGACACCACGGTCGCGCAGCTTCGTAGCATCCACCACAGTCCTCATGTCGAGGAACCGCCTTCCGTCGACGCCGCGGCCGATCGCTGCGAAATCCTCTTCCGCTTCGTCCTGCAGTCGCTGTCGGGCTTCGAGGGCGACGAGGGTCGGGTTGCTTCGGCTTGGGGCGAACGATGGTCCTAGGGGAGCTTGAGGGCCAAGCTGCGACGAGGCGGTAGACGAGGGAGAGTATGTCGGATTCGGCTGAGCAATACCCATCTGCTGAAGACGGCGCGAGAAGTCGCCAGTCGGGAAATCGGGATCCATGGAATCAGCACGGAGAGCTAGCAAATGCGAGTCAGCGCAAGCAGTGAAACACGGCACATATTAGTAAATTACCCTCATCCTTGGTGCCATCACCCAATGTCTTTGACTTTGGCTTCGCTACGGGCTTGGGGCGAGGAGGTCCTTGAGGGACAGCAGCTCCGGGAGTTCGAGCAGGGTATTTCCGCGGTGCGCTGCGGGCAACCTTGGAGGAAGACGCGCCCATTGTGTTCTATGCGTAAATATTAAAGATTAGGAACAAGAGAAGAGGAAGAAGCGTTAGTAGTACAGGCGCACAAGCGGTTTGGGGTCGAATTGAAGCTGCGGTTGCTAGTAAAAGTGGTGACGACCTGGACTTTTTTTGATGATGTTATCCATGTCGGCGCGCAATTCTTCCGGTGTCACAACTTCAACCTACCATCATCAAGACCGGAGCACGACAAAAGCATAGTCCGATCAATTATTTCATTAAAATGAAAGAAAAGAATTCTAATAAACTACTCTGTCTCAATATAAGCCTCACAAACACAAAGAAGTACCTCACCATAGACAACTGCCACAGTTCGTCAAAGAACGAAAGCGAATCAAGTCACCAGTGGAACAAGTGCTGCCATCAATTGGCTTTGATTCTACCTACTTGCTTTTACAACTATCTAACACTGAAAACAAACCTGACTGAAAAAAACAGAACATAATCGAATATTACAACAAGAGACAATACGTCGCTGGTGACGCTTGTGGCCTGAAAGCCCGCTCGAAACGAGCCTTGCCTCATCCAAGAGACTCCGTGCTCCTTGCCCCCCCTTCCATCGTCCAAAACATCGTATACTCCTGGTATCCTTCCATCATACCCATACTCCAATACATCCCTATTTTTACAAGACCCAGTCTTACAATTTTAACCTCGTATACTGACCGATGAAGAGTATCAAAGACCCTCCTTTCCAACACACTTGAATCCCTCCAGCGCTGATTATGCTCTCTGTGCAATATTCTGCGATATCTCGTCCACGGTTGGATTCCTGAAACGGGTTGTCGAATTAGAACCACATCGGATCACAGCCAGGTTTGAGTCCTTGGATCGTCTCTGTCTCCCTCTTGAATGCAGCACCTCTCTTCTTCAGCACCTCCTGCAGCCTCCTGAACTCAATCTGATTCTTTGACAGCTTCGGCTTGCTCTGATTCTTCGGCTCATTAAACTTGCTCTGATCAATCAACTCATCGAAGTTGATCAGCTCATTGAAGTCGCTCTGATCCTTCAGCTCATTGGAGTTGCTCTCCAGGTCCACAGGGTCAGCGAATTGCCACTTAGGAACAATCATATTCCCCTGCGAATCCTCCATCCCTACAAAGGCACCGTTGCTCAAGCAAACCATCTTGCCATTGAGATACTCTGTGTCAATGGGGCGAATACGCTGCCCTAGCATGGTGTGGCACCAGAAGTGCTCCCCGTCAGGTGTAATATCACGCTTAGCGAGCTTGACCAAGTCACCAGAGGCGGCGTGCACGTCGCACAGAGAATCTCCAACCTTGTAGAGGCCCATCACGTTTCTCTTATGGAGGTGACGGGCCATGTCGGCCTCCCAGCTGGTGCATCCACCATTCTTAAGCATGTCCTCAGCTGGGGGTGTTGGGGGATAGGATGCAGGCCTGGTGGAGGTTGACTTCCTGACGCCATTGACTTGACTGCCATGTATCCTGCTGTGTACCTCAAGGCCATTGCGGCGAACTGATCTCCTCTGATGAGCAGCCCCGGTGATGACAGCGGGGGGTTGAAAGAGCTGACTGACTGGTGTAGTCACTGCGGTGTTGGTAGATGGCTGATGGCTGCCATGAAATGCCTGGCTGACTGGCTCCCCCTGGGTAGCGGCCTCGGTGGTGTCAACGGAGAGTTGAGATGTCTGATGGACTGGCGACTTTTGGGGAGCAGTTACGGCAACGTTCGTAGAGGGTTGCTGGCTCCCAAGAGAGGTCTGGCTGACTGACTTCTCCTGGGGGGCAGTCCCGGTGGCGCTAACAGAATGTTGAGAGTTCTGGTTGTCGAGTATCTGCATAAGAGTAGCGACCGCCCTGTCGGTAACGGACTGATGACTCTCATGAGAACTCTGGCTACCAAGCGTTTCGCAATGAGCAGCCCCTGTGTTTTCAGTAGGGGGCTTAGAGGGCTGACAGTCTGGTGACTTCTGAAGGCCAGTCGCAGCAGTGTTGACAAAGGGTTGGTGACTCCCAGGAGGAGTCTGATTACCTCGTGTTCCCTGAGAAGCAGCTCCTGTGGCATTGACAGAAGACTGAAGCGCCTGAGGAGGGACCTGGGGAGAGCGCTTGCGAGCGGCCTGGTTAACTGACCTCCCTCGAAGTGCAACCTTTGTGATATTAACAGAGGGCTGAGAGAGTTGATTGACTGCTGACTCCTGAGGAGCGGCCGAGGCGGTGTTGTTGGAGAGGTAATAGCTCTGGCAAGGAGTCTGGCCAACTAGTGTCCCCCCAGAAGCGACGCTGGTAATATCGACAGAGGACTGAAGGGCCTGGGGAGCAGTCCCAGTGGTGTTAACAAAGGACTGGCTGACTAGCGACTGCTGAGGAGTGGCCAAAAAAAGGTTGGCAGAGGGGTGATAACCCCCGTGAGGAGTTTGGTCAACGAAGGTTCCCCAAGGAGCAGCCCCGTTGGTATGAACAGAGGGTTGAGGGGTCTGGTTTCCTAGCATCTCCATCGAAGCGGTCCCTTCAATGCTGCCATAGGCCTGGGGATACTGAGGAGAAACCTGATGAGAGGCTTGGCCAGCTGACATTCCTTGAAAGGCGGCTCCAGCAACGTTCGGCAAGGGCTGGGAGTACCAGGCGTTGGGAGACGGTTGAGGATAGCCGTTGAACCCTGCGCCGGTAGGAAATCTATGCATATCATACGCATAGTTCGGCTCCTGCGTCCCCGCTTGGAAGTAATTGTTCGAAGTAGGATACATCCCGTGAGTCGACGCCTGAGGCGCGGGCTGGAGTGCGAGCAGGTCGATGTCTGGGCACCCATCTCTCGCCCGAAAGGGTTGGAAAGCCGACCCGGGTCTCTGCTTCGAAGCTGTTAGAATCTTTTCCTTGGGACTAGGGAATCTGTTCCTTACCAAGGGAACCGGCTCAGGATAATTCATGAAAATATGCTGGGGATTCTGGATCTGACGAGCAGCCGGACCCGTGAAAAATGAAGCCGGAGACGGTCCATGGCGAGTTTCATCAGCCTGGTACTGGTCCGCTACCGCTGAATGCATCACTGAAGGAAAATCCATGTTGCTATTGCTGTGATGATTATGCAGGATAGAAAAGACGGAGTGGAAGAGAGGATAGCGAATGTAGCAAAGAGGATAAACGAACGAACCCGAGATGGGTAAACAAAGCAAGATTCAATACTGATTCTTGTTCTGCTTCCCATCAAAGTTTTGATGTTTTGTGTTCGTTCGTTGCTATGTATCGTGAGGGTAGGAAACTCTGAGCATGTCAGTTGCTAGGGGAGGAACGGAGCCTTGACAACTGGCGGGCAGTGCAGAACTGGCCAGACTGCTGGCGGGCACTCGGCCTTTTATAGCAGGAAATTTGCACACCCGTGAGCTTGAACTCCCTCTCATATCTAATCAGAACCCGGGTTATTTTGATAGACATGGTCAGGTTGTTGCTGAACCTTAGTTACTAAACCGCCGGTGACTCCTCCAGTTGAGTTTGGGAGGCGAGGACGGCATCTCGCAAAGAGCACAACACTAGATGCCATCACTTGAATAGTATCGTCCTGTATCTCTATCGAAAGCCCCTCGACTGTCAAGGCATTGTAGCCCTGGAATCAAACCACTGGGGAGAGCAGGCCTGGTCCCTGCCCAGGAATCCGTGAGCCCTTCAATTTCAAAGCAAAGGATGGATCGCGGGTGCCTGGAAGGAGTCATCACCCAAATCACGGGCGTGTAAACCTTCTTGGGGTCATCTATCTCTGTGGCGGGTTGCTGCGCAAAGAGCGTGGCAGAGGGTGGACATGTCACGAGCCTGACGGCTCGTCTTTCCCCCAACAAACATCAACCGTGAGATTCACATGCCCAATCACGTGGGCAAGAACGCCTATCAAGCCCTAATCCAGGAAATTCCAACCCCAGATCCAACCTTGCTCCTGACCGAGCGAAGTACCTCCTAAGAAGGTGTCTTGTTGATTATCAAAGAACACTGGCTCTTCGTTCGGGTTGGCTATACTCAATGGGTTTGTTATGGCTGTCCAAACGGTCAGTGAATAGGGGTATCCTTGTTTCCCGACTGAAATACTACGTACCTTGCTCATATTCTAAAACTGCCTCTGTCATGAATGTATTCTCGCAAAATTCGACGAGTTGGTCATCGAATGTCCCATTGATTGTTTCGCTGGGCAGATCGATGTGTGATAACTCGGAAAGGTCTCCTTCAGCAGCAGCTGATATTTCCACTGGTACCTGCGCTGGGGCATGATCAGAGGATCGTTCTATGGAAATTCCCGTGGAGGCCTCTCCTCTTTCGTAATCTGTGGACCGTTTGCCTGTTGTTTGGCCCCCTGGACCAACTTCGAACATGGCGTCGACTTCCTTAGCCATGACTAGAGACATCAGTCTTGTTGTTATGTCGAGTCCCTGGGCAGCAAGAATAGATTTATCTTTCAACAAAGCTTGTATTTGCATCAGTCTTCGAATCCCCATCCTCGATTCGTACGCTTTCAAGCTCAATGGGTCGAGCGATATTGATATGCACAGGGTCACGCCAGCGGTGAGAAGATGCAACGAGACAAACGCAATGGCGTATGTTTCAGAGGCTTCGCGCAGGTATGTGGTTGATCCGACCTGGGATATTTGTAGCGCGGCGTCTCGGCAAGTATGCATTGCAAGCTGGAAGGGGTCTTGGCAACCAGGAGTGTCTTCTCGGGCTTCAGGGGGGGGTCGGCGCATTTTGAAGGATAATAAAGGTCTGTGGACGAGAATCCTTGCATTTTCGTATGCCAGCTTGAGCGAAAGTGCTTGGAGTCTGAAAAGGTGTTCCTCAAACTCCACCTCGGATTGAGTTGAACGGCCAGCCACTTGATCACTAGTCAATGATTGGCCAGCCAACTCGTCATACTTGAGTTTCGGGGATAGAGTATCGTTCCATCTAAGTAGTCTTGAGTTTAGAGATGCCACCTTGTTGACGAGACTCTTCAAACGGGCGGCCTGGCTCGGGCCTTGCCGCTCCCCGTTACAACGAGTCCCGTAGAGATCGTCCAATGCTGACTTGACAATCGCGGACAGTTTCGACATGGCGCATTTGAAGAACAAAAGGTTTGGTTTCGTCGCGTATTGCTCCTCTGACATGGAGCCCGAGTATTCGTCGTACGGGTTAAGCGGAGCGACGTCGCAATCGCGGTCGGATATACTCGAAGGAAAGCCGTATAGCATCGAACAGAAAGTTTCAATCTCGTATATGGCCCACCAGGCACGTTTTCGATCTTCAATCATCTTCCGAAGAGACTCGTCATCGGATTTGTCGTTTGGGACCCTGCGATGGAGGTTAAGTGCTTGAGCTATGCGCAAACCGGAGCCGCACAGCGGCCATGCCATCTCGGGCTCTCCATGATAGAGGTAGTAGCTGCCCAGCAGGATACACATCTGGACAACCTCCAAAGAGCCCAATGATATTATGTCGAGAAATCTGAGTTTGAGGCCTACCAATATCTTGTTTGTGAGTGCCTCGACGTCGATGCCGTGCGAGAGGAGGAGGTGCTTCTGTTCAACGTTGGTGTATTGCAAGCTGGTTGCAAAGACAGCCAAAAGTACAGCAAGGTAACCAACACGGCCGTTGGTTTGGCTAGCCTCGTTAGAAGGACGTGGGCCAGGGCCGTATAGATTTTTGAACTTGTTCCTAAAATCACGTTGATGAAAGACCAGCATGAACCAGTGTATCCGATCGAAGTAATTTTCGACCAGTGTCTTTGCCACTTCCAAATCGGGCAGCAGCATCAACAGTTCTTGCTCTGTGGCAATGGAGATGGGCGATCTTGGCACTTGGCGGCGTCGAGTATTCTGGAGGTGCTGAGAGAGCATTCGCTGCAACGGACTGGGTGCTCCCTGCGGTTGTCGCTGCCCTGACACTCTGGGTCTCGGGTGAGCCCATGTGCTTGCCAGGAAAGCAGATGTCTCTGCCTCCTCGGGTGAGGGTGCTTCATGATGATGGAATGCCTACAAATCAGTCTTAGCAATAGCGTCAACATGGACCTTGATCATCTTCAAGTCGTACTTCCTCAACAAGTGTGATTGTGGAACTTGCATTCCAGGGAGCGTCTCCAGTAGAATCGTCAGGAGCTCTGGTTGGGCTCGAACTGATGACTTCAGGGCTGGCAGGTCCTTCCCCTACTGGTTGAGATGCCGGCGCAGAAGACCCATCTCTCGTCCGACGGAGCCGGCGTCGTTTGGCTGCTGGCTCTCCACGGGTGGAGGGGGTTTCCTTCTGTGGATGGTGGACTCTCCATCTTTCGACCGGGGGCGTGATGCATTCTACGTTGGACCGCACGCACAGGGTACACGGACGTTCAACATCGCACTGAGTCTTGTCTTAGTCATGGTTTTTGGTGTAACAAGGAGGGAAAAGGAGGATGCTCACCTTGAGCTTCTGTTTGCGACACCTCTCACACGCGCTGGGGACTTTTCCTCTCATGCCTGGGATCAACCTCGTGTTTCTTCCGATAACAATCAAATGAAACGGAATGATAAGACAATGCAAGTAATTCAGGAAGCCAGATGAAGAATGCCACCGGGTCGGGAAGAAGTCAAGTTAAGGTTGTTCCACCGGAACCGATTTCCATTTTTGGTACTTGCGGTCACACGCGATTCCGTTTTCGGCCGCTCCGCTTCGTGCGTGAATGTGTTTGCTCCACCACCTCGTTTGTATCTGAACTTTTACAGCATCAAACTCCATTGTCCGACTCACTCTCATGCTGAATCATGATGCCTTCCTTTGAAGAAGCAGTGCTGGCCGCCGAAGCTGCCAATACCATCTCGGCATTTGTTGCCCAAGAACAAATTCGGACACTTTCGGATCTCAAGCACGCCCTCTTTCAGCCATCCGCGACTAAACACAATCAGAATGCTACAGGTACTTCACATTCTGCAAGCGTCATAGTTCTGTGCGCATCCGCAGTACTATCTACTGCAGAGACTGTCATGTCTGCGGTGGCGGAACTAACCAAAACGACTGGTCTGTAGACTTTCTCACCATCCAGATTCCCTACAACTACAATAATATAGAATAAATCTAACTTTATGAATAGGCACATCTCCACCAAATCAAGAATCCATAGTTCTTGTTCTTTGCGGTGGGATTGGTCATTCAACCCAGCTGATGCACGACGCTGTCCTCCGTCACCCGCAATACAACACTCTTGCCGAACAAGTACGGGGACAGCCAGAAGGCCGCATCTTGCAAGCAATCGGGGAGAAGTTTTTCGACCTACAAATTAGCAGCAACGGCTCGGGGTCAGGAGATACACAGCGGCAAGGCCTGACCGTTCTTGTAGAAGACGCTTCAACGAATTGCGCCCTCAATGCCCAGAAAACGAGAGAGCTTTTAGATGCTCACGGGTTCAGGTCGCCAAGATCGATAGTAGTTGCTCAGGACCCTACTATGTGTAGGCGCACAGTAGCTGCATTCGAGCAGGTATACGCCGACGTGGTCGAAGGGCCTCCAATATTCAGCAGCTGGCCAACACTCGTACCGAAAGTGATTGCCAAAGAAGCTTCAGTAGGAGACACCAACAGCCTCTTGCCGTATTTGGATTTTGCCGACTTGGGTATGGGGGACGGCTGGAAGGCGGGCCTCTGGAGTATGGATCGATTCATGTCTCTACTTGTCGGCGAAATCCCACGAATGCGTGACGACGAGAATGGATACGGACCAAATGGTAAAGGTTCCATCGTCCATGTGGACATACCTCAAGATGTCGAGGATGCTTGGAAGACACTCTGTGAGCTTCTTGGGTACAGTGGACGATAAGAGGGGGCCAGTACTATCTATTCGCTCAGTTATCCTATCAAGGGCCGGGCTTCAACTATAACAAAGAACACAATGTTAGGAGTCAGTACAATGCAGCTGCTCTTTTGGACCCGCTGATCAATTTCATTGGAATGAACGACACTGCAACTTAAGCATTACATGTATATACCCATGTAGGAGATCCCTTATGTGCGGCTGGTTAGGTGTTGAAGTCAATCACGCACCGGCCCGCAACCTTTCCTTGTCTCAATAAGTCAACAGCCTCCGGTAAGCGATCAATGCCAAACAGCTCATATACGGGTTTCAATAAACCCCGTGCAGCAAACTCCAGCGCATCTTCAGTGTCCTTCATGGATCCAGTGAGTGTTCCAATGACTTTGAGGTTGCGGAGCATCAGAAACATGGGATCATCGCCAGCAAAGGCAGTCCCAGAAGGGGGCATCCCAACACACATGATCTTCCCACCGATGCAGGCCATCTTGGTAGCCATTGCATACGACTTTGGTGATGATGCCGTGACAAACACCCCGTCAACTCCTTTCCCAGAGGTGATGCGTTTGATCTCTTCAGGGATGTCCTCTGTATCGGCAAAGTCAACAAACTCTTCGCAGCCAAGATCCATGCACATTTTGCGTTTCTTCTCGCCAGCGTCGATACCGATCACTCGAAGGCCCATTGCCTTGGCAAGCTGTACGCCCATGTGGCCTACGCCTCCACCAGCTCCAAGAAATGCGGCCCAATCTCCAGGTCGAAGTTGAGACTCTACAAGCTGAATATGTTAGTGTAGATTCGGTTGTAATGGATCAAGTGATCTTGACAACATACAGATCGATGCATAGTTGATCCGCTGCACATGATGGGACCAGCCGAGAAGTCGTCTACCCCGTCCGGGATTTTAGAAGCGTATCTAGCTGGGCTCAAGATATACTGCTGGTAAGTTCCTACATAGGACAGTTGGTATTAACCACTGGTAGCGAATAGCGGAAACTTATTTCTCGTAGCCGAGAACTTACCTGAAACCTTGAGGCCAGTAGGCACAGCCTCAGCACAGTGGCATTCGAGCCCTGACCAGCAGAGCTGGCAAGACATGCACGTGTTCCAAGTTGGTTTCACTCCGGCGCGGTCACCGGGTTTCCAGTTCCTGACGAGAACACCAACCTTGACAACTACGCCTGCGCCCTCGTGCCCTGGGGATCGAACCCCGTAGTCTCTCATTCTTGGCAGTGGCAAATCCTCCAGCATGTAGTGTATATCGCTATAACATATACCAGTGGCGTTGAGTCGGATCAGAATCTCGTCCGAGCCTATGTTCAGTTTACATTATGCCAGTATACATCTGAAGTGTCATTGGACGACTTACCGGGCTCGGGGACAGGCACGTATTGAATTTCTACTTTGAAGTCAGGTCCATGTCGTACCACAACCCCTGCTTTACAAGTGAGTGGAAGAGGATCAACTTGGTCCATGTCGTTAGGGGTCGTAGGGTAGAACAGTAATAGTGTGGGGAGAGTCTCTACTCATTTCGCACCTTGATACTTCCATGTCCTTTTATACCTTAATCGCACTCGATTCATGACCAATTAGTCTCAACGGCCGATAGTTTATATGCATGAGGCGGGGTATCTCACTGAAGGGTATCCGGTGGAAGGGCCTCCGGCGGTAACTTTCGCCCAACTAGTCGATTCAGGGGACTTTGCTCCTCTGGCTTTCGAATCAGTGGATAATAGCATTGAATATTTCCTCTACAACGAGTAGTCTGCACTATCATCGGTATATGTAGTGAGATTGTATAGTCGTTTCAACGGTACGCTACATCTTAAGGTAGTATCACAGAAGTTGGTGGTTCTCAAAGGATGTAAAACACGGCAGTCTACATGACTCATAGAGGGGACAGACGATCAGTTCCGCCATAAATTTAGCTTAAACTCTCCGAATAGTAACTATAGAGGCCTTTGCTGCGTCAATGCTTGTTGGAAGCCGCAGAGCCTATTTCATGGCAATCATATCTAGCGACCAATAACACTTAATGCCAACCAAAACTGCCGCGAGCCGACTCGTGACCTGTATCGGCCGTTTATTAAAGCATCGTTGTAAGGTCAAATACCTGCTAAGCGCCTTGTTTTGTTTAACATCAATTCTTATGTTCGTTGCCTTCCCTTTATTTACATCTAACTTTTTCCATGCTTGCCTATGTCCTATGATCATCGAAAGGCAAAAATGAGAGGATTTTATCAAGGCAGAGAGTTGTAGAAGGACAAATGTATTGATTTCCATAATCAGGAAACAAAGACATAAAATCAAGATGGTGCCTAACAAGTTTTATTTCGAGATATTTTTATTCCTCCTAATGCACACAACCGCCATAGTTTTTCCCTCCATCTTTACTAAATCCACCTAATATCCACCAGCAGAGCCGCTGTCAATCGGCTTGAACTTGACAGTGGTAGGCTCATCCGTGATTCCTCTCTTAACAGCGTCCTCCATGATGGCAACGGTAGCCGTAGCTCCAATCCGCGTCACGCCAAGCGACATGACGTGCAGCAAATCATCCAATGTTCTCACTCCTCCAGCAGCCTTGACCTGAACTTCAGGCTTCGAGCTTTCCCGCATGAGCTTCAGGTGAGGTACCGTGGCGCCCTTGTACGAGTACAGGCCGTTTGGCTGTTTCACAAAACCGTAGCCAGTCGAAGTCTTGACGAACCCAACACCAATGTCAGAACAGATCTCGCAAAGTTTGACGATGTGGTTCTCTTCGAGGTAGTCGTTTTCGAAAATGACCTTGAGAATGGCGCCGTGCTTAACGACAGCGTCATTGATCTGCCGAATCTCGTCGGCCACATATTCCCAGTCACCTCCAAGAGCCTTGCCAATGTTGATGACCATGTCAATCTCCTTCCCGCCAGCAGCCGCTGCGGCATCGGCCTCAAAGACCTTGACCTCAGTGGTGCTGTTTCCGTGGGGAAAGCCGATGACAGGGCAGACGAGAACTTCAGAGCCTTCGAGCTCCTTCTTTGCAAGGGGAATGAGGTATGGCTTCACGCAGGCGGTGGCCACGTTATACTTCTTGGCGATGGCAAGACCGCTGAGGATGTCGGCGTCGGTCATGGTGGGGTGCAGCAGAGAGTGGTCAATCATCTTGGCCAGCTGACGCAAGGTGACTGTGATTTCGTTGGTAGCGGTCATGTTTGTTGGGGGATGTGATCAAGAATCGATGTTGTTTTGAGTATAGACGACCAGGGAATATGATAGAGGCCTGATAGAAAGACCATGATCCTTTATATAGGCAATCATATTTCACAAATACTCCAACTTTTCTTGGTCGAAGCTGCATGAGAGGTACATGATGGCGCATCAACACCCCGCGGTGTAAGTGCGTGATGTCTCCGGTGGGACCATTCCGGTGGAAGAGAGAATACATCAGGCCTACGGCGGAACCAACGCACGTCCTTTCTTCAACTTGTGAGACGAGTTTCGGGTCTAGGAAAGTAAGATACACATCAGTGGAAATTCTTGTTTATTCCGACGCGACTTGAAGCGAATTAAGAGGTCGAAGATATGCTAGAGGGAGATGGCAATGCCCCGCGTTGCGTCTATAGGCCTCAATCTGGAGTCGCCACTTCAATAACAGCTGCCCTTATAGCTCAGTGGTAGAGCGTTGCACTTGTAATGCAAAGGTCCATAGTTCAATCCTGTGTGGGGGCAACGATTTAATTTTTTGCCATCTAGGGCATTTCCTCCCGGGTAGCTCATGGTGCGTCATAGAAGCCCGCCCTCCAACAACAGCCCTTATAGCTCAGTGGTAGAGCGTTGCACTTGTAATGCAAAGGTCCATAGTTCAATCCTGTGTGGGGGCAGCTGTTTATTCTTTTGCCCTCCAGGGCAACTTCTGCTGTGCCTCACTCCAGGGTGGGAGGTCTCATCATCTATTTTTGCTATTTCCGCATGTGGCGGTGATGTATGATGGTGTTGAGGCTCATGTTCTGTTACCATGGCTGTTATCACATATCTCCAAGATTGGTGGGTTCAGACCAGTTCGTTGCCTTGTCACACAGGCGTAGAACAGAAGCGAAAGAATATACTACTCGGAACCTCTTGAGCATCTTAATTGGGTGAAGAAGTCGTTACGATGTGGCCGGAGTGCTGTATAAGACAAATAAGATATGCAAGGATGCCTCGAATATTCACGTCTAGAGTCGTTTTTAAAATGCTTTCGTTTCGAGAAGACAATGAACGTCTGCGATCTAGAGAGCTCAACTTACCCTTCTCATCTCAATTCACTTCTTATTTACAAGACTTCAAGATCAACCGGCTCTTCACCATAGTCCCTACATCTAGGATCATGACAATGCCATCCCATTGTCGTATCTATCCAATACCGCCGCCACTGTGCTTGACTCCAAGCAGCCACCTCTTCAGAAACCGACTTGCCAAAATTCGCCCGGCTGTAGACCCAGTGATTGGCCATCTTGAATGCCCTTTCTTTCCTCTCCTCTAGGTCCTCAGGCTCATCCAACTTCTTTGCGAGGCCCCTAGCTCTAGCTTCTTGCAGCACCCGACCCATCTCGTCCCGCTCAAAGTAGGGCCTCTTCTTATACCCAGAGATGGCATCAGGCAAGCACGCTCCTCCTTTGATGAGCTCAATAGTGACCCAGTACGCTGCTTGGCTATAACGGCTCTTCCTTCGAAAACAAGCCTGAAGTGGTGTATCATCATCGGCATTCCTTGCGTTAATATCGGCTCCTCGCTCTACAAGCAGTCGAATTACCGGTCCAGGGTCAAGAGTTGCTGGATAATCGCGCCACATAGCAACATGGTGAAGAGGTGTGTTGTCCATCGCATTAGGGACATTTGGATCAACACCAACCTCATCCAGGAGCCATTCGACAACCTCAGGGTTCCAGTCCGCACACGCTTGGTGCAATGCATGAAGCCCAACCCCAGTATGCGTGATAAGAGATGAGCCAGCCTGAATGAGCCGTTTTGCAATTGCAGCTCGGGCCGCTGACTTGGCTTGTTGTGATTCGCTGCGAGACTCTAGAAGCGCGAAGTACAAGGCATCCGTGTTGTACTCGAGATAAAGACTACAGCTGGCGTATGCTTTCCCAGTAGATCGGCACTTAATTTGAATCATGGCGCGAATAAATGACTTGCAGGTAAAGTCAATTGGCGATGAAGCATTGATCCCGACACAAGTCTGCCCAGAGTGTCCAACGTCAGCGCCCCAGTCAAGAAGCAGATCGACAACTTGTTCATGACCTCGAAGGGCTGCCCAGTGAAGTGCTGTCAGGGTGATAGGTTCATGCTCCCATTTCTGCTCTTCCGGATCTGGTGGCTGGTATCGTCTTGGTCGTGGCTGTGCCTTTTCACAGGTAGGTTCCGTTGTATCAATGGCATCCACATCAGCTCCAGCCTCTAAAGACTTGGCGACGGCAGACGGGATATTTCTCTTTGTAGATATGAGAAGAGCAGAAGCTCCGTTGTACCTGGCGTCCAGCCCGTAAAGATAGGGCGTGATGGTATCGTGCAGTCGACGGGAAGCCCGTGCTAAGCGTGAGATGTCTCCCCAAACATCCGAGATATGCGGCGTGATGGCCCATGGCCTAGTGCGGTACTCGTCTTCGTACTCGCTATCCCAAGGACGACAGTCCAGCACGAAAGGCAAAAAAAGGTAGTCAACAATATCACGGAGAATCTCTATGGGCATCTCGCCCAGAGTGATGTCCGATCTCGTGATCGCAGGCTCCCTGCTCGGCTGTGTAAGTGTCGCCCCGTCGTCCTGCAGTTGGAGTTCGTCTAGGGTCGCCATATTGATTTCGGTCAAGATAGTCGTCTAAGGAGAAACAAAACTTCTCATGTGTAAAACAAGACTACTCTTCTTGGACAACTCATGTCAATCGATGCCTGAAGTGAGTTGTTCACGGTGGCAGGCAAGAAGGCTGGACCAACGGGCGGGGCGTTGGCCGCAAGGATAATAGCCCAACTGATTGGCGGAATCAAGAAACTGAACCGAGGAGAAAGCATATGAGAGACCTGTGAATCGTGAGAGAATCGGGAAACTACTTCGCATGGTGGACCGAGACAAGTGTGTAGAAGCATTAACGTGGGTATCATTAAGGTGTCGAGAAAGGCGCGAGCAACTCTCTCGGATGAAGGTAGAGAGGTTGACCGACTCCAGGCCGATCATGTCCTTTGACGTTTGTTAGGTCGACTGCCTTTTCCCTTCTTTTTACTTTTGACTGTTGGCGCAGGGGCCTTTTCTTCTTCCTCTTCCTCTTCCACTTCTTCCTCCGCCTCCTCTTCTTCTTCCGAGCCGCCCACCGATATCACATCGTCTGAGGCGCTCTCTCCTTCGCTCTCGTCGTCCAAAGCATCTCCGAAAGACGGCTTCCTTGACCGCGCGTCTTCAGTGTCACTTCCAAATCCTTCAAACTCCGAATCAGACTCATCTGATCCTTGCTCCTCGGCCTTCTCGAGAGCGGCATCCAGCTCCTGTTGCAGCTGTGCCTCGGCAGAGGCATCCTCGTCCTCAGCCGAGTCATCCTGCTTTCGCTTGCGAGGCATCTCGCCCAGTCTGCCCTCTCGCCCTCCAACCTTGTCCTCGGTTTCACCTTCGGACTTTGGCGCAGGAGTGAACCAGGGAATCTTGCCTCGCATGAAGTCATTCAGAACCATCTTGGCAACTCCATCCAGATCAGGTTCGCCTCCACGGAGGAGTCGACCTGCCTTGCGGGCCAGAAGCTCCAGGAACTCAGTCGAGTTTGTCCAGCCCTTTAGCTCATATGTCTTCTCCATATGGTGCTGCTTGACTCTGTTCAAGAGGGGCTGGATGTACTGCTCGGGATGTTCCACCTTCTCGACACGCACCACACCTCGAAGTACCAGGTCGGTAGGAGAGTCGGTGCTGGAAGGAGGAACAATACCGGGACAGTCGATCAGGTAGATGCGCTTCATCAAACTGACGTACTGCCAGACCTTGGTCTCTCCGGGAATAGGTGCAACATTGCAAACCTTCTTCTTGAGGAGAGTGTTGATGATGGAGGACTTTCCAGTGTTGGGGCCACCAATCAAACCAACAGAGATCTGTTTTCGGTCCGAGTGCAGGGAAGAGAATTGTCGGAGAAGTTGGATGAGCGAGCCCTTACCAAACGAGTTGGTGATGCTCGCGTGGAAAGCCAAAGTAGGGTACTCCTTGGATAGACTGCGAACCCAGCCGGCCTGGTTCGAATTAGCATTCGTACCCAATATGTATAGCAATACAGAAACAAGATGAAGAAATGTTTGTGTCATCACTAAGAAACCTGAAATCGATGCCCCAGTAATTGGATATGGCATAGGCAGGCTTCAACTCAATCGGACACGGGACCCTTCTCACGACGGTAACCAAAACGGCACACATCAGCCGAACAACAAAACGTTGTCGACAGTCGAGAATGGTGTATATTCTCCCAATGTTTTAACAGACACGTTCCATGGTAAATAAAGGAATGAATCCTGACAAAGAACATTGGGGTGCGAGGAGGGAGAGGAATGGAAGAGAAAAGAAAAGAAATGAGTAGCAAAACTTACCGCAACACTGGTAGGAACCAGGTCGCACTTGTTCAAGACAAAGATCAAGTGCTTGTGAGGGGCTTCCTCCTTGAGATACTTCTCAATACTGCGACACCGTGTTCCCACAGGATCTCTGGCGTCGAGAACATGGATAACCACATCTGAAGAGTCGATGACCTTGTACAGTTCGTTCCAGATTCGCTTGCTCTGACCCTTGTCAAACACAGGCTCGATCGCCATCGTGAGTGGCTTGTCATCGAGGCCAACGTTCTCCGCGTCTCCAGAGGCACCGCTAAGTAGTCTCTGCTGCTCGAGTCGCTCCTGGTAGGTGTCCATACTCTTCTCAGTGTCACCCGCCAGGTCATCCAAGTTGCTAACGCTGAGCTTGACTCGCTTCCTCTGCGCCTTAGGTCCAAAGACGTCTGCGAACGGAGATGTCTCGACAGTCATCTTGGCCTTGTGCTGCTTGATGCCGTTGGTGGTGTCCTTGCCATCGCGGATCAGGCTCATGGGCAGCTTGTTGGACTTGAGCAGGACCTGGTACGGGTCGTTGGCCTTCTCCTCCATGGCCTCTCGGAACGCCTTGAGGGTATCCTGGGAGACGACTCGGGTGTTGGTAAACCACTTGCGGTTCGGCTCGATTCGGGCGTTGGGGATGTCGCGCGACTGGAACGACGCAGCCTTGACAATCTTTCCCTCGGCATTCCTCTGCGCCTTGCCCTCCTTGTACATGTTCAGGTGCTTGACCTTCTTCGCATCGCTGTGGCACCTGGGTCAGCAAGAATGGACAGCAAGCGTTGGCGACAGCGTTCTTACCGATAGAAGTTCTCGCCCTTGGTCCTGACATTTCCGAGGCCATCGCCAGTCTTTCCCTGGCGCTCACGCCGGGTGGCCTCCTTCTTTCCAGTACCCATGATGAAGAAAATTGGTCGAGGTACTGGCGACGAGGAAGGCAAAGGAAAAAGTTGGGCGGTCCAGAAATTTATCTCCAGAACTTTTTTTCTTGAGCAGTAGAAAAGGCCCCACTACCTCCCTCAGCGGTGGTTGGCAGCGGGGCCGCTAAAAATGCCTGCGGACAGGGGGGTCGTCCGCCGGATCAAGATAATCCGGTAAATTTGATCCGACTTCGATTTTCTGTCTGGCGCAGATTCGTGCAGAATTGGCTCTGACGACGGTTCAATACGCCAATTGCGATCCCCAAAGTCGCCATTCTGCGCTGAAATTGGCGTGGACTTCTCCAGTCATGTCGTTCCACCTCACGACCTCGTGCCCGAGGGCTGCCGCTCGCCAGCTCTTCGTGGCCTCGCGGGGCTTTTCGACAGCCGCCGCTCTCCAGAACCAAGTCCCTCCCGAGTCTCCATCCTACATTCGCCTTCCTACACCTCCCCAATCCGACGAGAAGAAGCCTCCCCGCGTTCGAGGACACCTACCTGTCCCCCGCGAGGTCTTTCCCCGCATGGAGGGTGACCGCAAGGTTCGAGCCGACTACATCAAGCAGACCGTTCCTAAGCCCTCCAACCCGCAACCACCCAAGAACGAGACCCAAGAATGGAAGCAAAAGATGGCCAGTACCCGTCGTGACAACTTGGAGCTGGGTTTGAAGGAGCTCTGGGTACGAAGGAATCGCCGTGACGCCGTCCGTAATGCTCGTGTGAGCCAGAAGTTCAGAGAGCACAACGCCGCCGCCAAGGCAGCGGAGCGAGAGGACGACCGCCTCACTCGCAGCACCGTTCTGGAATCTGTGCTGGACACCAAGACCTACCCCGACCCTAACCGTTTCGAACGCGCCGAGCAAGGGCGTCGCAAGGTTTGGGCCACTGAGGCTTCTAAGCGAGGGGTTCGCCGCGATGCACTGATGGAGCTCTACATCAATGCCTCCAACTTTATCGTCACCGAGACCGAGCTCAAGGCGGAAATCGAGCGAGTCTTTGATGCGGACTTCTTCAAGAAGCAGGGCACTGCCTATGGCCGATTCGGCAGCTCAGAGAACGTCTGGGACATACATGGCAAGCCCACGTCTATCGCCAACATGTTGGAGACCACGACGGGAGCTTCCACCAAGATTATGGACGTGTATGAATCCGAGTACGACCGCTCCGTTAAGCGACAGAAGAGGATCGCTGAGGAGTTCACTGGTGGCAAGATGGAGTAAAGCCAATCAATGCAAATTGGCATGTAAAACATTTGTACCCATGTATTCCAAATTTCACATATTGAAGCGGCCATGACTCTCCTCTGTTGATCCCTCTCACCCGGGACGTGTTCATGAAAAGAAATCCTGCAATTGGTTCTACACCTGATGCTGAGTAGCATCCAGAACTCGATTCGACTATACCAATACCAAAACAACGATGCCTCTGTCCATATCCAAACGCCGAGTATGAGTTATGAAAACACACGTCCAAATATATACACAGCAGCCTATCCAGCAATGCGCTGCTCCCGTCTTGTGTGTTCTAATCCGTCGTTCAGAGCACTTGCAAGTGCTTCTATGTTATCTATCGCCTTTCGACAAGCAGAACATGCATGGCAACGTAGGAAAGGACGATAAAAATGGCCGCAAAGATGCCCAGGTTCCTGATATCCGGCCAGAGCGCGTCGTTGTTGAAACCGAAAGAGCTCAGAATAGCCGCACCAGGAACGGTGATGTCAAGGCCATACTTGCTGTCGACCAGGGTGAGTTGGAGCACCTCGTTGACGATGAGTGACTCAAAGCCGTAGTGGAAGATGGAGAGCGTCTGAAGCCAGAGCGCACCCTTGGGGGTCGCATCGTGATTGAGGAGGAATCCAGCGAAGAGAAGACTGAACAGCATAACCAAGCTGCCGATGAGGTTTGCCACACCTCCATCCTTGCACACGATGCCAATAAAGAGGCACACAGCAGCAGCGGCCATGTTGAACAGCACCAGAACAAGAATAAAGTTCATGAAGTGGGTGGAGTCAGCCACCAACCCAGTCATGGGGTAGATGATTGAGCCCATCAGAATTGGGGGGATGATCCTCAGGGGGAGAATGTCAAAGAGGACCTTGGCGGCAAAGTATGTGGCAGGCGAATAGTAGCCGTTGGCCCGCTCACGGACGAACAGAAGACGCTCAGTGGCGAAGACGTTGAGACTCGTGAGGGTGCTGAAACCGAAGAGGGCAAGGAGGAAGAAGAACAGACCGAGTCGGTTCTGGAAGCCAGGAATGTCATCGGTGAGTCCATAGAAGAGGTACCCCGAAAAGACGGCCAGGATAATGGCAATGGCGTAGTGGGTAAGCATCAGCATCGGGTTTCGGTACAGGTTCTTCCAGGTTCTCTGAGAGAGGATAATGAACTGTCGCAGATAGCCAACACGGGCATATCCTTTGCCGACGGCGCTAACATTGACATTAGGTCCCTCAGCGGTGTAACCATTCGAGTTCGGGCCGTTGGCGTGGTCTGCGGTCTCAATCGCCAGCCTAATCTCCTCGTGGGTCAAACGTGCAATCTCAGAATGGGCAAAAGATCGAGTCATGATATCCAGGTCAGTCCCAGTGGCTACTGCCGGGGGAAGGTCATGAGGATCCTCGAGAAGAGTTACGCTGGCGGAGTCGATGGGGTTCTGCTGGAGACGATAGGCGCCAGTTTCCTCGACGCCGGCGTCAGAAGACGCTGCCGTATCAACTGTCTTTCTACGCGTAAACAGCTCCCGGTCCTGGCGAACTTTAACCGAGTCTCTGCGGGAGTTCTTAGGCCGACTCGAGCTTCCGTCGTCATCACCAGTACTGGTGCCAGACACACTGGCAATCGACTTGATTGCACGGGTGCTGCTGGGTCCAACGCTACCGTTATCGGGGCCAACTGTTCCGTCATCGATAGACTGTGTGCTTCCGGCGTGCATAGTGAGGTCCACGAGATAGTCCGCAATGTTGAATCCAGGAGGGCATTCATAACCAATCTCGTCAAAGTAGTTTTGGCACTGGTGGAATTGTCCTGAGTAAACGGTTCGTCCTTGAGCCAACAGAATCAGTCTGTCGAAAAGAGCCACAATGTTGGATCGGGGTTGATGGATGGTAAAGATGACAGTTCGCTTGTAGTTCTTGGCCAGTGTAACGAGACACTCAATGACGTTGTAGGCGTTGTAGGCATCAAGACCGCTGGTGGGTTCGTCGAGGAACAAGATCGAAGGACTGGTGACCAGCTCGCAAGCGATTCCGACACGTCTCTTCTCACCACCCGAGATACCACGTCCTTTGCCTTCTTCGGAACCAATCAGAGAATCGCGAATGTGGTGGATGCCAAGCTCCTTCTCAACCTCCAACACACGCTGCTCCTTTGCAGCACGGCCCATGTCACGGGGGAGTCGAAGCAGGGCGCTGTTAAGAATTGTCTCGTGAACAGTGAGAGTGGGAAGCATTGTGTCCTCCTGGTCGACGAATCCGACAACATTCTTGAAGTCGTGATCAGTAACCTTTTCTCCATTGACATAGAAGTCTCCGTGAACTTGTCCGCGCTTGTTCTTTCGAGCCAGAATATCGAGGAATGTTGTCTTTCCAGCTCCCGAGGCACCCATAATAGCAGTAACTTCTCCTGGCTTGCAAATTCCTTGGATACCAGTGAGAATTTGCTTGCCGTTGAGAGCGTATGCAACGTTTTCGAAGTAAAGTGACGCAGGCTTGTGGTCAGCCATCAACTTGGTGCTCTCATCGTCAGAATCCTCCAGGCGAATGGCACCATAGTTCAGCCTGCGCCTGGACAGGTACCAGGTGAGGACGATAACTGCGACGAGGAACAGCGAGCAGCCAGCAATCACACCAGCGATGAGAGGTGTGTTGATCTTCTTCACTGGACGCTTGTATCCTGGTACCTCTGTCTTGTAGAGACATTCGCCAGCATGACAGCCGAGGAAAATACTGGAATCACCGATAAGGGCAAGAATCAAGGCATCCATCTCGGGTTCCTTGAAGGCACAGTCATGAATACCACCATTCTTCTGGGTGCACTCGAAACGTCCGGGACCTTTAATGGATTGGTCGAGGAAATCGGTGAGATCAATGGATCCATCCTTGCCGCAGAGCATTCGATCGGGAACACAGCTGCACTTGATCTTGTTGCACTTGTATGACGTGGTGTTTTTGGCCTCTTGCCAGTCGGCGCTTGAGTCGCACTCCTCGAGGTGGCAATAGAAGGATTCGATAGCGTCAACCCAGACTAGGTGACAGGGTTAGTAGAAAACGATAAGGGTAGCGGTGTAGCCTACATTGGAAGTCACAGGTCTTGTCTTCCTGCGTGCAGGTGAAGGTCACTTCAGGACGCTGCTTGCCAAGCAGCGAGGTGATCTTCTCGTTGGTGACATCGCAAATCTGATAGTTGTGGTTGACAACTTCACCGTTCTGGTAGCAGACGCCGCCCTCGCCATTCTCCATCAATGCGTTACAGGCCTTGTTGTCGGTACAGACGTTGCAGTTGATTCCGGTCCAGCCTTCGTCGCATTTGCAGGATCCGCCAGAGCGCATGGGTCGGTCCTTTCCTCGAGCAAGAGAGCCGCAAACTATACTGGAGTTAGCGATATTTCTCGGAAGAGGACAGCAACAGAAGAGGGGTCGTACGGGGCTGGAGACAGTCGTCGCCGCCAAATCCCTCTGGGCAGTCGCATTTGCCGTTGAATTCGTTACAACCAGCATATTGCGCGCATGTATGGGCCGGGAGGAGACAGTTGAAGCTGTATGGTGCCCCTGTTAGCTATTTGACGCTGCAGAGATGGAAAACGTCGCGACGTACCAAGGAGGACATCCATCTGGACGATCTCCCATGAGGGCCATCTGGGCGCGCAGTATATCCGTTTGCGAGTAACTCGTGTTATAAGACCCCATCACAAGGCCGGGCAGAATTGCCACGGCCCCAAGGAGGAGACTCCTCAATCCAGAGGAAGCCATGACTGCAGCGACGCCGATACGATGCAGTTCAATGATGGAGCGATAACGATGCGAGATGTTGAGGTGACGACGATCAGAGTGATGGGCGCCCGCGACCGGGTTAAGCTATTTGGCCGATGGTGGCCCCCGCGTCATGTTAGGCACCCGACCGAGGCAGGTACAGTACGGCAAACGTGCTTGCACCAATGACCAACAAGCTAGCCAGCCAACCAGCCTCCGTAGAGGGAGCTTCCGCCGAAGCGCTGAGACATGACTGGTTCACACAGCCACACATTTATGGGCCTCATGACTCGAATGGAGCTATCCACCTTCCCCAAACCCAGCTCCTCGACCAGGAAGACGAACCATGAGGACAGACTTGGCAGTTAACATCTGACCTTTGAAAGGCGGGGGTGGCCAATGGGGTTTGAAGCTCTTAGCCGTGATGGATATAAACCCGCAATCAGGAATGGGAGTCGAGATGATAGATAAGAGTCTGTTTCCGTTCAACAATGTTGCTTGAACGCGACGAGACGTCAAGGTGTTTCAGTTTCATACCTGAGACTCCTGGAAGCAGAACTCGTGACGTCATGGAGCTCCAACTCGATTGATGATTCGGAGCAGGCGAATGAACAACTGTTTGCATTCATGACGCGGGCAGTTTTGCCAACCCATGGCATGTCATAGATAACCCCAACTGTAGCGCATACAGTGTCGAATTCACACTACGGAGCGGTGAGTAATTGGGGTGGCTGGCTTGGATCCTTCGCCGTTTTCTTACCCTACATTCGTCATTGCGCCCTATTCCACTGCGTTTTTCCAGCTTCAACCCGTATCAGAATATTGTCATACATAGAATGTTTAAGTCTAGCCAATAGTTTTCACTATCTAACCTATGTAGGATCACATTGGCTGGGGTTGGGGGTCCATCCCATGGGCTTCGTGAGACCACCGGAATTCTTTTAATTAGTGTCTTAGCACAGGACTGACAGAAGTGCGAAATTGACCACACAACAACAAACAATACCCATTGAGCCTCAACTCATAACAACTGCCTATGAGCACAACGCATCAATGGTTGGTCTTTGGCTTTACAGAGTGTAAAGTGGTGAGCTGTGGAGATATATAACCAAGGACCGAGACAATGAAATAATACAGATAGGCAGGTGAAAGTATTGAACACAACGAAGCCCCCAATCAGTATGTGTGCGGCCTATGAGATAAGGCGAGTGACTTTGAACCCCTAGGAAAGCAACCCCGAGAAAGGTCGCTGTACCAGAGGCAAGAAACTCCGAGTAGAGCTCCACGAGTGGAGGCATGATTGGCAGCGCCATCCCCGGATCCATACTCCATTCAGCAGGGGTTCTTATGGTTGTGGAGAAGCTGCCAGCAATCAACCTTCAAGCATTGGTTTGCAACAAGAGGAAGGGCGCGCAAAGGCGCGCCTTGTAGGGAGATGAGGCTTTGGGTTGACACGATCCAGTCTGAGTTCTTTCATTCTGGAGAGAATTCCATGCCTACCTAAGTGACGGTGGGCTCATGACACGACAAGCCCAAAGGCGTCTGAAGGCGGGGTTCTCATTTGCTCCACACATCTGCTAATGGGTATCTATATCAAGACGCACATCGAAGCCCAGATCAAGTTGAGCTGAGGCTATAGATTCAGACAAAGATCAACAACATCATAACAATCATGGTTCGCATTACCCCCTTCGCCGTCGAGCAATGGATGGACAAGTATGAGACGACGCCAGACGTCCTCAACATTGCTGAGACATGCGCCGCTTCTGTATCCATCGACGACCTAGTTGGCCTGTCCAAGGACCCAGCGGCTCCAGGCCCTATCGATACCAGCATCAAGCTCACCTACGGGCCTATCCCCGGAACTCGGACGCTGAGGGAGCGAATTGCTGCCCACTGCAGCACCGAGGAGACGAAGTTGGCGGCCGAGGACATTATCATTACTCAAGGCGCGATCGGTGCCAACTTCCTATCCCTCTACACCCTCGTAGGACCTGGAGACCATGTGGTCTGTGTCTATCCAACTTACCAGCAACTCTATGATGTTCCTCGGAGTGTCGGTGCTGAAGTTACGCTATGGAAGCTGCGTGCGGAGGAGGGCTTTGTCCCCAATGTCGACGAGCTGACCAGCCTGATCAAGGAGAATACCAAGGTATGAGTGAAGAATACCGGAATTTCCTAGAGGAGACGCTGACGAAGCTGCTAGATGATCATCATCAACAACCCTAACAACCCCACAGGAGCCCCGATCTCGACCGACATCGTGCAGCGCATTGCACGCGTGGCGGAAGAAAAGGGTATCATCCTCTTCTCCGATGAGGTCTACCGCCCCCTCTTCCACGGCGGGGCCCTGGGAGAAATCGAAGTACCGCTTCCGGCAACCACACTCGGATACCAGAAGACTGTTGTCACTGGATCCATGTCTAAGGGATATGCGTTGGCCGGCATCCGAGTGGGATGGATTGCCAGCAGAGACAAGTCCATCATCTCTGCCATCATGTCGGCACGCGACTACACTACCATCAGTGTCTCTCAGATAGACGATCGGATTGCAAGCTACGCTCTCTCGCCGGCTGTCCGGCCGTCGCTGGTTGAACGTAACATGACACTGGCAAGGACCAACGCAAAGCTGGTGAAGGAGTTTGTCGAGCGCCACCAGTCAGTGTGTTCATGGGTTGAACCTAGAGCCGGAACGACGGCCTTTATCCGGTTCACTAAGAACGGCGAGCCCGTGGATGATGTCGACTTTTGCCTGGATCTGCTGGACAAGACTAAGATTCTGTTTTGCGCGGGCTCGCGTTGCTTTGGAGGTGATGAGGATTTTAAGGGCTATGTTAGAATGGGATATGTCTGTGAGACAGATGTTCTGGTCGAAGGCCTGAAGAGGCTCGGCGACTACATTGACAACAACTTGTCGTAGATAAGAGAGCATGAAATGACACCATCAAAGGCTTCAGATCACGGACATGCCGCGTGTTGAAACAACTTCCGTGCCGGCACCGGAAAGCATCGAAGAGAATTGGAAGACGTGGGGCTGAACAACGGATAGCGGCAAGCTCTCGGCCGAGGCGTCGTCAGCCTCTTCTAGCTCATCCAACTAATTCACGGCATGTGGGCGTATGCGGGTGCGAATTGATGAGAGAGAGGCGAACAGAGGCGAGGACAAGGCTAATGGCGTCAATTAGTTAATCGAGGCTCTATCGTCTGTTCGTATGTACTCCGTAGAGGACCTGGAAACTGGGTCAGAGGCCGACAGCCGTCCAATGTAATGGCGCTGAAGATCATTTCTTGGCCGTCTCACCCGCGTCAAAACAGCCTGTGCCAATTTCGCATCGACACTCCCGAGGCACGCCTCAAGCGCGCAACGGGACCAGCCGACATTCGATGGATGGTAATTAGGCGCGGTCGCCGATGCAAGTACTGTACGGATACGACGCACTGAATAACATGGATCCGATAGCGAGGAAAAAGCAGAAATCTCACGGCTCATTACACCGACCATGTCGGATGAACGAACGTGACCCCGGCCTCGTAATTCCTGGCACCCGCCCGCCCAGACGACGATGACGACTCCTCCGCGCTCACGCCTTCCAGGGGTCCACGAGGCATCTTGGCGCTAATGTCCGGAGAAGAAAGTACCTTTCATCTGTCGCTCGTTGCCGAACAAGAGGGTTGCTTGCGTGGCCCTCGTGCCGTTCTTCCATCTCATCCACCTCCTGTGAATTCGATTCTTCCTTTTGCTGACTGTCGTTGACCTTGATTCGCCCATCATATCTCGCCCCCCCCTGTTATTTCTATTCTTCATTATCCTCCTCGTCCGTCCCTTCTTGTCCCATGCTCCACCGCCGCAGTCCTATTCTCGGGTCCTTTACCCTGTGTTTCTTTGCGTGGTGTTTTCTGAGACATCCTGCTGTGTCCTAGGCTGCTACATGGTCTGCGCCTCTCTGCACAACTCGAAACCTATCTACGATTCGACAACACCCCTTTCCCTCTGCAGGAGAGAAAGCACCCTCTGGTTTCGACTGGTTGGTACTACGCCCATCTAGCTACCCCATGGAGGAGGGTGGCGTTTGTCCACTCAGCGCCATTCCTTAACCTATTCCGCCCTGCCCTCGGAGATATTGCTGCCTACACCTGCGATGAAGCCGTGGGTTCTGGGCGCTTGCTTGCTTTCGACATGGGGTGTCGTGCAAGCGCAAACCGTACAATGGAACGTTGAAAACCGTCGCTATATTCCTCGGGGCTTGAGTCGCCGCTCAGAGTCGACCTTTGAAGAGGTTGTTGAGAACAAGAGATCGTCGGGAGGCTACTTTTCGGAAATCGCAGTTGGAAACCCACCTCAAAATATCACCCTTCAGTTGGATACTGGGAGTAGCGATGTATGGTTCCCTTGGAGTTCCGCAGATATCTGCGAAGACACCTCCAAGGGTGGATGCCCCTTTGGAAGCTGTAAGAACCTCACCTCACTATTCCGCATGTGGCCTGCAGCTCCGTTACTGACGGTTGACGACAGTTAACCCTGACAAGTCGCGTTCATTTAAGCATGTCGGCCCCGGCTTGTTCGACATCACCTTTATAGACAACAGTTACGCAAAGGGAGACTATTTTGTCGATCATTTTGAGTTTGGCGGCGCAGTCATCAAGAACCTGACCATGGGACTGGGGGTCGATACCGACATCAATTTTGGACTAATTGGCATGGGTTACGCCAGCAATGAGGCTGTGAGTGATACTGGGGATATTACTTATCCAAACCTCCCTGTCGCCATGTGGCAAGGAGGCTACATCAGTACCATCGCTTACAGCTTGTGGCTCAATGACCTCGATGCCAGCTCCGGGAACATTTTGTTCGGGGGTGTCGACACAGCAAAGTTCACTGGAAACCTGACTCGCATCAATGTTCAACCAATACAAGGACATTACCTCCATTTCCTCGTCGCCTTGACCTCGGTGGTCGCTCGCAGTCCTAGTGGAACCGACACTCTCACATCGGACAGCTTCCCCATCAAAGCGGTGCTCGATTCAGGAACCACCCTTACCTATTTGCCCCAAGATATCACGCATGAGATCTGGGAGGAGGTCGGCGCTGTGTATTCATCCACGTATGAAGCAGCCGTGTTGCCATGCTCCCGCGGTAAGCACCCGGGAAACTTTACCTTTGGGTTCGCTGGGCCCGATGGCCCTCGCATCACTGTGGCCATGGATGAGTTGGTCATCGATCTGAACGATGGTCAGCAAACACCCACCTTCGAATCAGGGGCATTCGAAGGCGAGTTGATCTGCTATTTTGGGATCCAGAATGATTCGAGCACGATTTCCATTCTGGGAAACACGTTTCTTCGATCCGCTTATGTCGTTTATGATCTGGTCAACAATGAGATCGGAATCGCGGCGACCGACTTCAATGCCACTAAGAGCGAAATCGTCGAATTTAAGAGCTACGGTGCTACGATACCGTCTGCAACGGTAGCACCCAATCAGCAAAAGGCGACCCAAACGCCTGAAGCCACCGAGAACAAGTTCACTGCCGCCGATGGATTCCAGAAGACTGAAGGCGACGATGATGATGATGACGACGACGATGACAACGCTGCATCTCTCCTGACTCCTTCTGGAGCCAACATAGCGCTGGTCGCCGCAGTAGTGAGCTTTATGCTCATTGGGGGAGGAACCTTTTCAATAAATCTCCTATAGGGAAGATTCTAAGAGGCTGGCTGCATAACACAAAACGGCGAAGAGTTCATTGGCTGGCGTTTCCATACCAAGGGTTGATTGAGTTACTGCAAAGATGGGCTGATTTCAGGCGTTTCAACGGAGCGAGGGATTCATCCAGGACCAAGGCGCATTGGGCGGTAAAACTCCTACAAATGATACCAGAAACTACGATGAAAAGAATAGAATTAGCATGAAAATGTTTAAACCAAAGAATTTGACCCAACTGTGACTTTTACTGAACTGAGCTGAACTGAACCGGGCGGTCGGCAGGACCTCGACTTACAGGTACAGGCCTTATGACCGTTGGCGGGAATTAAGTTCTCATGGCGAATCAGGAAGCCGCGTGCACGTGCGGCGCCTGCTAATCCCGAAGAAAAAGTTTCCCAATGGGCCGCAGATCATTAGCAACCCTCTCCCCAACTTCTTCGTTGGAGTCCGAATTATTGCAAAATGAGGGCAACGAGGGCCGCCAGATGGCTCAATTGCCGTCTGCTATTCGGCACCCAGCAGCAGAGCTGTGGCAGCCACTTCTTCAACGTCTCCCCCGCTGTCCCGGCCTGGGAGAGCCGACGAGCCTTCAGCCAGACCAAGCGCACCCGCAGTGCTGCGCAAGATGCGTGAGAAGCCAATTGACCCCCTTCCGGTACTTGGCACATTGCTGATGCCCTCTATTAGTCTCAAGAAGGCCCAGGAGGATGCTGCGAGCTTGACACCCGAGTATGTCGCTGCCAACATGGACCCCGAGGAGGCAAAGCGCCTGTCTCGAGTCCGTAACATTGGTATTGCTGTATGAGCATGATGCCCCTCACCGAATCGCCCCTCGCTGACCCAATTCGACAGGCGCACATCGACAGTGGAAAGACTACCGTCAGTGAGCGAGTTTTGTTCTACACCGGCCGAATCAATGCGATCCACGAGGTGCGAGGCAAGGATGCTGTCGGCGCCAAGATGGATTCTATGGAACTCGAGAGAGAAAAAGGCATCACCATCCAGTCTGCGGCCACCTTCGCCGACTGGAAGAAAACGGAAAACGGCAAAGAGGAAACCTACCACTTCAACCTGATTGATACTCCCGGTCACATCGATTTCACCATTGAGGTCGAGCGAGCTCTTCGAGTCCTCGACGGTGCTGTCATGATTCTGTGCGCTGTTAGCGGCGTCCAGTCTCAGACCATCACTGTCGACCGTCAAATGAAGCGTTACAATGTCCCCCGAATCTCCTTCGTCAACAAGATGGACCGAATGGGTGCCAACCCCTGGAAGGCCGTCGAGCAGATCAACACCAAGCTCAAGATTCCCGCCGCTGCTATCCAGGTTCCTATTGGTGCCGAGGACGAGTTCCAAGGCGTCGTCGATCTTATCAACATGCAGGCTATTTACTTCGAGGGTCCCCGTGGTACCAAGGTTCGCGTCACCGATCAGATTCCCGGTCCCCTCCAGGAACTTGTCAAGGAGAAGCGTCAGGCCCTTGTTGAGAAGCTTGCCGATGTCGACGATGAGATTGCCGAACTGTACCTCGACGAGCAGGAGCCCACCAACCAGCAGATCAAGGATGCCATCCGCCGCGCCACCATTGCCCGAGCTTTCACCCCCGTCATGATGGGCTCTGCCCTTGCCGATAAGGGTGTCCAGCCCATGCTTGACGCTGTCTGCGATTTCCTGCCCAACCCTGCCGATGTCGAGAACACTGGTCTGGACAAGTCTAACGACGAGAAGACTGTGAAGCTGGTTCCCTACAACTCTCTGCCCTTTGTGGGTCTTGCCTTCAAGCTTGAGGAGAACAACTACGGCCAGCTCACCTATATCCGAGTCTACCAGGGCAAGCTCACCAAGGGTTCCTACCTGTTCAACTCCCGAACCGATAAGAAGGTCCGAATTCCCCGTATTGTCCGCATGCACTCCAACGAGATGGAGGATGTCTCTGAGGTCGGTGCTGGTGAGATCTGCGCCGTCTTTGGTGTCGACTGTGCTTCCGGTGACACCTTCACTGATGGCGGTCTCCCCTACACCATGTCTTCCATGTTCGTCCCTGATGCCGTCATGTCGCTCTCCATCAAGCCCAAGCGAACTGGCGACGCCGACAACTTCAGTAAGGCCATGAACCGATTCCAGCGTGAGGATCCTACCTTCCGAGTCCACGTCGACCCTGAGAGTGAGGAGACCATCATTTCTGGTATGGGTGAACTGCACCTTGAGGTTTACGTCGAGCGCCTCAAGCGAGAGTACAAGACCGAGTGCATCACTGGCCAGCCCCGTGTTGCCTATCGCGAGACCATTGCTCGCAAGGCTGACTACGATTTCCTGCTGAAGCGACAGAGCGGTGGTCCTGGTGACTTTGCTCGTGTTGCTGGTTGGATCGAGCCTAACGACAAGCCCGACGAGAACCACTACGAGTCTCAGGTCGTTGGTGGCCACATCCCCGACAAGTTCCTTTCTGCTTGTTCCAAGGGTTTCGATGTTGCTTGTGAGAAGGGACCTCTCCTGGGCCACAAGGTTATTGGTGCCAAGATGATTGTCAACGATGGTGCCACCCACGTTACTGATTCTTCCGATTACGCCTTCAACCTGGCCACCCAGATGGCTTTCCGAAAGGCCTTCACCGAGGCTGGTGGCCAGGTCCTCGAGCCCCTGATGAAGACCACCATCACCGCCCCCAACGAGTTCCAGGGCAACATTCTGATGCTCATGAACAAGCGTAACGCCACCATTCACGACACCGATATTGGCAGTGAGGACTTCACCCTCATCTGCGACTGCAGTCTGAACGCCATGTTTGGCTTCAGCTCCCAGCTGCGCGCTGCCACTCAGGGCAAGGGCGAGTTCAGCATGGAGTTCAGCCACTATGCCCCGGCTCCTCCTCATCTCCAGTATGTATCCTCTGATGATTGAAATGAGTAACATCACGCTAACAACCTCTACAGGAAGGAGTTGGTTGCCAAGTACCAGGCCGAGCTTGAGGCCAAGCGAACCAAGTAAAGTGGTTCTTGAGTAAGAGATATGATGGTCGTGCATCCGAGATGATGCAACGGCTATGGGAGGCACAACGGATACTGTGCCGTGTTGTAAAATACATGTGGATGAGTGTGTATGATCTTGTAACATATTACCATGGATGCTGAGAGGCTATTGATTTGGGACACGAAAAAGTCTATCACGCACTTAGACGAATGGTAAAGCTGGATAGGGATTACTGCCATAGATAGGGAGTGGGATACAATGGGTAAAAACCAAGGAGTATAGAATATACAATCCCCTCTAGACAGATTCTTGTAAATGTCTATTTTTTGGTGTTGAAACTCCTAAACTAGGTGCATACAATTGCCCACTACTCACATTTCTTGGAGCCTAGCAATAGTAATCTAACCTAGCTATCCAACTTTTTTTGGGTATTCTTACAGACGTCGGAGAATATCGGCGACGACCTCCTCGGTGGTAGCCTTGCCACCCAGGTCAGGGCTCAGGAGCTTACCGTCCTCAAGGTTGCCATCGACAGCGGCGTAGATCTTGGCAGCAGCCTCCTCCTCGTTGAGGAACTCAAGCATCAGAGCGGTAGATCGAAGAGTGGCAATGGGGTTGGCAATGCCCTGACCCTGGATGTCAGGGGCGCTGCCGTGGCAAGGCTCACCAATGGCGAAGCCCTCACCGACGTTGGCGCTGGGGACGAGACCCAGGCTGCCGACGAGAGCAGCAGCGCCGTCGGAGAGAATGTCACCGTACAGGTTGGGGGCGACGATGACGTCGTAGTCCTCGGGCTGGCGGAAGAGCTTGTAGACCATGGAGTCGACAATCTGCTCCTCAACGGTGATGGAGGAGTACTTGGGATCCGCGAGGGCCCTCTTGGAGGTGGCGCGGAAGAGACCATCGGTCTGGGACAGAACGTTGGACTTGTGGGTGATGGTGACAAGAGGAGACTTGTGGATGCTGGCAGCACCGGCATCACGGATCTTCTGACGACGGAGAGCAATGTCACCAGCCATGGCAGCGATGCGGAACGAAGCCTTCTCCGAGATGCGCTTAATGGCCTCGGCGACCTTGCCCTCGGGGGTCTCGTGGGTGGTCTCCTGCTTGACGTACAGATCCTCAGTGTTCTCGCGGACAATGACCATATCGATGGGCTTGGCGGCTGTCAGGACGGTCTTGACGGGTCGGACGTTGGCGTAGAGGTCGAGCTTCTTGCGCAGGGCGACGATGGGGCTCGAGTAGCCCTTGACGGCCTGAGTAGGCGAGCTCACGGCTCCGAACAGGGCGCCATCGCACTCATTCTTGAGGACCTCGACGGTCTTGTCGGGGAGGGCGGCACCGGTCTGCTCAAAAGCCTCGAAGCCGGCCTTGAGGTCGACAAAGTCAAACTTGAGGCCGAGAGAGGCGGGGAGGGCCTCAAGGATGCGGCGGCCGGCGGGGATGACTTCCTTGCCGATGCCGTCACCGGGGATGAGGCCTGAAAATAATTTGTCAGCTTGGCTGTGCTCTATCTGAAGCTCGTATCAAGATTGCGCACCGATTCTGAGGGTTCGGAGGGACATGGTGGGCGCAATTGGAGGTGGAGAGGTTGTCAAAGTTTCGTCGTCCGAGGACCGGAGATGGATAAGAAAACCAACGGCAATTTTTGGTGGTGTCGGGGAAAAATTGGCCGGCTGTGAATAGCGCCGGACCGGGGGAGCAAGGTTTACAGCGACTTTTTGGCGATGACAACACGAGAGCTTGATTATATTGCTTCTTGGTGTTTTATTCCCATCTTTAAAAGATGTATAGAATCTCTTTTGTGTGAAAATGTGTATTCCGATCACGGCGCACAAGACTCATTCATCTGGTCTCGTCAATAGGTAGCCAAGTCTTGATAACAGGCCACTTCAGTGACCGACTCTTGTATGCTGCGGACTTGAGCGTCACTCTTACGACTTACTTCAACCAAAGGACGCAGGGACTGTCGAACGATCGATTTTTGTCAGCTGCTGTCGTCTATTCCTTGGCCTCAACCTTGAGCGAGAGAGAGAGAGCTTGACCCCAAGACAGGCCAGTGAGTGTGGGGGAAGAAGAGCAATGAGAGACAGGCGACCCCACATGAGCTCATGCCATCAAATGTCATGTTTGAGCAAATGAGCTCGCCTGTCTGGCCAACAGAAGGGGGGGTAGCTTGCTTGTCAAGAGTCAACGATGGAGCTTCTGGAATCTCTTTGGGGAAATATGTCATTTCCACGAGGCGCGGCCGAGGAGGGGGACCTGAGCTGGAGACGAGAAGCGGAGGAATGGGAAATAGGGGTACAGTACGGCGCGAGAGAGAGGCCCAGGAACCGATCATCTGCCATTGGCTCACAACCTGCTAGTTTACGGTCGGTCCGTCCCTTGTCGAGTTGATCTTTGGGTCATTTCGACTGACTGGTTGGTTCGGTGAGGTACGGTCGGTATAGAATCGACTGCACTGCACTTCGCTGCACATTGCAGCATGCTTGTCTGACCTTGTATACTTTGTTTAGCACACCGGCGCACCCAGGTGGATCAAGTTATTAGTGTTGTAGACGCAGACGCAGGCTGTTTGGGGTGCATGAATCCTCCCTCATCAACGTGTCAGTTCCAAGACGGCGCTTCCTATCTCCCTCTGTTTCAAAGCCCTCAGATACAACATCAAAACCAAGAGGACACCTGGTTTGTTGGCCCGACAGGCTGCCAGAGTTGCTGGGCCGCCGACGCCGAACGCCCAGCCAGCCATGATCGGTGGGAATTTCGAATTTCCTCATCATGGGCAATTTAATGTCCCCGGCTAAACCTGAAGTGAACGAGATCCATCCGGTGCCTCATTTCGACTGGATCCTTGCCCGTACCAGAGGTAGCATACCTTACCTGGGTCCCCTTTAGACCTAACCCATCTGTGGCCGTCTATTGAATTATGATGCGGCGGGTACGAGCTCATAGCTTTGTGTCGAGTCGTCGACATGCCACCGGGCAACCTTGGTGGCTGGCCGGATAGAATGATATTGGGGGATCCACGACGGCCTCTTGTTTCTCTGGAAGCACCGGTTTCTCTGGAAGCAATGTGTTTACCGAGGACTCTTGTGGAATGGTGATAGGTTATTTGCTTCGACCTCGGCGTCTCGTCGACCAACGAAAGGCAAGTCCGTCAACGTGCAGTGCGCGCCTGAAGCCGATGCCCGACTCCATCCTTTGATCTCGACCCCTATTATTCTGCAACAGCCCAGCGCAACATAACCAGCACCACCCGACGGGACTCCCAGCGGGCGGGTGCCAGTCCCTGGCCTTCCACCTCCACCTCACCTCCCGAATCCAGGCCCCCCGTGGGACTGGACGGATACATCGACTGACAGGTACCGCGTGGACTCTGAAACGCATGCACGAGTACCTCGCTAGCCCAGCTCCGAGAGGTACCCCCTGTCGGTCGGCCAGGCCCCTCAATCCACTAACAAGCCCCCCCGAGCTCCCCATCCAGCCTGTGCCGTGTGTTAGGTGGTGTACGGTGCGGTGCCTGTGCGACCGACGGCGGATGGTCTGCCGCTCATAACCAGACAACACCTCATCCCATCCCAACCCATCCCATCCCTAAACTTATCACATCAATCCCCTCGAACCTGCGTTCTCCTGCTGAACTGTACGACCCCTTCAAAGACCTCGAGGTCTCACCGGCCGAGCCCTACCCTGCTCTCACCCTCCCAACTTCAACTCGTCGAGAGAGAGCCCTCAGCAAGCAAGCAACCATGAGTCAGGTTAAGAACCTGCGTGCCATGTTCGAGGGCAAAGGCGACACGAGCCCGCCCGACAGAGGCCGATCGTCCGGCGCGTCCACTCCCGTCCCAGGTACGACTACTCGAGCCCGACCCGCTTCCTGACGACAATGTCATGAACTTGATGATTTGCTTTGTTCTTGGGCTTGAGCGCACTGCTGCAATTTGCTGCTTGCATTCAACCGAAAGAAAGCTATTCAAGTTTCTCTAGTTCCCGCTCAGTTCCAGCTGTTTCGGCCTTTTTGGCTCTTCCTGCCCTGGAGCTGTCCGCACTAGTCTCCCGCCTTCCCCCAACATCAGGGCACACTTCATACCGTGTCCTTCTTTTTCCCCCTTGAACCCCTTGCTGATCTAAAAACTTGTTTTTTTTTCTCTACAGGCGCAACCAACGGAGTCGAGTCACCTCGTCCGCTTTCAAAAGTTAGAACCAATTTTGTTGCTGTTGAAAAGGACGGAAGGATAGGGCTTCGAAGAGACCCCAGTCACGAATCTAGCGTTTCTCGTCGTCGATTAAGCATGGAGACCGACACCGAATCCGTTTCTACTGTCCCTGACAAGGCCCCCGTGGCTGCTGAGGAGGTCACGCGAGTCAACAAGCCAATCTTGCACGAGACAATCCCGGAATCGCCTCGCCAGCCTGTCGAAGCACCCAAGACACCCGTCGAGGAGGTCGCCGCTGTTCCAGAGCAGCCCAGCATCACTCCTGAAAAGCGGGTAGCTGAAGAGGTGTCTGCCCCCCCGTCGCAGCCCGCGGATGCTGTGCCAGCTTCCCCAACGAAAGGGAAGAGGCAGACACCGCCTCCAACAGCTACAGCTGTCAATGGCAAGTCAAAGGCTGAGAAGCCCAAGGAGCCAGCTTCTGCAGCCCCGGCAAAGGCCAATGCCACAAAGAAGGCGGCTACTCGACCAAACACAATCTCGACCAAAACCTCCACCACCACGAAACCTCCAGCAAGGTCTCCCGCTGCCACAAAGACTCCCACGAGCGCTACCCACAAGCCAGAACACAAACCCGAACACAAGCCTGAGCATAAGCCAGCAACAAAGGCTCATGAGAGGCCTGCACCGAGGAAGGAAACGAGGCCGGCATCCAGGACTGGCCCTTCATCGCTCACTCGGCCCACGGCTGCTAGTGCGAGCAAGAAGCCCCAGCCACTGAAGCCTGTGCCCAGCGAGACCGGCTTTGTCAAGCCGAAGCCCAAGTCTCCTACGAAACCGGTCCATCTGCCTGCTTCTCTCATGGCTCCAACCGCATCCTCTGGAGCCAAGTCAGGTCGTCAGGTTCGACCCTCCCCCAGCTCCCAGAACCTCCATGTGCCTGCTCGCCCTCATAGCAGGGCGAGCGCGACAGGAACAAGCGCTACCGCTGGCAAAACGATCAAGCGTCAAAGCTCCACCATCAACCGTCCACGACCAAGCTTGGGACCCCCTCCTAAGAAGGCTGCTGACCATCCCGTCACGAAGAAGGAAGCTCCCGTCGATGAAAGCTTCTTGGCTCGCATGATGCGACCCACGCAAGCCTCTTCATCAAAGACGACCGAAAAGGTGCCCACTACACCTCCCAGAAGAACTGCTAAGCGCCCTTCATCAGGCGCCGAGCATACCACACGACGTGAGAGCAGCAGCAAGCCTCCAGGAAGCGCCAGGAAGCCTCTGAAGAAGCATCCCGATCCGAAGGATGAGGCCAAGTCTGCTGGCTCAGAGAAGTCTGCAACAGCTACTACCCCCACGCCTCCTGAGGAGGAAGTTTCTCAACCTCCCAAGCCGCAGACCCCCGAGCTCACGGTCGAAGCCCCTAAGGAGCTTGAGGCGACCAGCACCACGGAAGACGTGAAGAAGCCCGAGGTCGAGCCTGTTGTTGAAGAACCGGAGGCCGAGGTCGAGGCTGCCGCCACTGAGCCTGAAGAAGTTGTTGAACCTGCTCAGCCTGAGCCTGAAGCTGCTCAGCAGCAGGAAGTTCCGGAGGAGCCTGTTCACGAGGAGGCGAAGGAGGAGGTTCGACCCGTGACCCCTGAGCAACAGAAGGAGACTGCTCCTGTCGAGGTTCCCGAGCCCGCCGCAGCCGAGAAGACCGAGGAGGTCGCTGAACAGGCTGTTGAGGAAGAGCCCAAGGAGTCAGCTCCCGTCCCTGAGCCGGAGGCTGAGAAGAAGGAGAACTCTGATGTTGTTCCTTTACTGGAGGAGGACTCTGTCCAGGCTCCTGTGGAGGAAACACAAGAGACTGTCGTGGCTCCCGAGCCTGAGGTTGAGGTCAAGGCGGAGACTGAGACTGAGGCCAAGGCAGAGGTGATCCCTCTGTTGGAGAAGGAGTCCGAGCCCGTCGCGGAGACGGAAACCCTTGAGAAGCAGCCCGCCGAGAATGAGACAACAACCCAGATTGATACCAAGGAAGAAGCAAAGGAAGAGGCTAAGGACGAGGTCAAGGGAGACCCCAAGGAGGAGACCAAGGCTGATGTTGCCGTGAAAGAGGAGGATACCACCACAGAAGAGCAAGTGAACGAGGAGAAGCAAGAGGTGGAGGTCGTTGCCAAGGCCGATTAAACTGAATACCTACTAGATTGCGGAAGATGCCAAGCGGTTACTTTGGTCATTTTTATTGAGAAGAAGGGGTTGTTCCTTTTGAGCTGTTGTATAGATACCTGTTTAAGCGAAGGCGAATGGTGATTTTACCGCATCTTGTAAAAAGCATACGCAAATAACATGGCGGAATAACAAGATTTGGCGGTCAATAGTTGGTTGGGCACTCATCGGATGTTGAGATTTTGATACACAAGCACCCTTTCCAGGGCTTTCATTCCATCTAGTGGTAGTTATACATGCTTTCCCTCTTTATCGTATCACACGAAGCTCTCTGGCCCCATTCACATACAACTATCCATATTCGACATAACTCCAACACCGCCGCTCATGACACTCGGCACATCAACAAGCCGCCTTGTTTCCGATCCAGCGCCTCTCGGGCCTCGAGCACACCCCGCGATGTTGAGACAAACATGCACTCTCCCAAGTTCAGCCCCGGCACGACGCCTCCAGCCACCTTTGTCGGGAACCCCCTCGTCAACCTGGCAAGCTCCTTGATGTTGGCCGTCATCAGGCGCGAGGGGGTGCTGATGGCATTCGCCTTGGAAAGCACAGGCTTGCCGTCCCAGTACTTGAGGCCGAGCCACAGGCGCATGGTGGCTACGTTTGCGTTGGTGACGGGCTCGGGGTCCTGCGAGACCATCTGCTCGAGGGTCGGCGGGTTGGGTCCCGCGCGGTAGACGGCCGAGACGAAGCCGGAGCGGTGCATGGCCAGGGCGAGCTGCATGTTGTACTTGCAGTTCTTGACCGAGGTGATGCCCAGGCGGGCCTTGGAGGCGTTTTGGAGGTGCGAACACATGTTCGCTATGTTGGTGACGGAGGGCATGGTGGGCGAGGTTCGGGGGTGGTAATGGCGTGAAGAGGAATTCGAGGGAGTCGGAGGGGTTCGATTGGGTCGGCGAGTTGTTATAGTCGTCTGAGCATGCGAATGTCTTGTCAGAACATTTCGTTGCGATTCCTATCCTGAGGGGTTGTTTAACTCACCCCGTCGTATATACCAAGTCTAGGCCGGAATTTCAATATCAGAAATTACCAATTGGCTAAAAAGAATTCTTCCGCCGCCAGCTGTAAAGAGTTCAAAGCGACGGAGTGCCGGGCTATCACGTTGAGGTCCGTCGAGCGTGGTATGTCTGCAAGACGGCCCAAAAAATCAGAGTTGCGGCATGACTAAGCGAGGAGCTCGGGATCGATATGTGCATATTTCTCATTGATGCATGGCGATGAAGATGTTGGCGGGCAAGAAACTATTACTTGAGAATGTCGATTGAAAACTTAAAGGATGTTTCTAGGATTGACACTGGTGTTTTAGGAGAGTCTTTGGAAGACCGGGAAGAGTAAATCTGTGGTGAGACTCTACCGCTCTGCCTCTGGACATCAAGCGGCCTCAGCCAATGTGGTCACAGAATACGGAGCTGAGAACACGGACGGAATAGTTTAGACACCTTAATTTGGACAATAGACAATATGAATGAACTTTTGTGATTATACAAGACGTGCTCCCCGTTCCGTTAACCCGAGGTGGCTGACCATTTTGGTGCCGTCACCAATTGGTTGCGTGACTCAATCATGTCTATCGTACAAGTTTTTCTCAGATGCTGGTAAACGCTTCCTTGCGGCCGACAGGCCGCTCCAAATGCCTAAATAGGAAGGGGAAGCACGCTATGAATGAGTAGAGAAGTTACGACACTCTCAAGCGTGGTCGCCTAGGTGTCGGAGCCCGTGGATGATGTGAGCAAGCGATCGACGATACTTGTAGCCAAATACAGCTGCGGTGACGAAGAAGGGGCTGGCGATAAGTGTGAAAAAACTCCGGACCAAGACTTTGCCTTGGGAATCGCTCTTTTTGATAACGTCGAGGTAGCCTTCGTTGCTGAAGCTCACGCGAGAGTACTTGGTCTGCCATCCCATGCGGGGGAAGTGGACGCTCATAAACTCTTCGAGGAACTTGCGAAGTCGGTATCGCCGCGAGAGAACGGATGATCTCATCTCGACGTAGTTTTGAAGGGCGAGGTCGTTGATAGCGTGAGCATCAAACGGACGAACTGCCGAATACTCTGCTAGAGCTAGAGATCTCTCAAAGGTGGCCGCAGTTGAGGTCGTGGACTGGTTCGAAGGGTCATTCGACTCTTCAATCTGGGCATGCTTATCCAGAATTGAAAACAAGATTCGCACGTCTTCCATTCCCGCGTTCATGCCCTGGCCGTAGAATGGCACCATGGCGTGGGCTGCGTCGCCGACAATGACACAGGAAGAGCCATGGTGATACGGCTTGCACTTGAGACTGATGAGCGGAAGGTGAGGGTTGGTCTTGAAGGACTCTATTAGCTCATCACCAGGTATCAAGTCCGTCACACCGGGGAAGTGTTTGTCGAAAAAGCTCGGCAAGCTGGAAGGGTTGTTTTCAAGCTCTGTAAACTCTCGGCTGGGCATGAAGAGCGTGCATGTGAATGAGCCATCCTTGGTCAAAGCGTTAGCGCAAAGCATCAAGAGCATGAAGGTCACTACTCACATCACTGGGAATAGCAATAAACATAAAGTCCTTGCCAGGCCAGATGTGCAGATGGTTAGGCGATATCCTGAACTTGGCCATTGGATCGGCTGTGTCGTTCGTGTCGACGGGCTTCAGCTGGAATTCACACCACAAGGTGTCGATGTACTCTTGCTGGTAGTTCATCCGAGTAAACTTCATTAGATGATACCTCACAGCGGAATGAGCACCATCGGCGCCAATCATGAGATCAAAAGAGATGTCAATCTCCTTGGGGCGAGAATCCTTGGCTGAGCTGCCGTCTTGCACCTCGAACCACGCCTTGCACGCACGATAGTCTGCGCCCGTGAGCTTGTGGTTGAAGAAGAGCTTGACATTGGGCATGCTCTCGAGAATGTCGAGAAGCCGCTTGTTGAGTCCCGCGCGGTCAATGGCGTGGATCGCCTATCGCGGTGGCGTCAGCTTCAAATTCTCTCATGTTGAGGCAATTATGCATACCCTTCCCTTGACGTCGTAGTCTTGAGACTGCTCGAACAAGGCCCCGGTTGGTCCTCTGCCGTGGATCATGCGGCCTCTCATGGGAATCGTAGTCGCCATGACATGATCGAGGAGGTCTGGTTGGCCGGCATGGCGCATGGCATTGATGCCGCGCTCCGAGATGGCGAGGTTGATGGATCTGGTGAAGTTGAGTGGGATAGTACCAGGATCTCTGAGGTCTAGACCAGTCAGTAATTGAGACTCGGCGAAATAAAACCTCGTTGGACAACTAAGAAAAAAAGCCTCTTCTCAAGTCCTAGAATGAGGAAGAGGAATCCTGGCTCTTTGAATGCCATCAAAAAGGCCCCCCCAATCATCCGATCGAGTATGACTCTATCGCGAGCCAACCGAAACTAGTAGAAGAAAAACATCAACTCACCAGGTCGCAACTCATAAACCTCAACCTCGTGTCCCCTCTGCGCAGCATACAAAGCCGCCAGCGAACCCACGGGTCCAGCACCGACAACGACAAACTTCTGAGGCTTCCCCATCCTTTACTGCTGAGAAATCGAAAGAGTTGTTCGAGAAAAAGGACGAAGGGAGGAGGCCGGAAACCCTTTTAGAGTTGGCCAACAACGTTAGTCAGTCACCTACTAGAAACAAACTTCGGCTGAACGGTAAGTCGAGAAGGCGCCCCGGTAAAGGCCGTTTTGCGTATTAAACCGATAAATCCATGCGACCCACGCATTGGATAGTCGAGAGTTGCATCCGCACTTTTGCCTATGACGGTTTGTATTTGGATTAACTATTTTGCTATCTACCTACCTACCTATTGTTTCTTGGTTGCGCGAGTGCACGTGCGCATATGCCAGGCAAGGTTGTTTTCATGCGGGACCTTGGACATGCTTGGTTTGGCGCCTGTCTTTGTGACAAAGCCTCTCCTGCGTTGCCACGTTGTGTATGCATTTTTTCCGCGGTGCAGACTTTCAGTAACAATTGCCCGTGGCGCCGTTCGCATACTTTGTTGGTAATGGATCCCTGCTGCTAGCAGTACAACATGGGAGGATACACTCGGTGGAATGATTGCCCCCATCATGTCTGTGGACCCTTCCACGAGAACTGCTTGGAGACTGACAAATCAGTGTTGATGGCGCTCAGAGATTGTGGTTACCGGCAGTTGGCGTATCAATGTTGGTCAGTTCCAAGTCAAAGTCATTCTCGCCCCCATGTCTTTGTAATCCTAGATCTTGTGCAACTCGTAGAGGCGCCAAGCTTCATTAAAGTCAAGCCTCTCTTTAGGTATAGAAGCAGTCCGTCTTGACCCTTTCATTTGTGAAGGAGAAATCATGAGCATATTTGGGCTGTAATGAGGCTCAAGAGGCTGAGTGAACTCAGGCAGCTCATGGATGGTCTTGGCATGGATCTAGTTCCGAGGTCTCAGTCCCCCCACCTTCCAAAAAGGGATCCGTTTCAAACAAACTGGATGGCTTTCCGTTTACTTAAACGGGCAGTCTAATATCTACTTAGACATGGAAACAAGAACTTGACCTTATATCAAACCTGGGATTTATGAGTAACTGCTTTGATGGAAAGTTTGAATGGGGTGTTTATCGGGAGTTCTTATTATTACATAGAGTTGACTGTGAAGTGTTCATTGTTTCAATGTGCTTGTTGAACCTTACGGTCCAGGCCTCCTGGTACTTTGACCCAACACCTTGCTATTTTGCTTGGACTCTTTGCTAAAGCAATCTATCAGATTCCTTAGGCCTTGTGTATAACCATGGAATGCTTTAATAGAAGAAAAGCCCACAGTCAACTCGCTTGACCGCATGGGCGCATAAAATTCGTTTTGAGCATATGCACGGTTCGTGCGCAGGCACCGTTTTCTCGGCCGGCCATATCCGCCCCGTCCGTGGAGGATCTTTTGCTCCCTCGAAAAGTTACACCACGAGATTTAAGACGAGGAACGAGACTTGTTGCACGCACACATTCCCGTGGCTTCACCGAATTTCCTTCTTAAACCTCTTTCTCACCGCCGAAGCGACCCGGACTTTGTTCTCCATTTCCTGCCTTCTCTCGACACCCGCCCACCAACACCGACACCATGTCCGAACCCCCCGCCAAGAAGAAGTGCATGGGCGCCGATTGCGAGAATGAAGCTGGATCGCTGCAGTGCCCGACCTGCCTGAAGCTCGGTATCAAGGACAGCTTCTTCTGCTCGCAGGACTGCTTCAAGAAGAACTGGGTATGTGCCCAGACTACGTAGAAAGATTCGCAGCTGACAATCTCGTAGGGCATCCACAAGACCATCCACAAGTCGCAAAGTAATATCCTCCACCACTTCATGGCTCCGAAAGCAATCTCACCAGATCCAGCTACCGGCTACTACAACCCGTTCCCCAACTTCCCCTACTCCGGCTCCCTGCGACCCGTCTATCCTCTCTCACCGCATCGAACCCTCCCCAAGTCGATCCCTCACCCCGTGTGGTGGCAAGATGGCGACCCCAAGTACAGCCGCTCCCTCAGCAGCCGCAACAAGATCGAAATTCTCGACAAGGCTGGACAGGATGCTATGCGAAAGAGCTGCACGCTTGCGCGAGAGGTCCTCGACATTGCTGCCGCCGCCGCGAAGCCTGGTGTGACGACCGATTACATTGACGAGATTGTTCACAAGGCTTGTATCGAGCGAAACGTAGGCATTGCCTATCCCATGGCCTCCAGGGTCATTAACTTAGCTTTTGGGCAAATGCTAACAAGAGGCAGTCGTATCCTTCTCCCCTGAACTACAACCACTTCCCCAAGTCATGCTGTACATCCGTCAACGAAGTCATCTGCCACGGTATTCCCGATCAGCGTGTTCTCCTCGACGGCGATATTCTCAACATCGACATTTCCCTCTACCACGAAGGCTACCACGCCGATCTGAACGAGACATACTACATTGGTGACCGGGCCAAGGCGGACCCTGACACCGTCCGTGTCGTCGAGGCGGCACGAGAGTGCTTGGAGGAGTCCATCAAGGCTGTGAAGCCCGGTACCCTGATCCGGGAGTTTGGAAACATCATCGAGAAGCACGCCAAGAAGAAGAACTGCAGTGTCATCCGAACCTACTGCGGCCACGGAGTCGGCAAGCTGTTCCACTGCCCTCCCAACGTGCCACACTACGCCAAGAACAAGACAGTCGGCGAATGCAAGCCTGGAATGACCTTTACTATCGAGCCCATGATTGCCCTGGGCAAGTACCGAGACATTACGTGGCCGGACAACTGGACCAGCACAACCATTGACGGCAAGCTGACGGCTCAGTTTGGTAAGTGAAGCTACGAGAAGTACAAGTTGGACATTAGCTAACACATATTAGAGCACACTCTTCTCGTGACGGAAGACGGTGTCGAGGTGTTGACGGCGAGAAAGCCAGACTCTCCTGGTGGCCCCATCCCAATGCCTGGTACAGAAAATGGGGAGGCGGCAGCATAAATTTGAGATGAGCTGGGGTTAATGTCGAGCCAAATGTTTAGGTGTATGCGGAGTTTTGGGGAGCGAGTTGGTTGATAGATGTATACCGGGGAAGCGTTGTGGTGAAGACTCGAGGTTGGATGGGGCGTTGAAAGGGTGACCACCAACATAACATTCTAAGCAGGCATCCAAATCCAAGATTGATCTCTATTTCCGCACGTCCATCCATGCCATGCCAATTTCCAGAAGCATGTGAATCACGAGAATTCCTCAAGGTCTGAGTGAGGTGTTTCGACATGTGGATATCAGACCGACATGTTTTGGTCAGGTCATTTTCATTGCGTCCATCATGGACAAGGACTCGAGCTTATCCCCGGATGCAGGGCAGGTCTGTGGAGTGACGCAGATGGCTTCAGGCTGTCAAGTTCCGCACGCAGAGATAGAGATGGAAAAAAGAAGACACACGACCCTTGCCGCGGCCACATCCGCCGTCTGCCCGTCCGTCACCTTTGTCCTCCAGCCCCCCTCCCTCCCTCCCCTCACTGACAGCCTAGCGCAGAGCTCCAGAACTTCAAAGGTCACCCAGCCACATGCAGGCGCCCAGCGGCCACGCCATGCCGCCACTCAGGGCGTTTCCCAGCGCATGGGAACAGGGCATGGCCCGCCATAGTTACAGGGGGGGGTCTTGTTCTGCAGATAGCAGCCCAGAGGCAAGGCAACGTCAATGCCAGCGCAGAAACAAGCAACCCAGCTTGCGCAGCTCGAGGTCCATGTGTCCTGTCGGGTCAGGCAGGGCAGCAAGCGCGAGCCGCTTCCATCATAGCCGCTAGTTTAATCTGGGAAGCACTTCCACTTGCCTCTCCACCTCCACCTCCACCTCCACCAAAACTCACCACCGCTGCTACCACCACACCATCCTCCTTCGCCCGCCACCAAGATTTCTCTCTCCTCTCTACTCTCCCTCTTCCCCCACATCTTGCCCTTTGATCTCGTCGACCAGGCCACGTCCTTTTTTGTGCTCATCAACCTCAGCTGCTCTTGATACCCGCCTGCTCCTACGACGAGGCTATCCCTTGCTTCCGCGCGCGCGCACAAACTTCATCTTCCAGCTTGTGACAGAGCTTGACAAACAGCTGTCCTCGACTCGACCCTCGTCACCCCGACTCGACCACCTTTAGCCCTCGCACAACAACTCTAGCCCATCATGATGTCCGGAGAAGCTTGGTTGTACCTCTTGTCGGTACTCATCAACGCCGTCAACCTCTTTTTGCAGGTTTTCTTCACCATTATGTACAGCGACTTGGAATGGTATGTCACCACCACCCTGTCTCGCTGCCTTGGCTGTCAGCCTTTGCGCCTCGGATGCGCGTCCTCGGCAACTATACATGCGGATTGAGGCTAATCGCATACAATTACAGTGACTACATCAACCCCATTGACCTCTGCAACCGACTCAACACCTACATTATCCCCGAGGCCGCGGTGCACGGTTTCCTGACCTTCCTCTTCCTCATCAACGGCTACTGGGTGCCTCTCATCCTCAACCTGCCTCTCCTTGCCTGGAACGTCAAGAAGTACGATAACCGAGTTTCTAATCTGGTAACGGGACACTGACCGAGCTCTAGGATTGTTGACAACACCCACCTGCTCGATGCGACGGAGATTTTCCGCAAGCTCAACGTTCACAAGAAGGTAGGCGGCAACGCTTTCGAGGTAATGCGCAATCGGTTCTAACTCGAAATAGGAATCCTTCTTCAAGCTCGGTTTCCATCTGGTCATGTTCTTCTTCTATCTCTACAGCATGATTGTCGCTCTCATCCGCGACGAGTCGTCCTAAACGACCGTCCAAGTAAAGCGGGATCCAGCCATGCCCGGCATCAGGCATGATGTGTATCGGATATGATGGACCGCAAGAGTTACCCTGCTAGCCAAGGTCGGCCGACTACCTCCAGAGTCGAGTCGGCCAGTCACGCGATGAGACGATATGAACCTGCCACGGCAGTACATAACGAGTGGAAGATGGTATAGATTGATGACGGGTTTAAAGAGGCGGGCTTGGCGTATATAACCTGGTATCATGCCAGCTGGCGCTCTGGCTGATTACTTCATGAAAGCGGTGGGCGGCATGGGTTGTTGGAGACTGAGGCATCACGCACGCTTTGTTGGCCTTTTTGTCATCCGGCATCAGCCGCCCTGGTGTGATAATTGATTAATGACCGAACCGAATGGCCAGCTTGCGAGCACAGGCAAAATATGTGATATCCAGATAGTTAGATCTGTAAGAGCCATGACGGACTTTTTACAAACCTCGTATTTTAACGGCTTTTCGAGGCTCATGCGTGATGCGATCATAGTCACGTGACCATCTACTTTTCGCGACCTAGACAGTCGCGCTCAGTGTCATTCGCCCAACTTTGCGACAACATCTCAACAAGCAACAACTTTGAGCGTCGTTCACCATGGCAGACTTTGGCGAGTACCCGCCGAATATGGCGCCGCAAGATGCGCTCATTGTTCGAGAACAAGCCGAGCCTGACCACGCTGTGGTGCCTTATACAGCCGAAGACCTGTCGCGCCCCAAAGCTGGTCCTGCAAACCCATTTAAGGACGAGGCGAACGCCTTGAAACGCAAGAACGTCTTGACCGGCCACGCAGAAGAGACTTTTCTGAGCGAACACACATTTCGAAGCAAGCACCGTGCTATAGAGCGACGAGGAGGTCCGGAGAGAGAATACCAGTCCAACGCAGAACTGAAGGCAGAGGCTGCCAGGATACGGGCGACACGAGAGAGCAAGGGCAGCGCGACGATTACGGAGGGGCCCGGTGCCTATGTTGGACCATGGGCCAGGTACAAGCGACCCGAGTACGAAGTTGTGGGAGAGGACGAGGAGCTCGCGAGCGATGAAGAGTATGAGATTGTGGAAGAGGAGGAAGAAGTTGTCGAGAGTGGAACAGTGGTCAAGGCACCGACCAAGGCGCTGGAGCGAAGAAAGGAGGCCGAGGAGATGGGCGAAGAGACGACGACATTCCACGGATCCGCCGAGTACGATTACCAGGGCCGGACATACATGCACGTTCCCCAGGATCTGGACATCGATCTTCGGAAAGACGTGGGAAGCATCACCAATTATATCCCTAAGAAGCAGATTCATTCCTGGAAGAACCATTCCAAGGCAGTCACCGCACTACGCTTCCTCCCTGGCTCGGGGCACCTACTGCTATCTGCCAGTGCTGATACCACCGTCAAGATCTTTGACGTGTATCACGAGCGGGAACTGCTGCGAACGTACTCTGGACACTCCAAGGCTCTTTCCGACATTTGCTTCAACACTTCGGGTACTCAGTTCTTATCCTCGTCCTATGATCGCATGATCAAACTCTGGGATACTGAGAAGGGTGTCTGCATCAGCAAATTCACGACTGGCAAGACCCCTCATGTCATCAAGTTCAACCCCGATCCCGAGCACGCCAATGAATTCCTGGCGGGTATGTCGGATAAGAAGATTGTCCAGTTCGATATCCGTACACCCAACGAGGTGGTTCAGGAATACGACCACCACTTGGCGGCCATCAACACCATCACCTTTGTTGACGAGAACCGTCGTTTCATGACGACATCCGACGACAAGTCACTCCGCGCATGGGACTACAACATTCCCGTACCGATCAAGTACATCGCCGAACCGGACATGTATCCCATGACCCGCGCGGCGCCTCACCCAAGCGGCAAGTACGTCGCCTACCAGAGTTCTGACAACCAGATCCTGGTCTACGGCGCCAACGACCGCTTCCGCCAGAACCGCAAGAAGAGCTACCGCGGACACAACAATGCCGGTCTGGGCATCGACCTTGACTGCAGTCCCGACGGACAGTTCCTTGCCTCTGGTGACTCTGGTGGTTATCTGTGCTTCTGGGACTGGAAGACGTGCAAGATGTACCACAAGCTCAAGGCAGGCAACCAGGCCATCACTTGTGTCAAGTGGCATCCTCAGGAGACGAGCAAGGTGGTTACAGCAGGTCTGGATGGTGAGATTAGGTATTGGGATTAAGAGGTGGTCGTAAAGGACATGATGCATGGCACGGCGTTTGGGAATCTAGATGGTAATAAAATACAACTTGAGAATAGCTTTTAAAGAAGTTTGGGAGGATATGCTTCTTATTGTTTGTTCAGGAACTTGCGTGCAGTGTCGTGATTCTGGTCCATCAACGAGCCCTTTTCCACCTTTTCTATGTCGCTAGACTCCTGTTCACCATCGCAGCCACAGAAGTAACCTCGAAGGCTCGGTCTAGTTCTATATGAGCTATGGGCTTCATATGTCCCCGTCTCGCTGTCGATTTCCCTGGCCATGTTCGACCTCAAATGGCTTATACTCCGGCCGTACTAGAGTAGCTTCACGGTCACGACTATTCTAGTTTCTCTCAACTCATCAACATATTGAGGTGCCGCTCATAGCTTCATGCGACTGTTTCCTTTTAGTCGAGTCGAAGCTGTATAGATCTGACTGGACACCCTTTAGGTCACTTCAGATCTGGGATGGGGATAGATGACATGGGAGAGGTTCAGAAAAGGACGAAAAGTCTTGTGCTTAAACTTAAGAGAAGTATCTCCCTCTCCCTCTCTTCCAAATTTCGGAGCAGTTTATACCCAGGCGGACAATAGAAGGAACTAATCAAAGTGTAGTATTAGGGTATATGGCTTGCAGTGTCACCGGGCTGTGTTTCCAAGCCAGTGTCTGAGTTCTACTCTGGAGTAGCTATCGAATTTCGACGAGGGTGGCAGTTGATCACGGAGTTCCAACTCTTTGACGCCAAGGCCCCAATGTAGGGCACACATATACACCCGGAACCTCTCAAGAATACCAGCGTTCTAAACGAGCTCAATTTATATAGCCCACTTAAACTCAAGGTCTCGGTCGCCAGCTACCTAGACACCTTCTGAGGGAGCTGGGACGCCGTGCCCTGGGTTGTTGAAGAGTTCGGGCCTTGGAGATCGCCGAATATCTCATCCCAACCCAAAATCTCGCTCGCCGTCTGTGACTTTACACATTTGTCAACGCTGAACTTACGCCCAAGCTCAAGATCCAGCTCACAGCTTTCTATGAGAGTTTTCAAGGCTGAAATTTCCAGGTATTGTCTTCAAACCTACAAGGAGCATTCACCAAGAGCACTCTTCATGGCACGACCACCTTCCTTGATAACAAGTTTAATCTTTTCTCCAGAGAACCTACCACTGATTCTCATGATTTGAGCGGCTAGCATACGTTGGTGGCCAGGATAGAGCTAGAAGTTCGGGGTGGATTTGACGATGCCAAGTGTTTCTCCTGAATGGCAGTATCAACAGGATGACCAAGTGGCCATATAATCAGGACTGTTCTTCTACATAGCTCTGAACAAGTTTATTATCTACTCTCCCGAGATATTCAGCAGTTTGGGAGAGGGAAGGTGTCACAATGATGGTTGCGTGCAAACAAGCGATAGGAATCAGCAGGTAAGGAGGCGGGATGTTCTCTAGCTAACCCAAAAATCTAAATGGCGAGGGAGAAATAAAATCCTTATACCTCGAGCATTCTTCGGTTCTGGAAATATCAGGTCTTTATAGTAACTGGGTAGTGCTGGCCGCTACTTACAGCGGTGGGTTGAAGGCAGACACTATGAAGGGATCTGGGGAACATAAATAAAAAGAGTTCTAGAGGATACAGTATAAATCCTACTAAGTCTCTAATACTAACTGACAAAGAGATTTGTCATATTAGCTGGTTGTGGCTTCTGACTGCACATATATATAGGTATATTTCGTTATAAAGAGAACAAAGAGCTTGTTTAATATCCCTATACAGTCCACATTTGCTAGTTTTCGTACTTCCGCTTACTATCTGAATACTATAAAACAGAAATCATAGGTTAATGTCTGATTTGGTGGTACTCATAGTGAGGAGTGAGTGGCGTGGGTAGGCTGAGGCAAAGCACTCTCCTAGCTATCCCCTTTTCACACACCTCCCTGGGCGGCTTTACTATAATTTTACAAGCCTTTGACCAAGAGAAACCACTCATGACAGATCTTAAGCTATATTTGTTCGGCACTTCCATTATGTACCAGATAAATACTCTTGAACCACTCAGTTGTCTGCCGATGACGAAAACCTGCCAACTTCACTAAGCAACAGTGTCGCAATAGGCCGTACTTTTCAAACGCCAGATCTCACACAGGACTTATGTTTAATTATACGCAAAGGTGTACAGATTCTACAAGTCCTATTCAGCCATTCTTAAGCATACTCTGTGACCTCATGTAGTATAACCCTCTGTTAAGGCCCACCGATACAACTAGCCGCCATGCAATCGCTAGACAACCTCAGTTATATGTCAGTCAACACTAGCCGCAGTGCGTCTAGCTAGATAGTCACAGAGTAAAGATAAAGCAGGGAATGTATTTTAGAGCCTCCTGATCCGAAAGCAAACAGTGTCAAGAGAGAACATGTCATGCAACCCACCGATCTCGTCAGGCTGCGCTACACATGACCTAATGAGCCTTAAGAACACAGAAAGAAACGCGGGTCTAGAGTAAATTATCTGAAGAGCCCAGCCACAACGAGCATTGTCGGGTTTCGAGCGTTATATCCAAGTTCACTGTTTGTCAAACTGAATCTACAGTCAGTCTTGATTCATGTCTTCATAACTATTAGAGTCACTTAGTCTGCTATGAGGTTCAGTGACCAGATTGCTCAAACCACCATTTCAACGTGGTCAATCAAAGGGCCAATAGAACGGGGTCATGGCAGGTCAGAAGTTTGCAAACCATCAGGAGGTGGTCATGACTCAACAAACTATTGTCGACTGGGACTTTCAACTCACGCGGTGATACAGGGCAGACGCCAATCAGGGCTCTCTGAGACTCGGTGCAACCCTAGGCAAACTCCAGTGGTCGGATAGACAAAGGTCCCTCATGTTCCCTTTGTTGTCGTTTGTTCCGGAACCAATAATGTCACACCTATTCAAGAGATGCAGGACTATGAGAGCAAGCACACTGATCAAATGACGCCTAACAGCTTAGAGTAACTATTTGACTTGGAATAAGGACAGCAGAAGCATTCAAGTCCTCGCGGACAAGTTACACCACCTGTATTTTAACCGTGTTCAAAGGAACAAGCCACGGCTTAGCCGCCAATGTTTTAGTGTCCTAGTAGTATACAAATTCCCCATATGTCTCTCTTCTGCTTGCCATATTGCACCAGAGACCTTGCTTTTTTCCCTGAAAGGTTGAAAAAAATCCCCTTACCTGGGCGACCTCGCCTCAAGGGATACCATATAGAAACCACAGCAAGAAAAGTCCTGAAACGCCCAAACCCTCAACCTTTGTTATTCCCCTCTCAAGGGGAGGAGGAAACGCTCATTTTTCCTCTCATATCAAACGAGTGAATCCAACCTTTTCCTGTTGAACTTTGTGTCCAGACTAGTAAAAGCCCTTGCTGTTGTAGGCCCACTCGTGTAAATGCAACCAAGTCAAAAATGTTTTGTGAGCAGAGTTTTTGTTGTTTCCATGCCTTTGTTTGACCACCACGCTGAAATTTTCTTGTCATCCCTCCTTTAAACGCCAAACTTGCTTTGTGTTTTTTTGTGGTTGTTTGTTGGAAAGAAAAATCACCAAATGTAGTCCGTCTCCCCCTTTTTCAGTCCCGGGCACGCTCCGCAGCAACACTTGAAGCCGAATCGGTAGTAGAGATCGATGGGAGTCCGTCTGGTCCCGTAGGAGATTGTCAGCTCTTGGCCGGCGGGGATCGTGTCGACCTTGACCACCATTTCGAGGGTTTCGTTGTCCGGGTTGAAGGTGTATTCGATGTTGTCTCTCGGACGGCATGAGTGGTTGAAGCGGGATGCGATGGGAAAGAGTCCCGCCTTGTCGTCGACACCAATAGAGAAACTTTATACACTTGAGCATCATCTCATCATCCGCAGGTAACAGAAACTCACCAGTTGGCCATCCACACGGCCTGAAGCCGCGGCGTACCCGGCTTGACCGAGCTATTCGCATGAAGCCCCAGCGCAACCTCGCGCTGCCACGGGCTCAGCCTCTCGAACTCTTTGAACAGCGAGTTGGTGTCAGCCACCAGCAACGGTCTCTCGACAAGGATGCAGTCTCCATACTTGAGGTCCCGAGCCGCAAAGGCGCCCCAGCCCGCGATCCTGGACTGGGCCACGGCAAAGTAGTCGTTGTGAAAGATGACGACTCCGGGTGAAGGCCCGTCAGGTGAGGGCGTCAGAGGTCCGTCTGCTGCGGGAGTAGGGAGGAGCTCGGGGGATGGGAGCTTAGGAGGTGACCCGAGGTGAGGAGTGACGGACTCGAGGGGTTTAAAGGAAAGGCGCCTGGGCAGAGGAGGACGAAGAGTATCTGTCGAGTCCAGGAACCTTGCGCCTCGGCTCGTCAGGCAGAGGACGGATCTAGACAAAGAGAAAAGTGGTCAATATCCAGGCCCCAGCGGGAAAGATGCCATAAAAACATGTATCCTACTCGTTGGTGGTATCGTCGTCTTCGTCGTCGGTCCAAAAGTCCGAGTCCGAGGTGAATTCAGGCTCAGATCCAGAAGTGGCAGCGTACTCCGTCGCGATGCTATCGGGCGACGTAGAGAGCTGATCCCTCGCCAGGACGTTTCTACAGAGAAGAGGCTTTTCGCCTTGTGAAGTAGTCGTGTAGTCATGTTCCTCCTCAGAAGCCTTGGACATGTCAATCTTTAGAGAACAGTGAATCATGGAAGAGCATCTCACCTCCGACCCTCCAGTAAGCAATGGCAGAAGGCCTCCCTCCTTCGCACCCAACTCCCCCTTCACTTGAAGGTCAAGCTCCGGAATGTCATCGATGGACAAGGAAGTGAAGACGGCGTGGAGCACAGGCTCATCAGGTAGAAGGGACTCGCTGGCCATTCGCAGTGTCTTGAGTTATCGTCTCGTGATGTTGAAGTGAAGATGAGAGAAAGCAATGGTGTGAAGCAGCAGGTGACGTCAAGTATGAGCTTCGATATGCTGTAGATGGAGAAGATTTATGGGGAAGGTGTCAAGTGATCTTGTGTTGCTTTAAATAGGCAAGTCGATGCAATCGGAAGTGAATAAGTGTCGTTCGTGTTTGATCGTGAAGATGTGTATGAGTGCAATGTGTTGGAGGATAATATCATCAAACCCGCCCTCCCTTTACCATGTGAGACGCATCAGCCGGGAAAGCGTCGTAATTAACCAGATGGAGAAGACGAAAAGGCAAGAGTCAGAAAATGTCCATCAGCATCCTGTTTGAGCAAGTCAAGAAATGGGACCACGACAAGGCGAACAAATAAAATGTGTGCCCAACCAATTCAAACATTGGCCCTCCTCACTCTCTCGCCTCACCCAACGGACGGACTCCTCTGGTCAGTCCATGGCCCATGTGACCCCCGGGAAATAACTGTACTCCAGCGCAAGGCACAGCCAGGAGGAATACAGTCAGGTAGTCAAAAGGCTATGCGCACCACGTAGCACGATAAATGCCCAGGAACCGCGTGAGGTCAGGTGATGGGACGTGCCGTTCGGCTTCGCTTCCGGGCCCGCCGGGGGGGGGGGGGGGGGGTCGAGAAGGTCCAGAGAAGGCTCTAGCTCTTCTTTTTTCTGAGGCCAGCCGAGAGTTTATTGATTGTAAATGGGATGCTCGAGAGTCGAGAATCGATCTACGGTGAGGGGCTTCTAACATGTGCTCATGATGTGACTCGCTACTCACTTACACACAGACAAGGTAGAATAACCACAACATGAATCTTTTCATTCTTGAATAACTACCTATTCGATCGATTCATAAGTTACCCATTAAATAAACATATCTGTTCCGGTCCTTGATGTAAAACCCATCCAGGCCAGACCTAATTCCCAATACCGTGACCCCCAAATTGCCATCCAATATCATCCCAGAAATCAAACAGCCCCTTGTCCCGGGACTCGTCAATGCTAGGTCCCGCTCGCCCTAGACAGAGCCTGCCGGAGACTCTTTAATCATATGCTTTTTTCACTTTTCCATCCAAGACTTCACCCCGACCTCGGATCTCCAGGTTCTTTTCATCCCCTTGTCTCGCCGTACCGGCCGGCCTTGTTGATCTGACCATGCGTTTCCAGACTAGCGCCACCTAGATTCTCTCATGTACATCTGATTAAGACTCTTCTCATCTCGCCTCTGGGAGCGAGTGAGACTACCAAACCCTCTTGGGTCGTAAAGGACAGGTCGATCCGCAGTCCGAGCATCGCAGACAGTCCGGCTTTCGCAACACCTTCCGGCACTGGCAGATCCAGAGGAATTGGCCCGCCCTTGTTGTCAGGCAGTCAAGCGGTGCATGAAGTCCGTGGCCGACCCCGCACTCAATACAGAACCGGCGAAGGGAGACGACTCGGTCCCCGGGCCCCGGCTCCCGATCCGATACGACGCGGCCGTGTGGGTCGAGGCAGGCCGTCGGGGCTTGGAGCACGTCAAAGTACTCCGGGGCCCGCACGCGGAAGCAGATGTAGCACTCCAGGTTGCCGGGCTGGTGGTCTCGACCCTTCTCGCTAGGTCGATGTTGTGGAAAGTCCTTTGCTGCTCTCATGACAAACTGAAACTTGTCTGCCGGGTCTGCCATCCGCCCAGGGTCTATCAGGCGGTGAAAGTGCCGGTTCACCGTGGAGAGGAAGATGAGTGATTGGTAGTCCAGCTCGGACATGATAAGCAGTTGAAGCTCCGGAGAGAGACGCTCCAGCAGCGACGGCATGGCGGGCAAGCGAGGCTTTGGGAGCCAACATGGACGGCTGCCTGGACGACTCATGGGGGGACTTGGGAGAGAATATATGCCGTGCGGGCGTGTAGAATCGTGCCTGAGAGAGTCGCCAATGAGGCCAGTGTGCTGCCGCGGTAGGAGCATCATTCTTTCTAACAAGTCAGGCTCGCAAAAGTCTCAGAAAAGTGTGGGCGATCTCGATACCCTTCTGCAAGACGGAGCGATGCCGCCTCTATAAGTGACAAGTCAAGAGGAGGGAGGGGTTAGCATTTCAACTAGGCATGCAGGCTGGCTACAACAATAACAAGCCCGCCTGCAGCAACCCGCGCTCATCACGACGGAAATGGGACGAGCGGGTGAGTGACAAGGGCGAGGTGTGGTGTGCTGCCGCCGTGAGGGCATGCCTTGACATCGCCGTTGGTCGTGTTTCGGAGGGGGCTGAGACAGTCAGGCTGTCTTCGCTTGGGGCAATCGATTGATGCATTCAATCAATGGCCAACGACCGGCTTCCAGGTGGGCCGTGATCCGTTGGCCACGGGAAACAAGATGGATGGAGATGGAGTCGTCCAGTCCAGTCCAACATTGGTTGATCCAAGGCCGATTCGATTGGGTTGGACTCTGTGCTGCCGCCCCAGGCTGCCAGGCAGACCATGAGGGGGGATTCCGTTTGCTTGCTCAAGAACGCCCCCATCCTGCCATTCAAGCCTCATTCTGCAGACTTACTCCGCTTCTTCTTCAATGGTCCGCGTGGGTGAGGTGGCGGCCCAACAGCAGCATGCGCTGCCCCACGCCGCAGAGAAGCAACGAATACGCTCAACCAGACCCTGGCATCCTTGATGCAGAGAGATCTGGTGGCCCTCTGCCGAAGATTCGCAACAGAGAAGCAAACATCGGCCGGTCCGGGGCCACGCCGAGCGCGGAGAGAGGCCAAAATGAGGCAGCGGTTGGGCGGCCACTTCTGCTGGTCCCCGAAAGGCGCTCCGGGATCACTTCCCCGTCGACGGCTTCCTGTCATGTGAATGGGAGGCTGATGTGGCCTCTACCCCGAATCACCTATGATGAACCGAACTGTCGGGTCCTGGCTTCAGGTGGACCGAGCCCTAGCTCATAGCTCATCCGAACGTGTTGGATCCGATACTCAAGGGACCAACCCCGTAGGCTCATCTCGACTCCAGTTGCTGCATGATGCAACTTTGGGAAGACGGCCGCCCTGTCTGGACGCGGTTGTCGTGTCTCTGCGAACTCATGATTGGAAAAGGACCCGCCGCCCATTTCGTTGGTTCTGTACCACCGTCAGCATCCTTCCATTCATCGGTATGTCTTGTCTCTTCCTCAGCCGTGAACCAGGATCAGGCATCCATGGGTGTTTGCTTGATAGTCTCAGCCTGTCTCCATCGTTAAAGATACTCAGCTTGAGCCTCTAGTTCTGATCGGCGCCAGAGTTGTTGATCGGAGATCCCGCGTATTGTACATTGCGCTGCTCGGCGTGACTGCTGTCAGACTCAAGTCATGAGACATCGAGAGCCATCCCAAAGCACAAACTTCGACACAGGCCAGGAGTTGCTCGGCGCAAGGTCACACAAGCACACAAGGGTAGATGGAGGCGTCAACCCCATCCTACCCATCTTGCCTCGCATTATCACTTCTCCAACCATCACCCTCACCCTCACCCTCACCCTCACCCTCACCCGCAGCGCCGCAGCATGTTGTCTCGGCAAGAAAAAGCAAACCATCGGCCCCCATGCCTTTACCAGATCGCGTCGCTCGCATCGACAAGGGTGCAGCCGCCGAGTTGAAACCACAAGACTCCTTCGTTCAGCTTGAGGCGTCCGCTAATGTCGGCTGGATACGGATAACATCAAAGCAAACGACATGTAAGAAATCTTATCAAAAGCAAGCTTATTCACCTGACTAACAGATACCACCCCTATCTGTTGGCCAAATGGCCCGGGCTGGTCAAACACGGCTTGGGTGGGTGAGTCGATATTGCTTTGGATGAGATGCCTCTGTTGATGAGAGACAACCAACATTCTTTTGGGTCCCAGGGTCTTGTGTTTGACTCAGTTGAAATCGCTGTTCGTTGAGAGATATATGCACGGCTCCCACGCGCGTCTTGAAAGTTGGGGATGTCGGATATAACCTAATTTAAATGCGGCTCATAGATCGTGAAAAGAATGTGAAAGAATATGACTTCAAGCAAGGGACCTTTGTGTTCAGACCAAGAAGCTTGGACAAAGAGCCGGGGAAGTGATGCTTACAGTTTGTCCAGATGGCTGGTGTTGGGGTCCAGAATGTTCCCAGCGTGCTTCTTCCAACAGTTGGCACAAGCCTCCGCTTTGTGTGACCATTCATGTTATAACTGAGGGGTGATGACTTGTTCCTTGGCCAAAACTTGGTGCTGGCTGAAGTATCTCCAAGAGGAAGGGATGTGATTGATCGAGATTCCCTGCAGTGACTACTGCAGAGGTTTCTGCCAGCTTATGGTCGCAAACACGATCAAGACCCTCCAAGTTGGATAGGACGATCACCATTATTGCTCCGTAGTGCCATTGCGATAATCGACCATGTGGATGCTTTGCGGGGATCGAAATGTTTGAGACATTCTCCTTGAAAGAGAGCAATGTCTCGGATTGTGTCCCCAAATGGAATGCCACTCTAACAGAAACAAGGTGAGTGCAGCAGGCAATCGTGTGCCCGCTCATTGCTGACGGTTGGGGGCAGTTTGCTGCAGTCAGACCTGACTGTGATTGTGATTGCTGCGCCATGGTATGCCCGGCAGCAACCCAAGGCATACTGAAGGATCTTCCTCTCTCTCTCTCGCTTGGTTATGCGCTGGCAGGATACGAACCAAACGTTTCGACACAGCCTCGATGCCAGCAGCTTGCATTGCCATCCAATGCCTCCGCAATCGACGCCGTAGATCCCGACAAAGAGTCGTTTCAGATACCGTGGCGACCAGGGTCCGTCCGCGCTTAGCACAAACGTCATAATAATATCCCAGGCCCCAGTCAGGTCGTGGACCCTTGGAATTTCGTCTTCTGGTGATGTCTTCAGACTCTGTTCTGCACTTCTCAACCGCTCATTCATTCGTTCCCTTTGTATCTGCATATGCATCATGGCCCTGATCGAACCGGCCAACTGCAGCGGAAATGCGACCGCTCCCACTGCCAGCGATGCAGGCGTCGCAGGCGCGGGTGTAAGTATTGTATCTGACGGAATGTGAAATTTGTCCTCCAGCGCTGACACGGCTCAACAGATCCTGCTATCCTTCATGATCACGGCATGCCTATCCATCATCTTGTCCAGCAGCGTCATCTTTGGCGAATTCCGCGGTAGAGACTCAGTCATTCGACGAAAGCTCCTCAACAACTACAGCGACTCCCAGATCATGCAGGGCATCGGAATTCAGAGTGTTGGGCTGGCCAAGATGAACACGCTTGTGCCATATCACTTCTTCCTCATCTGGATGCTGTCGCTTCTGTCTATGGCGACACACAACGCCACACTTCTGGCTCTCGTACACGACTACCGCCGCGACTGGGTGATTCGATGGTTGCGACAGTTCCTCATGTTCGTCAACCTGGCGCTATCATGTGTGTCTGGAGTCTTTGTTCTGGAGGCCGTCTCAAAGGGCTTGGACGACAAGACCCTGCCAATCGCTTGTGTGTGGGAGGTCGACGGCAAGGGAGCTGCATCCAACGCAGGCTTGTCGTATGTCGGCACCATTGTCGTTATCGCAGGCAACGCCATCATCTTTATCCTGGCGACCTGGTATCTGCACAGCAAGAACCAAAAGTTCTACAAGGCTGTCCAGATTGGCGGTTTGGTGCTCATGACAGCTGTTGCCATCGGCGCCGCGATCCGAATCATCCTTCTATCTCAGGCATTCGGAAACCCTTCCATCGAGCTAAAGGACGAGGGCGAGAAGATCTGGAGCTTCGGACAACTTCTCTCGATGCTGCTTCTTATTCTTCCCTTGGTGTCCGTCATCGAGATCTACCGAGGTGAGATCCAGGTTGCAGGACCTGTTCGCGATGACCGAAGCCGGGTGTACGATGGCGAGCTCCAGGCAAATCCCCATTCAGGATCGCAAACGAATCTCTTCCAGAAGTGAGGTACGATGTGATAGAGTTAAAGAATATTCAGACGGTTCGCGTGAGCTATGGTCATAATGATGAACTTGGTAATGGCAAAGAGTGTGATCAAATTAGAGCGGCCCAAAGTGCGCAAGAAGATAGATACCCTTTTTTTCGTGTGTGTGTGTGTGTGGTTTTCATGAGCATTTAGAAATTCGAGTCATCCTCACATTAGAAAGAGCATTTGCGCTGGCCGCGACTACCTAGTATGTCGTTTCTCTCTTCCTTCCCTGCATGTTCCTCCTTATTTGGCAATGAGGCAGGTCAGTATCAATCATCGCCGAATATTAAGTTCTACAAAAGAATGAGCTTCTATTTCTTGCATACATCTCTAACACTCGAGTTACCTCTGCTCTGAAACCAAAACCTGTGCAACCTTCGCGGTTTCTTTACCTCCACTTTCACACTTGGGTCCTCGCCATGCCGCTCACACTGACTGTCAAACAGAGGCGGTGGCTCTGCGTCGCCTTCTGCTTCTGCTTGACTTTCTTTCTGATTGCCGCGTATAGAAAACAGGAAATGAAGGCCAATGCGAGGGTCTTCAGATATCCAAGCCCTATCGATAGACAGTAAGCTGAAGCCTCTCTTCCAAAATAGCATTAGCTAACAGACCAAGCACCAACCACGACAAACTCAACGCCGAGATCAAGTCAAATAGCACAACGTTCGAAGCCATTGCCCGAAAACATGGCACCAACAAGGTCACCTCCCACAGATACCAGGCCATGTACGAAAAGTATCTCGGTCCTCTCCAGGGTAAGCCTGTCAAGTTCCTTGAGATCGGACTTGGGTGCAACATGGTAAGGACTCTTACCATGTCTACTGTGATACGTCTTCTGACATCTCTTAGGACTATGGTCCTGGGGCTTCTTACAACACATGGCTCGAGTTCCTCCCCGGCGTTGACCTCTACTTCATTGAGAACGACCGGGTATGTGCTGAGACATTCAAGCACAACAACCCGAGTGCTCGCATTGCGATCGGCGATCAAGCAAGCGTCCAGTTTCTGACCCAGTTTGCCAACGAGTCTACCCGGGACGGTTTATTTGACGTAATTGTCGACGATGGTGGTCACGGTATGGTGGAGCAAATCACTTCTCTCGAACAACTGTGGAAGATTGTCAACCCAGGCGGCCTGTATGTGATCGAAGACCTCCAGACCAGTTACCGGGAGCACTGGGGAGGAGATTCGTCAGGGAGGGACACAAGGAAACATACAACCATGAAATATGTTTATGGACTCCTCGACGACATGATGGCCGGGTGGACCAAGCATTCCATCAGTCGCTCGCTGGAGAGTGTAGACTGCATGGCCGAGATTTGCGTCCTGAGAAAGACTGCCTAAGCGATATCAATAACCTTGGAACAGTGTCCAAGTCTTGATGGGGGGTTCCTATACCACGAAACCATAGTCAGATTGTCACTTGCTTAGCGTCACTGGAAGCGTTTATTGTCTTGATCATATGAATGTGTTTTATTTGTAGGTATCGTATTATCATTCGCTTGTCTATTGCACGGTGCACTTTGCAGGGAGTCCGCAGGGACCCTCCTTGAGCTCCTTTTGCTCCTTGATTCCATTGCCCTCCTTCTTGGGCGTCTCCTTTTGAGCCTCGGCAGGCTTGGTGCTATCGCTCACAGGCGCAGCCTTGGCCTGGCTGCTGCCATGCAGTCAGCCGGAGTACTTGGCGACGGTCTCGTAGAAGTGCTGGCCCTGGATCTCGGCGAGCTCAAGCTCCTTGCCAGAGGGCTGGCGGGAGCCGTCAGCACCGGCAAAGGTACCGGCACCCCAGGCGCTGCCGCCACGGACCTCGGAGAGGTCAGTCAGAAGACCAAAGGCCTTGGCGTATCCGAAGGGAACGTAGATGATGCCGTGGTGGGTGAGGGTGGAGATGGCGTTCTGAGCAGTGGTCTCCTGGCCACCGCCGAGGGAGGCGGTAGAGACAAAGATACCAGCCATCTTGCCCCAGAAGCCACCGGAAGCCCACTGCTTGCCGGTCTTGTCCCAGAAGGCCTTCCACTGGGCGGGGAAGTTGCCGTAGCGGGTGGGGATGCCGAGGAGGAAGGCGTCGTACTCCTCGAGCTTGGAGGGGTCCTCGAGGACGGGGACATCGGCGGGCTTGGGGGGAGCGTGCATCTTGGCGAGCACATCCTCGGGGAGGGTCTCGGGGATCTGGTACAGGTCGGCAGAGCCACCGGCCTTCTCGATACCGGCCTTCTCAGCCTCGGCCAGCGTCTTGATGTGGCCGTACATGGAGTACTACAGGAGAGTTGCATGTTAGCGAGTCGCCATGAGGGAAGCATTGCGGGGGAGAGGAATGGCTGAATGCAGGAAAGCCACTGAGCCGCCCACTGTATGCATATTTACAGTTGGTAAGGCAGCAATGGCTTGCCTGCATCGGCGGTGATGAAGCTCATCATGATGAGGATGGCGGGGTGAAGATGGAGGGGTAACCACATACGTAGACGATAGCAATCTTGGGAGCCATTGTGACTGATTTGAGTTGAAACTTGGGGTATCAAAGGTAAGAAGGAGTTATAGATGGAATAGATAAGAGTGAACTGCTGAGGAACAAAAGAAAAAAAAAAGGGTCAGAGAAGGGGAGAGCTCCAGGTCGTCTTATACCTGGGCGAAGCTTCTCTCTCAAGGTGGGCAGGGCCTAGCGCTCGTTCAAAGCTGCATGTTTTCTCCGTTTACAAGCTTCCTGCTTTCAAGGTCCCACAGCCCGGTAGGTCCACCCCTTCCAATTCACAGAGTACTCCCAACCGTCGAATGGAGGGGGACAACGAGACCAGCGGGGGCGGTGATGCCATTGGTGCAGTTCCCTTGCCGTCCGGAAGCTCCATATCGCGTGGATGTGGATGCAAGCGGGAACCTTGCGCCGGAAGATCGGGGGAGAAACTCGCAGGCTTGTCAGCAGCTTCAGCTCGGTAGAACGATGCGCCCGTATTGTTTGGACTCTATCCTGAATTGCGCCGAGTTCGTTGACCTGGTTAACGAAATCTCCATGTCTCAATTGCTTCCTCTTTGTTCATGATGCTCCATTCCAAAGGATACAACTCTACCAGACGTTCCTCAGCGAGCCCCTCACATCCAAGCTTAGCCCGCCCCCCCGAAAACCTCGATCATGATCCGAAAAAAGCTCTAATCAATGCCCCAACGCGCACCCCCCTCCCTCCTGCTGAGTCAAGCTGATGCGAGCAAGACTTCCTAAGCAATGATGCTGTGGTAACCCACCGCGGACAACGGCCCATTACACGAGCCTGACAAAACAACCGATGGGTCTCATTCTCTTAGCTAGTGCGGGGTCTCAGGGCCGACTCGCGCGCGGTTGAGCCTGTAAGGCTTATTCACGATTTGCTAAGCCAGCAAAGCAGCAAGAACAGAACTTCTGCTGTGCTGGGTGAGAGCTAGTTGTTCTCCATCTCTGGCGCGGAGTATCACCTCTTTCGCGGTTCATTTCACTGACCCGCTGCCGTCATTGTTAATTCCATTGATTACATATCGACATTGAGTTTTGAATAATCTCTTCTCTTCTCGGATATAGCCATGTCATGTTCCCTGTCCGTGGGGATTGCCTGATTGATCAACCCATATCCGGTCCCAATATCTTGTTTCCCCCCCCCCTCTCCCCGTGCCCTCCCAATTTCTTCGTCTTTCCCAACCACTTCACGCCCATCAGCTCTCACCGACATCAACTGTATCGTGCGTGCGTGCATGCGAGCTCCGGCACGGTAGCTTGCTGTGGATCATCCCCCTTCCGTCCATCGGCAGCTCAGCATCCGCTAGTCCAAATCGACATCTTTCCCCTTGTCCACCGCCGCCAACGAGCATCCACCTCGCCCGAGGCCATGAAACGATTCCTCCTACAAATCTCCTGCCTGGACCCTCTTTCATGCCAATGCGAAAACTTGGACAAGAGATTGTCTCAGTAGGGACATCTAAACAACCAACAGACGGTCAGACACAGTAGCCGGGGTTCCATGGTGATTACATTTCTGGCTTAGTTACAGGATAACAACCACGACTGGGTTGCCATGGCGGCCATTTCCCCTGCCTCCATACCTGCCTACAAAAGACTTGACATCCATATGTTCTATGCCACGACTTCTTCATCATCCCACCGAAAACTCCGTTTGAAACCAAGTATCCAAAAACAATTGGTATGCCAAACAGCATACCGGGACCGAGGTCAAAGCATCTCGACCCCCATTACATTACCAGGCCAGATCCAAACTCCATGCTTTCGTTAAATGACTTGTTAAATCCAAGCTCAGCGCCTTTGAAGAACATAAAAATCATTGCGTTGAAACGGAAAAGATAAAGGAAGGTGTTCGTTTCGTCATCGAAGTGATCGTTGATCGTTGTCTCGTGGGTGCGCGCTTGATGGCTCAATGACAATCTCGGGGAGCTGTGATATTCTCAGGCTCGGTAATTGAGGTGCTCCGTCGCGTCCGCGTGGTGAACCGTGGTTGTCACTACCATCGTGCCCGTCGCCGGCTTGTTCGGCCGGCCCCACTTCACCGTTCTGCGGCCCCGAACCCAAGTCACGCTCCGCCGTCCGTTGCGAAGAGGACCGGTATGGGCCGGGGTAGTCCGGTGGAGGTTCGTTTATGGGTGTCGTGGACCGCCCATCGTCATTGAGTGGAATGTCTTCATACTCAGGAGGAGGCATGGTCTCATCTCCGAGATCAGCCTCAACCAGCTCAGGACTTGAGCCGGCTCTTCCGTCGTCGTTCGGTGTGCCCGCTCGTGAACTTCCTTGTGAACGCGCAGGTGCTAGACTCGAAAAGTCGTCGTCGTGGCTAACCGCAGAACTGCCACTACGTCCCCGCTGATGTCCCAGGCTGGCCGCATCAGAGAGCAACCCTACTCGTTCGCTTTCCGTGCTGTTTGCCCGAATCCTCGTTCCGTCGTGACGTGCAATGCCCACATCTGCGTATGATACACTCGATACGGATCGCTGCCGGCTGTCCTTGATTTGGTCGACGGTTGTTCGGAGCTCGCTGATGGTTGTGTTCTCGTTTGCTAGACGTGTCTCGGCACGGATCTGCTCGAGCGTGCGATAATCGTTACGGCTTCGGGCTTCGCGGCGGCGTTCTCTCCTATCCTCGCGCTCCGCTAGCATCTGCCGTCTCGCCAACCTAATCTGGTAGAGCGTCTCCATCTCGTTGTCTCGGGCTTCCTCCTCTGCCTCTGCCGTAGGCAAATCAATAATAACATCTACTCCATCTCGTTCACCCTCTCGTCCGAGGACTTGTTCGTTGGGGTTTGCCATTTGCCGATACGCAGGCAATGTAAGGACGGAGCGAACAGAGGTGTTGCGGTCGACGGCCGCGCCAGCATTGCCGCTGCTGTTCGCCTGGTTGTTGCGTTGGCCGTTTGAAGATGCGTTGTCAAGCTGGTGCGAATTCCTCCCACTCTCGCCATCATCGCCAGCTGTCTGCTCGTAGTTGCCCTGTCCTGACCTTCTAGTTATACGAGCAAAGAAGCCGGGCTTCTTGTTCTCGGTTGTCGTTGATTTTCGTTTCCTCTTGGAGATGAATACCCAAGCTGCCACGGCGACGGTAAAGGCGACAGCACTCGCGATAACCTATAACGAGGGACGTGATTGTCAGCGAGCTTCCGCCAGCGCGTAATGTGAAGCAACTCACAATAAACACAACAGTATTATTGCTTCCTCCATTATCCGCCCTCTTCCCCTCGTCTTGCGCCCGAGGCCATAGACCATCCGGGTCATCCCAACCCCGTGGTACTGGAGCGTTTAGATACATTCCTAGCTATGCTGCACCATGCAGAGCAAACGGGCGTCGGCTGCAACGACGATTGACGGTAAGGCGATGGTGACGGAGATGGCGGGATTGTGCAGCGGCGTCGAGCTCGATTGGATGCCTCAGTTGACAGGCCGGTAGACGCGGAGGGAGGGAGCAAAAGGTTAAGGTGAAGAGATGGAAGAAAGCGGCGCCGTTTAGGGGACGGAAAGGTTAATTGACGGGCTCGACTAATTGGAGAAGGTGGTTTGAGGGTTGAGAGCCGGAAGCACGGAGCATTCAATGAAGCTTGTACCTGTGCTTTTTCCCTGCCACAACGGACGGCAACGCACGCAACGGCCTCGCCTCTTTCTGGGCTCGGCGGAGGGTTTCTGCTTCCAGGCACAGCCGCCGTGTGTCGGGCGCGGGCTCGCGAGGAGGCGCGAGAGAGGTTGGTTGGTTGGCTTGGCCCTGGCTGAGCTGGCTTTGACGATTGACAGGGATGTTTCGGGGCGTCTGGGTCTGTGTCTGGACGTTGTCCTTTTACGCGCTCGGTCCCACAGTCAATCGACAAGAGGAACAGCAGCTTCGAAAGAAGGTGCTGAGTCTGAGTGTAGGGACAGACAGTAATAAGAGAGGAAGTAAAATAAACCTGATTATGTTTGCGGCCCAGATCGCGGATGGCAAAGAGCTCCGCTGTCTGTCAGATCCAGGGCTATCGCCCGCTGTCAGTTCTTGCAGGCGTGAGGGCCTCTTGGTGGTGACATCAGCAGGCGGCTGTGGCCATGCTTACTCCTCCAACGTCCCTTTAGTCGCGGTCTAGGCGTTCTTTGGACAGAAGAAAAAAGGGCTTAGATGAGACGGGATGATGAACGAGAGAGCCTAATTACAAGATCACCGAGTCTGTTATCAATCCCGCTCTCTGCTATTATTCACATGGAACGATACCGCGCTGGACCCCATCTCCTGACTTGACACCCAGCCATGGAACCAGCATCACCGTGTTCAGCGGTGACGCTAACAGATCAACGCAGCATGGACCTCTCGAGTGCTTCTTCCCCTCTGCCAGCAAAACAAGCGTCAACCTACCGCCGGGGTCAACGGGGTCCCCGGCTCGTGTCTGGCCGCCCACCATTACGCAACCACCCAGATCCACGGGCCCAAATCCCCGAGCAAGGGTTTCCGGGGGCCCGGAGGAGGGCAGGCACGAGAAGGGAGACGGTTTATTCAGCCAACTTGGAGGTTTTCCGTGTCAGGTAAAAGACACAACACTGCGCCCTGATGATGATTCCAAACCTGCGAGTCTCATGTACCCTTTGATGACCAGCATGAAGCCAACATCAGTCCTCGAATGTCATTGGAGCCTTTCCGGTGGCTGGTGGCTGAGCCCCTCGCTTAGTGGCTCCAGCCAGCCGTGTCAGCCTCTCCGCAATGGATGGATGCACTTACAGCTAATGATCAGCTTCAGAATTCTCGCAATTGACAACCCTTTCTTCCCCTTGCGGTTCACTCTGCAGTTGCTCTACTACGATGAGTGTAACCACTCTGCATCTCGAGTCTTAGATCGCAAGTTCTTCCCTGCGTCTTGTCTGCATCAGACCTGATAGTTGCTTGGTTATCTCGAGTCTCGCAATGCAATGTCCTTCTCGATCGATCCTACACACGACGGCATAAGAAACTAGGTTGATGCAGATGCAGATGCAGATGCAGCCCTCGGCCTCACCGTTCTGACCTAACGGCTTCCATAACGTCCTTCTTTTGCTTTTCCAACGTGGATTGTACGGTGGAGGCGTTGCCCCATCGTCATAATGCGGTCTGTCTCAGGCCACCGGCATCATCCTAGACCCAACACTGAACAGCACCACTTGTATACCTTGGCTTTCCAACGACGCAGTGAGCTGGCGTGGCATTTCCCTGGGCTTGGGGATATTGTTTCATCAGCAATATTCCTATCCCAAGAACTTGAGACAGCTTCTTTCAAACCAAAGGTTCCAGCCACTTCATGATAATACCTTGCCTGACCTACGGAATGAGGGGCTGCCAGCGCACGCAACAGACATAAACGTGGATGATGTAGTGTGAACTAATACTTAAAGAATTAAGGATATAGAAATATACGAGGTCGGTTGAAACGCCTGCAATCCAACCACCCAAACCCCCCCAACACACTCAACCAGGAATCAATTTATCCAAACTTCTTCTCAAACTTCTTCAACATACCCGTCACGCCACGCTCCAGGCGTCCGGCGTTCTCTTCGAGCTTGCCTCGCGGCTCTTTCTGCTGTGACTGTGGCTGGAACGAGTAGATCTCCGAGTTAGCCACCTCGGTCTGCGTGGGGCGGTACACCTGCTGGTGGACATTATACTCTGCTCCTCCCTGAGGAGTCGCCGCCTGTTGGTGAGTGTAGGTGTATTGCGCATAGCCTCCCGGAGGTGGAGGAAGGCCTGGGTTGGTGGTGGGCGGCGTCGGTTGCGCTGGAGGTTGGGTCTGCGGTGGTGGTTGTGTCTGAGGAGGTGGTGGTGGAGGCGCAAAGCCGGGCGAGCCAGGGAAGTTTGCAGAGTATGGACTTCCCAAGCCCTGAGCTGGCATTGTTGCAGCTCTATGAAGCCCGGGATGCTGACCAAACTGAGGTGGAGGCAGTCCAGGGCTCGTAACCCCTCCGGGAGGGAATTGAGAAGGCGGGGGCATTCCGGGAGTGAAGGGTTGCTTCTGATAATCGTAGGCGACAGCCACGGCAAGCGGGTTGAGCGGGTCCTCGTCCGGAGGCGGCGTCTTCTCTCGGTGCTGTATCGTCTCCGGAGCGGCGGGGGCGGCCGGGTTGTATGCCATCGGCACAAAGGCGGCAGGTTCCGCCGGGGCCTCAGTCGACGGAGCCGGTGCGGTCGGAGGAGGCGCAAAGCTCGGCGCGCCAGATGAAGGCTTGGATGACGCATACTGGGGGTCCGAGATGGCCACATTCTCCAGCTGCTGAACAACGGAGCTCATGGGAGCCGGCTGCGGGGGCGGACCGGGCTCATCCAAAACCTCCACGAGGGATGGTGGGACGACCCTTCTGACACCATTGAGAAACTGGAGGGCATCCTTCTGCGTCCAGAAGTAGATGTCGACTGAGTGGAGCTTGTAGTGGTATTTGTTCTCATTTCGGGGGTCATAAGTAGGCAAATGCCAATCGTTCTGGTCGGCAGGAGCTTCGGGTGCTGTCAAAGTGACCATGCAGTGCTGCTTGTACGAGTATCGAACGTGGGCCTGGTCGAGGACTGATTGCGTAATGTCAGCGTGTGCCCAACCGCTGTACCCCATGTTGGGCCTTACATCCTTCAAAGGCGTCCTGGTCCTCAGTGCCAGGTTGGTTGGCAACCTCAATGCGACACCGGCGCTCGCCCGCATGCTCAAAGAGGTAGACGTAGGAACCCTTGTCGAATCTGTGATGCCTGGGCCTCACATCCTCGGGGCTGTAAAAGTAATGAACATCTCCGAAACTTTGCAATACAGTTAGCGTCCGGGGCGTCTGGCGCAACAAGTCGCAACTCACAGAGTAGCAACATTTTCCTCTCCTGGCCGCGCCGCCATCTTGAAGCTCAAGCTCTTGAGGGGTTCCGCACAGCAGCAGCTTCGATAACGATAGACTAAGACTCGAGACACTGGTCGCAAGAGAGAAAAAGGAGGAAAAGACGGGTCACATCGCCAAGCTCCCACAACTTGCGGGCTCCTTGGGCTTTTGTACCCTCCTGCCCTCATGCGCCACTTGGCTCGTCGGGCGGCACGACGACTGATCTGCTCCTCTGTTTCCAACGGACGACATGATGCATGTGTGGCCCTGCAAAGGTTGTCGATGTCGGCGCTTAAACGCCTGTTCTAGGGGAGGGGAAGCACATGTGCCAGCCAATCCGAAGAGTAGGACCCTTGGTGTCGTTAAAGCTGTCCCACCTCCAAATTAGCGGCCCCCACTGTCGAAGTTGCCCAAAGACGGACAGACGCCAAGAATGAGCATGTGACTTCGTGTTCAAACTTGCAACGCGTCTAGTCATCGAGGGGCATTTGTCACGTCTCACTTCATTCTTTGTTCTGACACGCGACGGAGATCGAGACGGCATCTTGGTCGTTGTTAATGATGCCTTCGATATCGTTGACCACTGTTATGGGCTTATCATTATTCACTCCTTGAGATGACCTCATTAGATCAACCGGAGGAGAAGCCTCCGTTACCATCAACAGAGGAGACGCCAGAGCTTCCCGGTGAGACCGAGGATGTCAGCGAAGACGTCCCCGAAAATCCCGATGAGGATGCTCTCAAGACTCTCAAATACTCCCTACTCGGTCCTTCGCTCCTAAAAGCAGGTCAGGACAAGGTTGATCAGAGCAAGGTGTGCCCCAACCTAGCTTCTTTATTAGGCATCATTAACACCGAGTCTAGGTCTCTGAGATCATCTACAATGCCTCCAAAGGATCCAAGTTCTTTAACCGCGAAGAGGTCCGCGACAAAGTCCTCACCCGGAAGATCGAGCAAATCATTGCCCGCAAGACCGCGCTCGAAAAGAAAGACCTTACTCGCGATCTACGCAACGCTGATCGTCTCATCGCCGAGCTCGAGCTTACCCGTGACTTGACCCAACACATTGTTCATGTGGACTGTGATGCCTTCTATGCAGCCGTGGAGCAGTTGGATCGACCCGAGTTGAAGGACCTGCCTTTCGCTGTCGGCGGTGGCGTATTGACGACTTGCAATTACATCGCCCGCAAGTTTGGGTGTCGATCAGGCATGGCGGGCTTCGTGGCCAAGAAGTTGTGTCCAAGCCTCATCCTTCTGAAGCCAAATTTCGAAAAGTATAATGCAAAGGCACAGGAAGTTCGGGAGGTTCTTGTAAACTACGACCCACGTTTCGAAAGTGCCAGTATCGACGAAGCATATCTCAACATCACAGAGTATTGTCAAGAACACCAGATGGATCCAGCAGAAGCCGTCGAACAGATGAGGAGCGAAGTCCACGAAAGGACCAACATTACCGTTTCTGCTGGCATAGCCGCCAACGCGAAACTTGCAAAAATCTGCTCCAACATGAACAAGCCCAACGGTCAATACGTGTTGCCGAGCGATCGACCTACCATCATGGCCTTTATGCGCGACCTCCCTACACGAAAGGTCAATGGCGTCGGCCGTGTCCTTGAACGAGAACTGCTCGAAATCGGTATCAAGACATGTGGCGATCTCTACGCCCAGAGACAATTTATCAATCCTCTGTTCGGCGACAAAACCTCGGAATTTCTGTTCAAGTGCTATCTCGGTCTCGGACGGACCAAGATCCAGCCAGCTGAAGAGTACGAACGCAAGAGTGTCGGCACAGAAAGCACATTTCGTGACATGTCCGATCCAACTCAGCTACGAGACAAGCTACGATGGACAGCCGAGGAACTTGAAAAGGACATGAAGCGTGCCGAATGTAAAGGTCGCACACTCTGTCTCAAGGTTAAGCTTCACACCTTTGAAGTCTTTACCCGACAGGTTGTTCTTCCGCGCGCCATCTGGCTCGCAGACGATCTGTACAGCTACGCCCTTCCCATCCTCTCCAGGTTGGAGCAGGACATGCCGGGTATGAAGTTACGGCTTATGGGCTTGCGATGCACACAACTCGTCAGCACCAAGAAACCTGACACCATGGCCTTTTTCGGTTTCCGGCCGCGCAGAAACGACTCGGAAGGTCGCCAGGCTGAGGGAAACCTCAAGAGAAAGGCGAGCGATGATGATGGAGAGTGGGAACAGTGGCCAGAGGCCGACTTGCAAATCGATGATGCAGACGGCCTCTTGGAAGGCACATCAAGCAACCAGGACAGCCCTGACGGCTCGCCATATCGAAGACACGGCAAGGAGATTGCCCCAAACCCTGTAAAGGAGCAAGCGGCCGAGGAACGGTGGGACTGTCCTATATGCAGTCGGCCACAAGCTGCCGATGAAAGGCAGTTCAATGAGCACATAGATCTTTGTCTATCCCGGCAGACAATACGTGATGCTGTGCAGGAAGATGGCCCTTCTATAAGGAGGGACACGACGCCGGAGCCCAAGAAGCCACGCATAGCAGACAAGAAGAGAGGGCGACCGCGAACGGTCGATCCCAAACAGAAACAGCTGTTCTTTGGATAGATGAGATGAACTTTATGATGATGATCCACGCAATCAAATAAGTCTATATATACTCTATACGATTAGTCTCTTACGTATCCATTTTGGACTATCTTTTCCGTTGCCTGAACCAGATCTTGAAACATAACGCACACCCTTAAACGCCTTGCTCGCACATGTAGGTATCTGAGATAGGCCTTTATATGACCCTGGACTCGCGACTGGCGATTCTGTCCATCGTTTTCGTTCTCCTGATCCGTGAGTCCTCTTCCTCTTCCTTGTGCAACTTCTCGCCCGGCAACCTAACAGCTTTATCCAAAGCGACAGGTAGACCTCGGTGACGACCTCTGATGATCACCATACACAGAATGAGCTTGCTGCCCGTGTGCATACCTCCAGCCAAGCTGTAGCTGTTGTTGGCAACACCCATGGAAAGACCAACGCAGCCGTACGCCGACACCACCTCGAACAGAATGTTAAAAACGCTGTATTCAAGTGGCTTGTCGAGGAAGTTGTCCGTCTCAATGATCATGATGATAATGACGGGAAGGATAAGCCACCACATATCGTGGGCAAGCTGGCCGCGGATCTGCTGGCCAATGAAGGAGATGCGAGAGTTGTCGTCGGGTCCTTTGGGCGGAGCGATCACACCGACACCGTGGAATGTCATTGATCTCTTGACGGTTTTGTGGGCGGTTTTATGGACCGCAGCCGTGACTCTGCGTCGCAGGGGTGTCTTCTCAGGTTCTTCCGCAATCGTGGGAAGTGTATTGCCATTCTCTTCCTCTAGCATCTGTGGATCATCCTCGTAGATACCGAGAGATCGTTCCTCATACACGTTCGAGTGTCTCATGGTGATGGAGACAGGATAGACTGAAACGTACATCATAATCATGTACAGCAGCTGAACAGCAGGGTACAGCTTAGCTATCGAAACAACAGCAAAGCCAGCGGCACGCACAGCTTGATTAATGTTAGTAGGGATTACTAGAAATAAGTCATGTTTTACTCACCAACGGCCTGGAACCATCCAGCAATAACTCTATCAGATACAGGCATATCCTCAACGACAGGGTTTCCAATGTTGAGTACTTCGAATGCGACCCAGTCGATAGTGTTGATGGTGGCGATGACAGCAAAAAGCCACCATGTTGCGCGAGAAGGGAAAAGGGTGGTATAGACACGTCGGGGGTACTTGAGGATAAACTCGATGGTCTCTTTCCAGGGGCCATGCGCGGTGGCCGGAGTCGTCAGTTTGAGCACCTGGAGACAACACCAGAGAGAGAGTCGCAGTAGAAGAGGGTAAGCTGTGTTTCCTGCCAGAATGAGGATGCCAACAACAATCTGGACAAAGTAGGCATCTTGAAAGGCTGACATGTTGGCGTCGAGAAGAGACATGCCAGCGTTGTTGAAGGCTGAGGATGAAAGGAAGATACCGCACCACCAGGGGTTCACGGAATTGACTGCCGCCGCCTCAGGTCTATGATTGTTGATATAGCCACCCAATGCCAGGGCGCAGAGGAACTGCCAGAGAAAGCCATACAGAGGAACGGCGACCGCGAGCACCTTGAGCGCTCTGTATTCACAACCACCCAGAGCTTCACGCTCATCGGAACTCAAGTCGTAAAACTGCCCTCTCTTGCTAGTATTGTGCGCGCCCAGGATCTTCTTCCAGTGTAAGAGGAAATCTTCTGATTCATCGCTTTTAGCTGACTCCGCTGTCGAGGGCCGTCGTGCCCCTGGCAAGCCCCGGTTGTTGTCGTCGTCGTTATGGCTATAAATGGAGACGCTTCCTCTGCGACCATTGGGACGCGCCATGCTGCTGGCGAACGTGATGTGGTCGTTGGCACCAGGGGAAAGAGTCGGATGGGCTGCTACCGTGGTCGTATTACTATCGTTGTCCTCCGAGTCAGACGAAATAGAATCCTCAGGCGCAGACCTTGCGCGGCGCATGGGAAGAGTTGTAGCCATCAATTCGTCGGGGTCACTCTTCTCCATCATGGTACGCTGACGGGTACCCAAGCCAGGGAGGGTAGTCGTGGCCGGGGGAGATGATTTGAATTTGTCAAAGGTAAAGAATTTCTTAAGTGCCGGAGTTGGTTTGGCAGCGGCACGGCGCTTTCGCATTTCTCGCTCTGCCATGACGATATCCTCGAATCGCTTCTCGAAGGCATGCTTTCGTGCCATGACTGTCCAGAATGAGACCCAAAGTGCGCTACCGAGGATGAATAAAAGGTATAGCAGAACCTGCTGCCATGTTGTGATTTCGCTAAGATTAACAGTGTTGAGGCCGACGTCACAGAAAGACGACACGACGAGGAATAGAGCATCGATGTATCGGACGCTGCGACTTGGCTCGCTAGACCCCCAGAAGATGACAGAAAAGAACAGAGATCCGAAGATGAAGTAGGCGTAGTGGATGGTGATGTAATTGATGGGTGGGATAAAACGGCTGACTTGGGAGACGACGGCCTCGAGTTTTGGATGTTCCTCCAGGAGCTCCTCCCATCGAGTCTTGATGGAGGAGAGCATCGTGGGTTCTTGGGGGCGATATGCCAAGACGTGTACCCCGGTTGGAATGGTCAGCTTCCAAATAGAGTGCGCAGAGCCTCTCAGGGATTTGTAAGTAGTTCAGCATGAAGCTTTTTACTTGAAATGAAAAGACATGTCGATTAAATCTGATAATGAGCGGCGGAATTGGGCGCTGCTGGTGGCGATGTCGATATGCAAGTGGTGATGAAAGAAGTCGAAGTCGGTACGAAAAAGGGAAGCGACGTGAAAGAGAGCGCGGGAGCACTAAAACTACCAAGGGGGCCACGCACAGCGGAGCGGAGGTAGGTGCCGATGGGAGGGTCGTCGCCTCTGTAACAGAAAACCTGGAAAAGCTCAGACAAAGAAAAGGAGACTTGCCAACTGGCCATGCATCATCATCCGGGGATAAAACAGCGTGGAAAGGGAGAAATCGAATGGATGAGACGCGACAGCGGTAGCCCCGAATGTGCACTGCCTCTCGGGTCCCGTCCCTTGTGCCTGCGGTGGTACCTGGGCTGCCGTGCGGGCGGTACCTGGTCGCTCCATCTCACCCGCTGGAGCTTAGAACATGGATGCTTTATCGAATGGCCGCTAATAGCACGGTGAGTATTAGGTGAGGCCGATGGGGACAACAGTGAAGGGCAGGGGGTAAGGGATCGTGTAACGGCCCAAGCAATGCTATAACCCAGTCCAGCTCGGGCAGGACGGCACAGAAACTGGCCTCGAATAACCTCTTTGCCTTTCCCCATGAAGCCACAAGTGGATGAGCACGATACGAAAGATCCAATGTCGTCCCGTTAAGATTTTGACCATTCCTCTCCAATTCCCGCCCCTCCACTCCCAGCGGAAGCTCCTTTTTAGTTCCCGGGAAGTGCTAAATGGCCAGCGGGCCCGGGGGCGCGTCCGGGCGGGTATCAGTGGAGGTTTGAGTATCCCGTCACGGACTCGCAATATCAGGTTCCCGTCAATCCGTGAGTGGATGATTGTGATGTTTCATCCATCCTTTTAGATGCAACTTTAATGCTTGCCACCGTCTCGCCGCTGACTGTCAGCACGCATCGGCAATGCGGCTTGACCGTTGACAGTTCCAGTGCCGTTCATCATGGAAGATTCCGCTTGTTCCCACGATAATGGTAGCTCATCAATGATCCCTGAATCGTCCCTGAATTGGTGGTGGCTGAGCAGCTGGGCACCGTCAATTCTTCAAATGAGCTTCCATGGATCCCAATTAACCCCCACCCTTGCATAAACCAATAGATTGAGGTTTGTTTGTGGCATCATAGAGTTGAGAGATGGTTGTTCAGCGGCAAATCGCCGATGTTTGATGTCGCTCAGCAGGGCTTCAGGATCGCTAACTGCATGTTGTATACCGGACTGTTTGGTCCCCGTAGCCGCGGCAATTGGACAAACTGCAACTGTTCGAAGTTTTGGCACACCATCACCTGGGCAAATAAGCTCATAATGCAAGCCGTCTCGGTACCTCTCTCTCGTCAGCACTTACAAGCGAAGAGATCCTCCAGCCGAGGCGAGAAGAAACCAATACGCAAGTTCCCACCTTGGAATCCTCACCAGTATCGACTCACCGAGAACAAAGCGGTCAGAGGCGTCAAGTGGTGCTCTACTTGGGCTCCCTTGAATCTCTTTCCTTTGCTATGTTTGCTTTTGCACAATGATGGGGAGAATGTTGCTGGTGAGGGCCCGTTCTCCAATCAATTTTAGCCAAGTGATTAGATCCGATCTCATTAGTATTGGCATTTCTTGGCAGTCGCTAGTCCACTCTACACCAAGCATCAGCTCATAGTGCTTCAAACACATGCAACATAACTCATTACAATGCGCCATCACCGTCGTCCGTCAATTTAGACTCCGACTAAGAATCACGGTGCCGCTGTCATCAATCAAGCTTCCCGTCGGCGGTTAGCTTCATCGATTGATCCGTCGCCACGTGGAAGCCACTACGACGCCTGTTTGAGTGACAACCCGGATGACAGCGGTGCGGCTCAGCCCATCCGAAACGAATACGTCCAGGTCTACAATATTCAGACCATCTATTGATCAAATACAAAAGGCATTCTAGAACTAACAAAGCAACTCAAAAGACTAGACAGATATTGTATTCCATAGCACAAGCTTCCAATGGTCACATTCTTACTGCGCATCGAGATAGGGTAGGTTGTCGCTTGTGCGAGACTCTTGTCCCATCAGTGTCTACCCGACACAAGTAAGCTGATGGTTGCATTCATGCGCCGTGCTCTCGAGAGCTTGCCACGAACACTGCGTATATACTGACGATAGATGCCCATAACACGTCTTGTTGATAACACCTGGTTTATCGCTCACTGCTGGGCATGGATCTCCCTACCCGGCATCGTATTGTATACTCTACCAATCTCGGTTCATGGCCCAGGAAATTGTAGGGGTGCGAGCAGCATTCTTCCATCCAAAGGGAGAAATACTTATTCCTCTGCTCCGTTTACCCGATATCCCACATCCATCTGACTCGGTGGTGGGGGCTCACCGGCTGACCGACAATGTGCAAGCTACGACAGCATGACTCGGGCAGCACTACATACATACATGTGCCGGCTCTGGGGTCGCACGGCGTATCTCGGTATCTGAGAGAGATTCAATTCCTCGGAAACCAGAAAGTCGTGGCTCCAACTGCATATCCGGACCCATTGACCGCTCTTATCCGCAGCAGCAGAGGTATCATGACATGACATCACCGAATTGTCGCGATCTACGGGCATAACCTGCTGTCATCCATGCAGACCATCGCTACATGCCCCGGACGGTCATGTAGCTGCGGCCAACAGTCACCTGCTTGACGATGCCCAGCGTGGGGCCTCCTAAGAAGTAGAAGCACAACGACGTCGATTGTGACGAGGTTTCCGTTTTTTTCTTCAAGTTGTACATCTAAGATGGGGTATGCAAGAGCGATATGGTCGTGTACATGGTCATTACAGCTCCTCGTGAACGGGGGCGTCATCGGTATCCGCGAGGATGGTCTTGGCGGCGTCGGCAGCCTCAGCGACGACGCTGGCGACCTTCTCGGCAATCTTCTCGGTAGCAGACTCGGCTGCCTCCTCAGCGCTCTCGGCGGCCTCCTCAGCCTTCTCGACAACCTTGGTCTCGATCTTCTCGGGCTTGGGGACGCCATCGATGCCGACGAGCTCCGTCTCGAAGACTATAGGTTCACAAAGTGTTAGGCGCCAAAGATGAGGCGAGAACGAGGAGGGGGATCAACGTACTCAAGGTCGAGCCGGCGGGAATAGGGCCAATGGCTCGCTGGCCATAACCGAACTCGGGGGGAATGGTCAGGGTCCTAAGTCAGGGGGTCAACAATTGGGGCATCACCAACAATGCGTTGTGGCTTCACCCACCTCTTCTCGCCGATGCACATGTCCAAGAGACCCTGATCCCATCTTTGATTATCTGTCAGCGTCGGGCTCGAGTGCATCACGGTGAGGCAAACACGAACCCCTTGATAACCTGGCCGCTACCAAGCTTGAAGACGAGGGGAGTGCCCCGGTTGTAGCCTTGTGTGTCCGAGTTAGCATTTGATTTGCGTAGCGCAGCTGTCGCAATAGGCGGCGCAAGGTGGAGGGTGACCTACTGGCATCGAACTCTGATCCGTCGGCGGCGAGGGTGCCACGGTAGTGCATATGGATCTTGTCACCGTTCTTGGTCTTGCGCTCGCAGACGACGGGCAGCGTCACGTCAATCTTGAGCTCCTCGGCGACAACGCCAACGGCGGCAGAGGCCAGGACAGACAGGATCAGGGCGGCCTTCATGGTGGCGGTTATGGCGGGGTGGGCACCGATGCGTACTTTGGGTATGGAGACGGGGGAGGGAGGGGGCAATGGAAGAAGTGGAAGGTCGGCGTGGAAGTCGTTGAGAAGCCTGAATCTGGAGGCTTGTGACGTCGAAGGGTGTGGTTGGTTTGGAGGGGAGGCGGTGCGATGCGAGGTTGTTGGGTGGATGGATGGTTCCCCCTTGAGACCTCTAGTCGCGGCGACGTGGCTCGTCCAGAGGACAGCCAACCTAAACTCTACAGCGTGACCTCTGCGCTGGGCTGGCCCCCTATAAACAGCCAAGCAACGGCGTCATAGCAGGGTCCAAACCCAGCCTGGGACAGTTGGCCAAGTCATTGGCCAATGGCCCACGGTCCGCCAGAAGGCCCCCTAGTCGCAGCTCCAAATCTGGCACTAGGTTGTCCCATCCGGGCCGTATCTTTATCTCCATTCGGAACCCGGGGAGGGCTGCAGGACCTGATCCCATCATGAGCGGGCAGGGCGCAGGACGCAGCAGCACCATCTTTGCAAGGCCCATCCATGAAGACAACGTTGCGATGCCAAACACGCCCTGGGTATGCAGTCACGTTGACCGCGTCAACACCACTGCTGTCGCCAATCTGACGCTTTGCCTTGCACAGCTTTGCTGTCTGGCAGGGCGACGAGGCGAAACCATTTTGCTTCTCCCATGTGACCCATGACGAATACACAACGCTTTGCTGTGATGCTGCGTTGTATTGGTCCCATCCGACACGAGCGTTGTCCAAGGTGAGGCGTAAAAAGGAAATACTCAGCCGGCCTTGTCCGACTAGTCACCGGGAAGGCTGTGATAGAGTCAAACATCGCGACGTCACTGGGAGGTGATGTTTGACAGGTTCGATGTGACAGCGTCCACTGCCGGGTCCAGCCGCCCATCCATCACTCTGCGCAGCACAACACTGTCAACAGCCTGGGGCGGCTGGGGCGCTGGAGCATCGGTTGACTCGCCGCGCGTGACGACGTGTAGGGCGAGAGGGTGTAGGGCTCCAGCTAATCGCCATTCTTGCAGCCGAGTAGTCGCATCAGTTCCTGCAGCAGAGATGCAGCAAGCCGGGCCCACGGCTCTTTTGACCCTTTGCTGGGATGGCATGGCAGAGAGAGCCTGCATGTGTCAGATCCACCTGAGCGAGAGAGGCCCTGGACCAAGCGCTTCAAACGCTTCACGGCCCTGTCTCGCCTTGATCATGATATCCCCTCCCCTTAGGAGCAATGAGACAGGATTAATCATCCTCCCTCCCCCCCCCTTTCCGCCCGGCTGGGAAGTATTCGCGTCCTCCATAGGCTCAGACCCTCTCGCCCACACACACCTCGGTTTTGGGCATCGACGAATCTGTCTGAATGGAACGGACCGGGACGTTGAGCAAGGGCGATGCCAGTTGCGACAAGAGTCGAGGCCAGCCTCAAAGGGGAGCAAGAGCCCAAAGGGGTAAGAAAAAGCAAATAGGGGAAAAATTAGTCCGTCCGCAATAGATTTGCGAGACAGAGATTGGAATGACAGATAGAGCAGGTACATAGTAGATTCACGAGCCTGCACGCTCCATCCTGCGTCGATATTAATTAACTGACGATGGATGGATATGGATGGATGGCTGGATGGGTCCATGGAACCCAAGGCAACGGTACCTGGATTTGCCGGCTGATGCGAGGCAGAGGCTGGTGTCACGGCTGGGCTTGCGCTGGTGCCTTGTGCCTGCGATGGCTTGCTGCGGAATCAAGCAAGGGATCTCATGCAGTCACTTCAAAGATGCTTTCTCACGTGTCTCAATTAAGACCGTGAAAAAAAAAATAAGCCCTTTCTTTGTCCTACCAAGGGTCTCACAGGCCCTTACCAAGAACTTCGACCGAGACAAGCGAACTCCGTGGCCCCCAATTACAGGCAACAACGGACCCTTTTCCTCCCTGTCCTGTTTCGTCTATTTTGATTTTCCTTTCCCAGCTTCTTTTGGCTGCAGCTCACTCGCTCGCACACGCCGTGGGGCTTTGCCTTGCCCTGCCTTGCGCCGGGTTGCTCATTCGCTCTGAATGGCTCCGCCCCGTCCAGCGACCGGCGTCACCCAAGCTTCACTTGACAGCTTTTTTGCCACCGAGACATGTCCCCGTGCCTTTGGAAGCTCTGAATGCCAGGATCCTTCTTTCTGGTCCCCTTGTTTCTCATCGCCCTTGACAGCCACTCGATGCCCAATGATTTGCCTACGCCCCGTCGTCCTGCACCCCGAGCTACACGCCCCTGGTCCCCTTTCCCCCCCCCAGTCCTTCATCGTAGATGGCCGCTATCGTGCCGGGCCCGGGAAGCCTGCCAGCGCGCGGTTCCTCGTGTGGTCTCTGCTTGACTCACTCCCTCAGGTTCCATTTACCAACCGTCCAGGAGTTGCCTTGCGCTTTGCCTGGCAATCCTTGTTCCCCAGGCAGTCAGGGCTTGGGTTAAATCCACTTGTCCTGAGGGAATGGTAGAGTACGTACTGTCGGTTGCATCGCCATGGACTTCAACTACATATAGACCCCCTTCCTCGTCACTGCTGGAATTTCCCCTTTATCCTCACCAGACACTTCCAATCTCCAGCCTTCAGCATCCAGACAACTCTCGGTCTACTCTGACAAAGTTTTACACGCAACAAAGCCTCACGGTGCAAGACTCTCCAGCTCACACAGCAACATAAACAACAACAACACTCAAAACCGCAATCATGAGCGCCCCCTATACAGTCCAGATCCACCAGAGCTCCAAGGAGCCTTCCATCCACAGCTCCTACAGCTACTCATCTGGATCCTACGTCTCCTCGACAGACTCGACCCCTCGGTCACTTTCCCCTGGCGAGTACCGCGAGTATGGTGCTGGTGAGTTTCATCATCTCCCCGGGCCTCCGGGCTCAATGCCGCTCGGCCCCACACTAACCGTCGACGCAGACAAGCACACCACTCAAGTCGCCAAGTCTGGACGAAACACCGTCATCAACCACCACAAGGTCGGTTTCGAGCAGTTCTCGCCTAGCCCGACCTACTCCAACAGCTACTCTCGATCTTGAGCGTTCTCGACTCTTCTTTTCCTTTGTTCTCTGCGACTCTTTGATGGCGATATACACATGTAAAGAATATGGGATACAGCACGGACCGGCGTCTTAGGGGGTCATCGAACAGGATTATGCGCAGCGTGGCGATGTATCATTAAGCGACTGGCGATTTGGACAACTCAACTGGGCATGGGAATTTCTCGACAGCCACTTTTCAAGTTGTGGGCTTTGGGCAGGATATTGGGACCGGAACAGGATTTTTACTTTGTTGGTTATGGGTTGGGTGGACGGGTATACGGATACACTCACATGTACACTTCATCAGCGCGACCCTCGGGGTCTGCACTGACTTGACTTACTTCTAGAAGGGCTGGGGCCCTGGCATCCTCAACCTCTCTGTCTTGTCTTCTGCGAGATCAGATTGGGTTTTCAGCCGTCGGCTTGGTCCGACGAGCATGAAACAAATTTCAATTTTTTGCTCTTGCAAGCCAACCGCGTCTCCGTCTTGTTTCACCCCTCCCCGTGCCCCTTGATCTAAATTGCTTCTTCCTTGATTTTTCTTCTCTGTGAAGGGTTCAAGGGTATCCCGTGGATGATGGTGTGAAGGGTTGGGCGTTGCTATATCTGGGGCATTGGGTTCCCTCCCGTCCGGTACCTGCAGCCCAACTGTCGGCAGGGGTCTGCCTTTTTTGACGCTCAATCCCGTCTTGCCCGCACTCCTCCTCCACCATCTCCCGGAGCATGCGCATTCTCCCCGCTGTGATTTTCACATGGGGGATGGATGAAGAAGTGGCTTCTAATAGTTGTGATTCCACTTTCCATGCATCAGAGCCACGATCCAATCACAATGCTAAGTCCAGGATCTGTCCATCACACTTAGAGTCGGTTTCTGTGTTTAGTGCTAGAATAATTCGAAGGATTTCCCATGATAATTACAAGACCGGCCAAAATGCCCGGCTGCAGCCGAAAAGCGCCTACTTGGTCCCGTACCATATTGTTAACATGCCTGCCCAAAAGTTTGGAAAATCATTTCACTCGTCCCGAGTCCCCATGGTTTTGGGTGTCATGAGCGCCGAGGCTCATGACCCCGTCGCATGACATCATGCTCAGGCGCCACCCTCGCGCTTGGCATACTCGTCCTCGATGGCCTCCTCGTACTTTTTGGCGGCCTCGTCCTGCCCCGTAGCGCGAGGGTCATCGTGCAAAATGTCCTTCTTGATGAGGGACTCGGGGTCTGGGCGGTGCGAGATCTTGTCGTTGAGCTTGTCCTCGAGCATGTGCTTCTGGAGCTGCGCGTGGTGGGGCTACGTCAGCGACAGTGGCTCTTCAACAAAGAAAAGGCAACTGGGCTGGGCAAGAGGGCTTGGCTTGGATTGTCTTGACTCACCTCCTTCTGGTGCGCCAGGAGGCCTGGCGCTGCGGTCGAGGCTGGGAGGATGTTTTCTGTTTGGGGGCCGTGTCAGCAAGGCTCTACGTGGGCAATGTCGGATTGGTAGGTCTAGGCTTCTTACTCTCGATGAGCTCGGCACGTTCGGGGCGGTGCTTGAGGTGGTCCTCAAGGGAGTTTCTCCGTGCCTGGTTGGGGCGAATGGGCGAGATGGGAGTCTCGTCAATGAGCTTGGGCTGCTGCTCAGTAGTGTCGGCCATTGCGGAGGTGAATGAGTTCAATGGTGATGTTAAGTATTCAGTGTATAGTGTTGTTGTAAGTTGAGTGAAGATGAAAAAGAGAAGAGAGAAAACAAGTCTCAGACGGCGGATGTAGTGGTGTTATGTATCTCATCCAACGTTTAAGCTAAGGTCTCAGAATGGGCCGTTGATACGGCAGCCAGGCCATGTTTTTAATGCCATGTTCCGTCTGTGGTGCTCATCATCACCTGAGCTGGGATGGGATGTCCCGCGCGATCACCACAGCACGCCAGTGGGCATGTGGTTGCTACCCCGCAACCAAGGGACTGACCTGCGTCACAGGGCAGGGATTGGCGACCAGTCATGGACGAGCCCTCTTGTGAAGCCACTCTAACGGGCGTATTTTCCTCCGTCGAGAGCCCTAACAACTTGGATAAGAGCGCTGTAGCGAGGCTTTTGGCGGGTTGGAGCTTGTTAGGCGGGGATGGGGATGCAAGCCAAGGCGCTTGATGCCGAAGACGATGGAGCTGTTCCTGGAAGCGAGTGGGCCGCTTGATCAACAATGGATGAGTTGCATAAAGAGAAATCGCATTGAGTTACTTCCTGGCGTTATTGATATCGTCCCAGCAGAGGAGCCATGTGTCACCCTACAACTCAGCCGTGTCTAGATTCATGCGGTTTCATGACACCACCTGGTTGCTCTAGGGATACCCTGCGAACAACGTCATCATAACTTGGTAGGTAATGTATGTAATCAAGGGTCCTGGATTTGGCACGTGTGTTGCAATGGGATGAATGTCTCTGATTGAGTGTGAAGCATTGTTGATTTGGTCGACAATTGGTGCTGTGCTTGAAGAGAATCGAAAATCAACTCTCGCTTGAACTATTCGACCTGCCTAATACGGCAAGCAGCCAACCATCACTTCAGCAGTTGAATTGCAATCGACAATATTGATTTACGACTTGAGAGCCATACATAGCTTTTCTAGAAGCCTAACTAACATAAGCAATATATCCCTGTGAAGGATCTACCAAGATTGATGGCCAACAGTCAGGGAGACAGGTGGAGTCGTTTATTATTAGGCACAGACATTAGCTGGCAGAGACTTGAGACGACCCTTTCTTCCCGACGAGGCCGGTTCTGGCACGTATGATGACGACACACGAGCTGGACTTGGTAGAAACGGAAATGTTATTCGTTGTAAGGCTTTGATGCATGATAGGGACAGCATTACAGTAATACCGCAGTAGGTAGACATCCAACAACACCAATATTAGGGCATCAAGCATATATGTGAATAATTACTCATTTCAAGTTTCCGACTCTGAATGCCGCGTATTCGGAGACGAATCCGTGGATACGTGGATATCAAGGCTCATCAAGGAGCCCGCCCAGCGAAAAAAAGTGAATAACCGTTGCCTGTCCCCCGCCACTTGTTGCGTAAGATAGCGACAGTAGGGGGCTGTGCTGGGCGGAAAATCGTCGGCGTTTTCGTCACCTCCCGTCAGGCACCAGATCATCGCTGAACACAATCTCGACTCCAGCCACATCAAAGCCTCCAGCGTTTCCTTTGGAAAAAACATCGCATCTTTCTCTCCGACCCATCCTACCGGAGTCCTTCGCTTATTTCTCACGGGATCGATCCTCTGATGCCCGTCTAACCAACTATCGTCCATCTGGTTTACCTTTCCTCCTCCTCCTCCTCCCCCCTCTTCCCCCAATCCCCTGCACATCATGGTAAGGTGCCAACAACCCCTCCGGTGGCGCCTCTTTTGCTGACCGTTGCTCCCGTTGCGCAGGGAATATCAAGACGTCCCAAGAATAAGGATGCCCGCGCCGGGGCCGCGGACCCAAAGCCCAAGAAGGCCACCTTCGAGACAACCAAGAAGAAGGAGATCGGTGTCTCCGATCTGACCCTGCTGAGCAAAGTATCCAACGAGGCCATCAACGAAAACTTGAAGAAGCGATTCGAGGGCGCCGAGATTTATACCTATATCGGCCATGTGTTGGTCTCGGTCAACCCCTTCCGGGACCTGGGCATCTATACCGACCAGGTCCTCGACAGCTACAAGGGCAAGAACCGACTCGAGATGCCGCCGCACGTCTTCGCCATCGCCGAATCCGCATATTACAACATGAAGGCCTACAGTGATAACCAGTGCGTCATCATCTCGGGAGAGTCGGGCGCCGGCAAGACCGAGGCCGCCAAGCGCATCATGCAGTACATCGCCAGCGTGTCTGGTGGAGAGTCGGGAGACATCAAGCAGATCAAGGACATGGTGCTGGCAACCAACCCCCTGCTCGAGTCGTTTGGAAACGCAAAGACACTGCGAAACAACAACTCTTCGCGATTCGGTAAATACCTACAAATCTACTTTAACGCCCAGGGCGAACCCGTGGGCGCCGACATCACAAACTACCTCCTGGAGAAGACGCGAGTGGTGGGCCAGATCACAAACGAGCGCAACTTCCACATCTTTTACCAATTCACAAAGGGCGCTTCGCAGCAGTACCGAGAGACCTTTGGAATCCAGAAACCCGAGACGTACGCCTACACAAGCCGGTCAAAATGCTTCGACGTCGACGGCATCGACGATCTCGCCGAATTCCAAGACACGCTCAACGCCATGAAGATTATCGGTCTCAGCCAACCCGAGCAAGACGAGATCTTCCGTATGCTTGCGGCCATTCTATGGATCGGAAACATCCAGTTCCAGGAGGATCAGGGTGGTTATGCCGAGGTGATTGATAGGTCCGTGGTGGATTTCGCTGCCTACCTCATGGAGGTCACCCCCGATCAGCTCATCAACGCCATCACGATCCGAATTCTGACCCCTCGAAACGGCGAGGTTATCGAATCGCCTGCGAACCCGGCCCAAGCATTGGCTACAAGAGATGCGCTGGCCAAGGCCATTTACAGCAACCTGTTCGACTGGATTGTTGAGCGCATCAACAAGTCTCTCAAGGCCCGACAACCAACTAGCAACACGATTGGTATCCTGGATATTTACGGCTTCGAGATTTTCGAAAAGAACAGTTTCGAACAGCTTTGCATCAACTATGTCAACGAGAAGCTGCAACAGATCTTTATCCAGCTCACTCTCAAGGCCGAGCAAGACGAGTACGCGAAAGAGCAAATTCAATGGACGCCAATCAAGTACTTTGACAACAAGGTTGTGTGTGAGCTGATCGAGCAGATCCGACCACCGGGTATCTTCTCCGCCATGAAGGATGCCACCAAGACTGCGCACGCTGACCCTGCGGCTTGCGATCGAACCTTTATGCAGAGCATCAACGGCATGTCGCACGCCCATCTTACCCCCCGTCAAGGAAACTTCATCATCAAGCACTATGCCGGTGATGTCACCTATACTGTGGATGGTATTACAGACAAGAACAAGGATCAGCTCCTCAAGGGTCTGCTCAACCTGTTCCAGCACAGCGGAAACCAATTCGTCCATACCCTGTTCCCTCGCCCGGTTGATCAAGATAACCGAAAGCAGCCTCCTTCGGCTGGTGACCGTATCCGAACGTCTGCAAATGCCCTGGTCGATACATTGATGAAGTGCCAGCCTTCATATATCCGAACCATCAAGCCAAACGAGAACAAGTCACCCACCGAGTACAACGGCCCCAACGTTCTTCATCAGATCAAGTATCTTGGTCTCCAGGAGAACGTTCGCATTCGTCGAGCCGGTTTCGCTTACCGTCAAGCATTCGACAAGTTTGTTGACCGATTCTTCCTCTTGTCGCCCGCTACTTCGTATGCTGGTGAATACACCTGGGACGGTACCACCGAGGCTGCTGTCAAGCAGATTCTCAAGGATACCAGCATCCCTAAGGAAGAGTGGCAGATGGGTGTCACCAAGGCATTCATCAAGGCCCCTGAAACTCTCTTTGCCCTTGAGCACATGAGAGATAGATACTGGCACAACATGGCTACCCGAATCCAGCGCATGTGGAGAGCCTACCTTGCCTACCGAGCCGAATCTGCTACTCGAATCCAGAGGTTCTGGAGGAAGAAGCGGACAGGAGCCGAGTACTTGCAGCTTCGAGATCAGGGCCATCGGGTTCTCGGAGGACGCAAGGAGAGACGTCGTATGAGTCTTTTGGGTTCCCGAAGATTCCTTGGCGACTACCTGGGCATTAATGCTACCAATGGTCCTGGAGCGCAGATCCGCAGTTCTGCTGGCATTGGCTCAAACGAAACGGCCATCTTCTCTTGCCGAGCTGAGATCCTGGAAGCCAAGTTTGGTCGTTCTAGCAAGCCCAGCCCGCGTATTATTGTTGTTACAAACAGCAAGTTCTATATCATTGCCCAAGCTCTCGTCAATGGCCAGCCTCATATCTCGGCTGAAAAGTCCGTACCTCTGGGTGCGATCAAGTTCATCGGCGCTTCTACGGCTCGCGATGACTGGTTCTCACTCGGCATTGGGTCTCCACAAGAACCAGATCCTCTGATGAACTGTGTGTTCAAGACTGAACTGTTTACTCAGATGCAGCGGGCAATGCCTGGAGGTTTCAACCTCAAGATCGGTGACACAATCGAATACGCCAAGAAGCCAGGCAAGATGCAGCAGGTCAAGGTTCTCAAGGATTCCCAGCTCCCAGTCGACTATTACAAGAGTGGTGGCATCCACACACAACCTGGTGAGCCACCAAACTCGGTCTCGAAGCCCACACCCAAGGGCAAGCCAGTGCCCCCTCGACCCATCACTCGAGGCAAGTTGATCAAGCCGGGAGGTCCCAACGGCCGTCCCTCTCGACTCACTGGCAACCGAGCGGCCAAGCCTCGACCTGGTGCGGGCTCACGACCTACTCCTCAACCACCAGCTGCTGTTGCTGCTGCTGCTGCTATCCCCGCTGCCGCTTCCCACACTCCCGTCACTGTCCCCCATCGTCCTGTGTCGACACAAAACGCGCACGCTGCGGTTGCCAACTCCATTTCAAACCATACCCGCAACTCCAGCGGTGCTGGACGTGCACCACCACCTCCTCCCCCTCCTGCTACCCCTGCACGACCGGCAAGCCCCCCTAAGATCCTGGCCAAGGTTCTGTACGACTTTGCGGCTCAGCGGGAGAACGAGCTCTCGATCCACGCCAACGAGATCGTCGAGATTGTCCAGAAGGAGAACAATGGTAAGCAATTCTGTCCATGC